CTGGTCCAAGCCAGTCCGGACGACCAGGTAAAATAAGAAACAAATAGAAGGTTATTTGAATGAAGTATCAAATGAAATAAATTTAAAAATAATTATCAAGGCATTGATTTTTTATTGATTGCACAAGATTATTGAATAAATCAATTTGTATGAGTAAAATACTTCACAATTTTGACATAACTAAAATAAGTTCTATATGAGAAAATATGCCACATATATGAGCTTCTAGTCAATCGAAAGATGATTAAAAGAAGAATATTAAATTAAAAATCGTGCATCATAATTGAAAGTATTGGGAAAGTTATGATTTTTCACTCTACAATCATTTTTATACATTTTTAAAAATTTATGCACAACTTATTAAGGACTGCTTAAACCCAATAATTTGGCCCAATGTGTCAAAAGGGCACAGCCAAGCATACCCCGTAAAGGGCAAATGATTACACCATTTTTAGATAATTATGATTAATTCAACATACATATTAGTCTTTGACACCTCTTCTCAAGTATCCAAGATTAAAGGGCAAGGTGTAATCATTTCAAATAAACTATGGATGTCATTCTAAGTTTCAAGCATTTCTTTCTAAATCTTAACACATCTCAACTATTTCATCAACACTCAGTACGCTAAGATGACATTTGACAAATGTAATAACTTTAATTAATATTATTCTTTATTTGTATTTTAGTGTGTGATATATGAATTGATTGAAACATTAGTGGTGTGTTGTTAATAGAATCATATAAGTTATTGAGGTACTTATGGTGTATGTATAATAAAGAGACTTAGTAATTCTACGATTAAGGTTCTAGGTTGAATAGTCATAAGTTTGCATAACTAGGGGATGTAAGAGCCTCTTGATCCTCATAAAATCGTGTATTCTAATAGTAAAATATTGAAACCAAGGTGAAGTCTTCACAAATAGATGTAAATCAAAGGAGTTTAGCTGAACCACTCTAAAATTAGGTGTACATAATTTACTATCGATTATATATATATACATTAATATATATATTTTATATAATTAATATATTAAATATTATGATAATAACAAAAACTAATTCACCCTCCCCCCTTAATTTATGCAACAATCTAAGGATCAATACAATCAATATTTTCACCCACTTTCTTACATAGATATCATTATTCTCTCCCTTGAATCAAACTATTTCATCAAGAGAGTTTTGTGGACTTGGTTGAAGCCTTCTCATTATATGAAAAATTAGCAACAATTCATGTTGAAATAGAACATTTGACTACAATGAATTGTAAATTTCTAGTAACTAAGAGAAGAATAAGAGCACATATTTTCATTGATGTGAATGAAATTAAAACTATGGCTCAAGTTTTAGATATAAGAACAAGAGCACATATTTTCTCTTGATATGATGAAGGGGGATCAACCCCACACATATTTTCTCTTGGTTGAGCTCAAGTTTTATGATTTGCCAACTAGATATAAAAAAGGTAAGCATGAGAAGTGTACCTCTTTTTCACTTCTTTCCACATTTTGGATTAACAATTTTTCAAATCAAAGTACATGAGTTCTCATGTCCATAAAGACATGACTTTGAATGAATTAAAGAATTAAGTATTAACACATATTATATATTTATATATATGAAAGGGGAGAAAATATAATTCTTAGGCCATTCCCTAGAATCTAAGATGTTTTGATTTCTGATATTGCCTCAAAGAAACAAAACCACATTTCTACTCCTAAGACACAAGCCTTTTATATATGCATTCCTTTGATTGTTAATATAGTCTACAATATCAATGAAAGTGAATATCGCTCATTTATCTTTACATATAAGAAAAAAATATAGAGTAAATTATCATTTCAGTCTAATAGTAATATTTTTCTCTTCAAAGATGTTGATAAAATAAAGTTTAGCCCATAAATTATTATAATCTTAGCATTAAAACTTTTTCCCGTAGCCTACTTAATCAACATGGTCTTTGTTGTCCCTAATTTTAAGAGAGAGAGAGAATGAAAAAGACAAGGAAGACACTATATTATACTTTTGTGATGATTTATTAACAAACATCAATATTGATGACTATTGTTTTGATGTGAAGCACTAATAGAGTTAATAGTAATGCCACAAATCTAAACATTCAATTATCACCTTAAAGAGAATGATTTATAGAACCTATAGATGATAGAATACTTGTGATGATGATTTCATAAGAACCTAAAATATGATGTATTAACCCTAACCATATATCTCCTATATACTAACTACCATACATTACCCCCCACTATATTTCTTATTGAAATTTTTATATCTCGACATGAAGATAAAACTGAACCACTTTAGGCCTTACCCACATTTAAGTTATATGTGTATTAAACCTAAGTTGACATCCACCACATGCTATTTCCTATTGACTCAAGGCCTTTATAAGAGTTAGCTCAATGAGACAAAAAGTGGTCAACCCTTATGTATGTTATGTTAGTGGCCCTAATCCTTTACTCCCTATATTTTTTTTGCTTGATCACCCATGTGAATGTAAATGAGTCATTATTGATTCTTTCTCCTCTTATTTTTTATTCAATAGCTGAGTTGTCAATTTGGGTGAAGGGTGGAAGATTTACATATATTTAAAAGTTATGCATGCCATTTGAAAGGAAGGCTTGCCCTTACCATGCTGCTCTTTTACCAAGACCTCAGCATAAGATTAAAGGAGGCACTTTTTAAGTAATGAAGTTAGAATATGGGTATTCTAAGGGCTGCAAGGCACACATTTTTGTGTAGTATTTGATGAACAAGATTGACTTTATGTACATAGTCAACAGCCAGCATGGGTTTGAAGAGAGATTGAGTGACTTCCTAAAATTTGAGGTAATACTAACAAAAGGGAGTTGGTCCTTGCAAGATCTCAAGAAAGTCTTACTAGAAAGACTTGTGCTTGGACAAGAATGATGAGAGCTCTCTCCTTAATGGTTTGGGGCTGGCCATTATGGTCTAGTTACATAAGAATCTTCATCATTTACCTTTTTGTGTTAGGTGAAATTATACAATATAGGTTTCTCTGTGCTTGAACATCTAATCTAAGTGATCAGTCAATACAAAAAATAAAATATAGGTTAAGATAAATTAGGTTAATAACATGGAGATCCACATATGACTTACGATGAAATCATTGAAATTTGGGCTATAGTTGGATGATCAATTATTGATCAAAAGTGAGTGATATATTTATTTTTTTCGTAATAACTATTGTCAGCCAAATCAATTTCACTAAATTTCTGAACAAATTTGCCAAGTACACCACATTGCTAACAGTACATATGGTTCCAAGTTCTATTAGATATCATGAATCAATTATAATATTGCAACCCAATTAATTTTCAATAAATACAACAATACCTCTAACGTTGCAACAAGACTTCACCTTGAATATATGAAATAAAACTAATGTATAGCCAGAATATGATAGAAAAAGAATTATATTTTAATATTTTAGAGAACATCCTCCCTAAATAAATCTTAAAATCACATTATTCATCAGAACACTATTAGATAAAAGTAACATCACGTTAGAATGCTTATAGCTATAGTCTTAATTTTTTACCTTTCTACCATATTTTCCCATTGAAATCCCTCTAATGATGGAGTAGCCATTCAAACGGAAGCTATAGCCCCTAGGACTAATCCCCGTAAAGAGATTGCATATTTTACGTTTCAAGAAGACAAAATAGATTAGGCAAGCAAGCAAAAATATGTAGGACACAGAAGTTGAGGGTTTTCATACCACACGCAGCCTTGGCTCACTTAATTGTAAACCAGCTTTGAGCATCATGGACACCTTTTAAGAATTGACATCCCCAAATAACTTCATGTTTACCGATGTAGAAGAGTGATTGGTCACTTCTCTTTAACATGGAGCAACTTGGGTCTGGTTGTGCTAGTAAACTGTTGAATCTCACAAGTCATCAAATATGAACGGGTAGACTATTTTCGTCTAATTTATCGTTGGGGAAGATATGCCCATCTTTCTTTTTGCGTGGTCCTGAGGATCATTAATCGAATTTTTAGCTGAACTGAATCGATCATTCGAGATTGAAATATATTATATTTCAAGCATCAGCTCTGGCATCAGGGATCTTCTGGTTCTATTTTGCTCATTTTCCCTGTGTTAGAAGTAGATTTTTGAGCGCCCGAGATCATTCTACAAGACTTCTCCTGTGATTAAGTTTTGCGTATGATCTGTATATATAGAGAGATGTCGTTTGTTCCTGATAAAATCTCGCTTACTGAGAACTTATACCAGTTGAATTATTAGGTGACGGAGTGAAATGATGACAGATCTAGACCTAATTATTTGATACAGAGAATGGCGAGTTTCTCTTTTCGTCTCCACTTTGGCATTGACCTGCGATTTATGAAATTCTCAATTTTCTTGATGAGCGTCAAAAGTAACAGTTCTGTGGAGGAAATCATTCATTATTGTATCCCACTGATCTTCTACCATCTTGCTTTCTTGAAAGGAACTGTAGATGAAGGACCATTCATATCTGAACTGATGGTGGACCAGACAAATTTGATTTCTTCTCTGCCGCGTCAAGCTGTTACCTCCACAGATTGTGACTAAAAGAATTGAAGAGAAACTGTCGAGAGGACAAAGACCAGCACGAGTATTGAAAAAGTCAGGCTCCAGAGATTGGGTAGACTGGGCAAAAAAGCCAACTTGAATGAAACCAATGGTAATCTTGATCTGGTACGCCTGCAAGAAAAGGAAAACTATAGGGACTTGGTCCAAGGGATAATAACCTGGACCTGCAATCGTTCATTCGAGGCAAGCTTCGTATATAATTCCCGCATGATATAAATGCAATCGAGAGTCCAACTCCAAGTGATGTGGCGTGTTTGAAAAAGATTATAAGAAATAAGAATATTCAAGCTCTCTCCGATTGTAAGAAACGAATTTAGTGTTGGACGCGCGTATCCATGGACTTCCTAGCGTATAGATGCCAGCCTATCTCTGCCTTCTACGTCTCACCATCAGCAATCCAGCTAACGCCAGGAGTCTTCTCGGTGACATACTCGCCCATGTCACCTCTCAGGTTTTCGACCACGGCCCAGTTCCCTTCCGCAGCGTGCATGTTCGACAGTATGACTCTGTAAGCGCCCTTCTCCGGCTGGATCACAAAAAGCTCCCTGGCCACCGTCTCCGCCAGCTCCAAATCTCCATGAACGTTGCAACACCACAGCAGGGCCCCCCACGCGCCCGCTTCCGGCGTCGGCATGGTCTTTATCAGCTCATACGCCGCCTTCAGCTCGCCCGCCATCCCAAGAATCTTGACCATGTAGACATAATGCTCCGTCCTCGCCGCTACCCCGAACTCCTCTGTCATTCTCACAAACAGAGCCTTCGCAGCTATCGCAAACTCTGCGTGGGAACTGCAGGCACAAAGCAATGCAGAGAAGGTCGCCTCGTCGGGCTTGAGCCCCTCGGACAACATCTCCTCAAAGATTTCCATGGCCTCGGCTCCACGCCCGTGGGAACCCAGCCCTGATATCATGATGTTAAAAGCAGTGATGTTCTTCTCAGGCATCGTCAGGAAGATTCGAGACCCCGGATGGGTAAACCCACACTTCAGATACATGTTCATAAGCGCACAAGTGACTGATACATCCGATTCGATGCCCAGTCGGTATACGTAGCAGTGGATCGCCTTGCCGAGCCGGATGGCCGTGAGGGAGCCGCAGGCAGAGAGAACGCTGGCGACCAAGACGGCATCTGGCTTCTGCCGCAGAGAAGCGGTCATTTCAGAGAACACCCAGATAGATCGCTCGTACTCACCTGCCTGAAGGAACCCAGTAACCATAGCAGACCACTGGACCAAATCCGGCTCCTGCGGCATTCCGCCGAACATCTGCCACGCCGAGGCCATGCATCCGCATCTCGAGTACATACTAACGAGCGCGCTCCTCACATGAGCGCCGAGATCGAGCCCGCCTTTCACACAAATCCCATGGCTTCCCCAGCCGATCTGAATCAAAATGGGGTCGCGGAGACAGGAGAGAAGCCCCACCATAGAGTACCCATCGGGAGCTTTGCCGTAGCTCCTCATTCTACTGAACAATTCAAAGCCTTCGAACCAGTAGCCGCAGTGGGCATATGCCGAAAGCATTGAGTTCCACAAGACCAGGTCCGGTTCCTGCACCGCGCGGAACACACGGCCAGCCAGGTCGACGGATCCGAGCTTGGCATATGCAGTGATGAGGGAGCTGCAGGCGAGAGGGTCAGTCCCCAGCCCACAGGAAATAAGCTTGCCGTGAGTGGACGCCGCTCTTCTGCCGTGCGGCATTTCCGCGCACGCACGCAGGATGCAGGCGAAGGTGTGGCTATCAGGGCCTGCGCCAGTTCTAAGCATCTGGAGGAAGAGGGAGAAGGCACCGTCGAAGTCATTGCGCCTGGCATTGGCCCTGATCATGGCATTCCATGCGTAGACGCTTCTTTCGGGAATTTCTTCGAACATAGAGCGGGCGCAAGTGAGTGCGCCGTTGAGGCCGTACAATCGGAGGAGTTTAGTGAGGGCGAAGGAAGGGTCGAGCAGGGAGGATGTGATGATGAGGGCATGCAGCTGCTTGGTCTTGGAGAGGGGAAGGTGAGAGCTGAGGAATCCCTGGATCTGATGCGCAAGTAAAGAGATGCCGTCCATTCGGAAATCATAAGGTCAACGGGCGAAGCTAAGCTCAACAACAGCCGCGCTTCGCCGGTCTACCTCCTTCACGTCACCTCTGATGCGGCTGGAACAAGGGAGCCTCTTACTCGGCATATTTTGTCCATCGGCATGAGGTCACCATCACCGAGAAAACACCAAGGAGAATAACATACGACATTCCCTGTGGGCAGCTCTATGTACGCTCACTCTCAGGTTTCTCAGAGGCAAAAAACTGGCATGTACATCTCTAAAATAATGACCTGCAGAGATAGTACCCAAGATGAGAATTAGTCATAAAAGATGAAAGCACAAAGGAGATATGGCTGGTCGCTTACCTACCGGGGTTCCTCCAGCTTCACTGGACTCGGAGTTTATGAATCTGAGTTTATGTTTGACTCCCATAGTGAGGAGGTGGAGAGGAAGTAGTCCCTGATGGTTTTTTTGGAGGAAGAAGGTGGGTTGAGGACGGAGGCAGGGCTGTTTGATGGAGCCTCTGGAGTTTTATGCTCGTCGGCCGTTTCACTCTGGCAGAGATCTGATCTTCTCTTCTTCCCTGGTTCAGGCGTAGAGAAGCCATCTACCCCTGAGAGAATTGGAGAGCGGGTGTCGGCTGTTGATTCTGTGGAATCTGATGGGTCGTCGGCCAGGACCAGCTTTCTGCGCTCTGCGTAAGGAAAAGCGGTCACTCTCTTTCGCGTGGCTGTGGCAGGGCTTCCACTTTGGTGGCCGTCAGCCTTCAGCTCCCAGACGCGGACCTGCACATATAAATCGAAAGTTTTCTTTATATATTAAATGAAATTCGAAATGCCTTCTCATAAGGTTAGTATCATCATTTACCGTCTGGTCGTCCGAGGAAGTTGTGAACTTTCCGACCCCTGAGGGGCACCTGTTGGATCAAGATGATTCTGGGTGAGGATCTTAAGAGATGGGTTCGCATACTCTCCGACAGTCGCAAGGTCAAAGGGCGTACCAGTCAACTGCCGTGACTTCACCTTCATGGCCAGCAAACTTGAATGGATTTGATTCGGGCCTTTGAATCTGGTGTCAACGAAAGAAAAAAAAATCTAGAAATGAAATGCCAAAGAAACGCGAAGGAAATCGAACCACCAGACTAGTTTGTTTGATAATGACCTGCCATATGTATGCATTCCCGTCACTAGAACCACTGAGGATATGAGCAGCGTCTGGACTGATACGTGACTGAAATCGCAGGCAAAATGCGTATGAAGGCGTAAGGAAAGGAGACGAGCACTTTTATGTATTTATTTATTTATTTAAATACAATATTAGAGCTTACCTTGATGTAAAATGAGTCTATCTTGCAACCAGTGAAAGCTTTCTGGGGACCCTTTTCAAGATGAAGCACATCATACAGGTAAATACTGCCAAGATTGCAAGGAGAATTAGACAAGCACAGCACATGATGACTACAAGATTTAGAAGACTACCTGTTGTCCATACAGGAAGCTGCAAGGTGCACACCATTGGAGTCTTGAGATAGACAAGAAATTCCATGTAGACCCCTTGCCTTCACAAAGAGTGAATGGAATAACTGACTAGCCAGAATGCATTTAAAGAAAATAATCACTGAAACTGATCATAAATCCTTCAGATAATGTAAAGTGCAGCACGTCTTTTTACGTACTATTTGTCTGTACATCATCGGTTCGTAAGCAGTGACTAACCTTTCCTTTTGACGGTTCCAAGTTGGGGCATCCCTGTGTGAGAGGGGATTTCAGGCTGCGGGTATCCCAGAATTTCACTACGCTGAGGCAAACAAACCGAAAAGTAAAGTAATGAAAATAAAAGCGATACAATGCGCAAGGCGAAAAAAGAACTTAAATCAATAGGTCTAAGATGAATCAGGTACAGTCGTAGACCCACGAGATACTTAGCTCCCAGAAGGAAGGATCAGAAACGAAAATCGAATCTTTCAAAGAAATGAAAAGAAATCGGTGAGGGAATTCTCTCTCACCTGTCGACTGCTCCAGCAGTGGCAATAGATACGTCATCTTTCAGATATAAAACAGATGTGATGCTCGTAGATGCACCCTGAAAGAGAGGAAACTTAGTTAGAGCACACCAGACAGTCAATTTCCAACAGCCATCAAAAATCGTTCAGAAAAATACCTTTCCACCCCTGCTCCTCCTCACTTTAGATGCGAAATGTGCACCCTTGACTTCAGCAATTGATCTGAAAATTGCAAATTAATTAACGTCAACACGAAGACTATGAACACTGTTGGATGGACATAATAAACCATATCTTTGCTTAGAATTTCAGACAGATAAAACGATAAATCGTTAACATAAATTAAGAAACATACGAGAGCCATGTCTCCCCGTCAGTGTTTAGGGAAATAGAATTCTGTCTCAAATCCCAAAGCGCGAAAGATCCATCCCTTGATCCAGAAACAAAACATTCTGTTCCAGAGATAAAACAAAACCTTAAACCATATCTTTGTAATCAGAAAAAAATACTACAAATTCATTAGACGATGCATTGTGCAATGGATTAATTACCAGGGTGAGATGGGTGAGAGCTAACTGATTTTACACTGCCAGAATGCCCTTTCATGATGCCAACGCATTTTGTGGTCTCAACATTCCATGCTTTTATCTGGTCAAAACAGGCAGAATAATTAACGGGGTTCGGAGCCATAAACTCATAGGGCTTCCACCCAGTACGACAGAATACTTTTATGCAAATTCCCCAAATTACTACAGGACCCCAAATATTAGTGTTGTAGGCATTTTGAAGTTGCATTCTATGAGGACTTGTTATTCATTACACGCAAACATCATTGGCGGAACTTTCGAAAACAAATTTGTGGGGTTTTTCCAACAAAAATTATGAATAAATTCCAAAGGGCAGTAATCTTACAGTTTGGTCACCCGAAGCGGTCAGAATGTGCATCTCACCCTGTAAAACAGAAACATGACCGAAAACAATGGTGTCAGATTATTGAGTTCAAACATTCTTAACATGTACGAATTTCTCAGTCAATCGATGGACTGTAAGCAAGACTGGTTCTAGTAAGACGGGACTTCTCTTTTTAGCTACAGGGCATATCTGAAAAAATATGTCAATCTCTCCGCTGTGTGGATTTTAAGTATTTCAGTCAGTACTCAATGCCTCTCTGAAAATTTTCGAAGGATATCGAGTCACTGTAAAACATTGCAAGATTATTTTCCCCTCTCTTGGAAACCAACGAACACGGGCACACATAATAGATACGCTTCGGCTTTCAAGACATCCAGCATTTACTCCAATGCGCAAGAAATCTCAAGTATTTTAGGACTTGATCCATGACCCCATTTTCTCGCAATTTTAGTGTCAATGTAGCAGGACAAATGCGGGTGGAAGGAGTCATCACCTTCAGCCAGCATACATCAAATACGGCATTCTTGTGCGCTATCCACTCGCGGAGTTTGGCCCCTGCTGAAAGGCACCAAAAAGTCTGTCAAATCAAACAATTTCTTCCAAAGATTGGAGCCAGGACTGTCATTAGGGTAAAATACATGATAACTATCTATATACCTTTTCTCTTCCGGATAGGCGCAAAAGATAGCGGGAACCGCCGCGTGTCATATAAGCTCACATATCCATCCTCGTCGGATGCCGCAAGAAGATGAGAACTCCTGATCGTCTGCGGGTTCCGACAACAGAAATCAAACCATATTTAGACGATGACAGGGGAACAAAAGCAGATTAACCGAAAATTCAAACAAATCTAGAAACATGTAAAAGGACAGACCTCGCAGAAGGAAAGAGCGAGGGGAAGCGCGGCATCACCATCGTGTTCGAGTGCCACGACATTGGATTCCGTCGATAGACCTGTCAGCCATGACCTCGTCGGACCTACCCAACGAGGAGGGAGGAGAAACAAAATTACGACGAGTAAGCCCCCAAAGGAGAACGAAAAAAAACATCAAATATTAGGCAGATCGTGACAGCGTAGAAGAAGATAACCAACCTCGAAGCCCATTGAGTTCCCGGCTACTTAGATCACAAAAGGACGAACAAGATGGTGAAGAGTTCCCAGTCCGCATCATCTTCCTCATCTTTCCCGCGTACCCCCCTTCGACGTGCAGAGCACAGTGCGCGGGGGCCGAAGATAGACGAAAGAGGAGGGTGAATGGACAAGAATGGTCCTTTCCCTCTCTCGAGTCGAAACCAGAATGCCGTCAATCGTGGTGTTCCGCGCCAAAACGGTGAGAAAAGGCGGGAATTTTCCGAGACCGATTTCACGAGCTGACATAAACAATGTGAACTGACTAAAATACCCTTGGATACGTTACCATCGGAGTACGATATTCAGAAATTGACGATAAATTCCACATTCTCAACGGAATAAGCTTACGTATCATTATAATTTTAAGAACAATTAATTATTTAAATAAATCGACCTTACCACGATCTTCTCATTATACAAAGTAAAATACAAGTCATAAATTTATTTTAAATTTATATTTATGAGAAAAAATGGTGGAATAATCAATTTGACTATTCATAATTATGCTTCCAAATGGGACGTCAAAATAAAATATCGGCGTATCTTCTTTATTATTCCTTTGTCGCATGATGTCCTCGATCAACTGACGGAGGCTTATGCTTACGAAAGTCAACACAACAGAACTGAATGCTAACATTCTCCGCCGACAAGAACGGACCCTCCAGGATCCCCCAATGGCGGACGCGGCGTTAACCTTCTACAGTTCGTCCTGCATGACCAAGACATCCGGAATAGGAAATAAGAAACGAAGCCAACGACGCGGATCCAGCTAGACGTTGACTTTACAATAGATAACTGAAATATAGGACCGTACGTGATTGGGGATCTCCCCAGCGCCGCCCTGCGCCACCTCGGTCTTCTCCTCTTCCTGTGAAGCGAGGGTCAGCGGACGTTTAATACGTCAACAGAAGAATGAAGAAGGTCAACGGCGGAGGCAGTCGGAAGCTCACGTGAGACTCATCGGCGTCGCTCTTCTCGCCCTCCTCTACATCCTCCTGAGGATTTAGAACAGGCGGCGTTAAGTAGAGACTAGAGCGAGAGAGGAGGAACTAACGGGATGAACTCACTTCAGATTCTTCGGCGTCGAGATCGTTGGCGGCCTCCTGTTGACGGAAGCAGATGAAGAGAATATTACCAGTTAAGGAAGCAAAAACAACAAAGAGTCCCTCTTTTGGGGCCTGAGAGGCGAAGAGAGCAGTACCTCCTCTTCCCTCTTCCTCTCAGCTTCCTCGAACGCCGTCTTCTCTGCCTGCAAACCCGAGAAATCAGAGTCAACAGGAAAACTACTATTTGCCCCGTTATCTGAAGCAACATCACAGAGCCATGCAACATACATCTTTGTACTTTCCCCACGTTTCTTCTGCTACCTTCAGGGCGTACTCAGGATCGTCGCATATCAGAATGTTGTCGAATATGCTGCCAGATTTTACCTGAAATGGATAAAAACATTATTATTTTTTTCCCCAATTTATCTGATTTTCTATCCCTTGATGGAATAAAAGTCATACAGATGATTACCTGCCACAGCTCAAATCCCACGTACTTGAGATTGGGGAAGACATAGAGATTCGGGTCCTCTTTGAACTCTGTAGGATGGTGGCCCAGTCAAGTATTGAGTATTTTGAACGAGCCATAGATTGAATGAAATCTGTGCAAAGTGATGGATGAATGATATCTGAGCATTCTGAAGGAACCAGAGATTGAACCTGGGTTGTCTATAACGGGTGCGCTCCACTTGCCCTTGTAATCTCGGTTCCTAATTCTCTGCAGATCGGAGAAGACCGCTGTCAGACTCGAACTGTTCTTTATGATCGCACGGAGATCATCTTCCAAAGTTGCTTACCCTCGGTTTCCACGGACCCCTGTAGTCTGGATTTGGAATTGTCGGTGCCGTCCATTTACCGTCTTCCTCATCAATCCAGTCTTCTGGCTGTAAGCGCGTAGCCGTAGCACAAGTGAGATTAGTAACCATGAGTTGGGCAATGAAGAACTAGGAACTAGTGAGCAGTAGGACGATATTGGTTTCCTTTTTTTGACCTTCGTGGCATCAGGGTCTGGAATTTCCTCCGGAATATCATCATAGCCCTGATAAAAGTCAACACTATTCAATAAGAGGGTGGCCCGAGGTCAAAGGTTGCTGCAAATTGATGAAACAGAGAGAAGAATCCAGTCATCACCTCGGGCTTCTCGTCCTCAGGATCTGGAATGTACTCCCGGTCATCCCAATCCTCGGGCTGTCGCATCAAGACCATACTTGTTATACGGAGGAATTCAACGGAAGAAGAGTTAGAGAGCAGGAGCGAGGTCGAGGCGCCTCAGGCTGCAACCTTTTTGGCGTTGGGATCCTTGATCTTTCTGGGAGGGAGAATCAACCAGTCGGTTTCGAGGCTTCCCGATTCCGTCTGCTTGTTATCAATCAGTATGCTGTACGTGTTGTCAGGGCGGATGATGAATGAGTAGATGTGGGTCAGCTGGTCTGTTTCACAGGTGACATCCTTCCTGATCCGGTAATTCCTTTTTCTACGGTTGAGTATAGCATGGACTGTCTTCATGTTTGTGCCACAGATATCCGGTCCAAACATAATACTGCATCAAGGAAATTGGTTATAGATGATTAAAGATAATGAAATGAGAGATTAATAAATACAGTGGTCATTTACTCTGCAGTACATCCAGTTAAAAAACTATGATCATCAGTTACCTATACTTAGTTTCTCCTCCGAATGTCTTCTGATCGATATCACCGCTAAGCAACTTAATGTACCCACCGCCACAGTCAAGATATTGCTCGTGCTTCACCGAATACTGAATTACCAATGTCTTGTTCTTGTTGCTGAATTCCGGGAACTGAGCAGAAATGGCAAAAAATCTGTAGTCCGGAGTAGTTTGGATGCCTGATCACAAGCGGGGGGAATTTAACTAAATACGGGACTTAGGAAATATTATTCATTAGATGTAAACTGGGTTTAAAAAAATAAACGAATTCTTCAGCAGCAAGAACCAGCATCAACTTAGGAAAACCCTAAAAAAGGAAAACTTATAATTTAGGAGGCATTCTTTTAATCATAGCCTCAATGGGAAATCATGTTTACAACTCATTCTCATCAGTCCAACAACCTAGGACACCCACAAGTCAAAGAAGACAGCTAACTTAAAATGGATATCAACATATTTGTGATCATGAGAAACGTAAATAGTTTAATATCCTTGTCGTAAGAAATTATTTCTATTGTCATTATGATTATCATCATGGGTATGATTATCATTATCATCATTTGTATTATTATAAAATGTCCTGGTTACTACTACCAGGCATGTGGAAATGGTTTCATTCAACACAATCCCACGCAGTACAATCTATCTGGGGAGATGATACCAATATATAACTTGCAAAAACTATAAAACAACAATGACGTACCTTTGTCGTTGGGATTACCGCTCCAGTTTCCAGCCGTGTGAATCCAATCTCCGGCCATGTTTTCCTCTTTCTTCCAGTCAGATTTCACCCATCGTTCTTCCCATCCATCTGAAAACATTTGACGAAAACATTACAGTTCAGTGGTCACCGATGTTGTATCAGGAAGTGATCCGAACAAAAGGATTTGACAATCCTCCATGGAGGAAAGTCTTCGTAGGGAACTTTCATTGAAGAAAAAGAATAATTTACTTATTTTAGGAAGATTACTCGAAAACGTGTGGTCTCCCAATATCGTATTCTTGCACCAAAAGAAAACAATTATGACCGAATTATGCCCAAAATTGGACTAATGAGGAAAATCATTGGGAAGTTCACCACTACATTAATCATAGGAATAAGCAAGAAAAAAAAAAAATGGATGAGACACGGCTTATCGCTCCGTGGTACAGAAAAAACGGGTCCATCTTCAGAGACGGCGAAAACTGATCCTTCAAAGCAGAAAAATACTTGTTGATCAAGACCGGACGATGAAGGGAAATCGAAAGTTTCGATGCGACGACTCCGTAAGCTAGTCGACTCATCACTAGAGACGATGCCGTGAAGGATCTGCTTCGTGAGAGTGGAGCGAGCAGCCCGAGGACTCAAGGATTACCATCGAAGCGCTCCTCGAAGAAGACCTCTCCAGAGGCGACAGGGACGAAGGAGATCACTGCAATGGCGGCGACGCAGGCGAGAATGCGTCTCCCTCTGTCCATTGGAACAGTGGAGTGTCCACTTCAGTGGCCGTTACAATTGCCAGAACGGCCGTTGGCAGAGAGAACCTTTTTTATAGTCACCCCGAACCTAGCGGGACACGTTAACTTGTCCTTCAGTACGTCTTTACAATACCGTGCTCTAGAATCTCTATGCTGGACATGGCGAAATCGCGAAAATCATATGCGACTAGTTTGGAGACCAATTGGAGAGAGCCGCGACGACAGCACACCGGCTCTCCCATGACAGTCAAAGACCATAATGCCCCCATATCGTGCTATTATCAATGTTTCACGTAAAACATAGGGCTTAGCCATCGTCCGACGTGGCAAAAACTGATTGGCGTAGGCACGTCATCCGTCCCGGAAATTATTTTTGAGGAAGCGTCAGCCGTACGATGCTCTTTGATCGAGGTGCACCCCAGGGCATGGTACAATGATTAGAAGGGTTCGTCGATTAGACTGGCGAGTGATGAACCTTTGTGTGAATCGTCACGCATCGAGTCAGTGAGTGATGGGCCAAAGAAGACGACAAAACCACCGCCCCCTGTCACCGAGCACCTATTCGTCCTCGTTTAAATGCCCAGAGACGATTATTATTATTATTTTACTATTTCCATTTCCTACGTTTATTCTGCGTATGGGACTATTTATCTTCAGTCCGTTGGAACGAGTTTGGTGTTGCACCCATTTGTTCCTCCTCTTTCTCGTGACCATCTCCGACGATCACGCAAATGAAGGGTTTAGTGACGGTTTTCCCGGGTAAATATTAGAATAAGTGGTAATGTATTAGGACGTATGAACTTGCATGATATCGTGGGTGAGACGATCAGAACCGGTTTGGACCGAAGGATCGGAGATGGATGAAGCTGTAGGATAGTCAAAAGAATCTCTCTCTCTCTCTCTCTCTCTCTCTCTCTCTCTCTCTCTCTCTCTCTCTCTCTCTCTCTCTCTCTCTCTCCCAACGTTTCTCTTTTCATCAAACGCTATCATTATCGTACCCAAAGTTGAACTGCCGATAGCATTCGTGGTCCATTCCGTTCAAGAAGAAGACTAACATGGAGGCGAACAAGAGAGCCGCGCTGTTGCGCGCGTGCTCATAAAAGCCTACATCCCTGTAGAAGCACTGGACTCTACTCTTACCATAGACACAGAGGGCGGGGTTCTGGTGGGGGGAGGGAGAGAAAGAGAGAGGGAGAGGAGAGAGAGGAGGGAGATAAAGGGAAGAGAGAGAGAGGAAGATATGTTTATTTCATCTGTGCAAGATGGGTAGATAGGTGTCACATAGATGACTGATCGTCTTGGACTTTCTTTTAATCCCTCGCAGATGAAAATTAATGTGGAAGAGAGGGCCTTACAGAGATTGGAGGAGACCAAATTCATCAGCCCGTGAACAGAGATATTGTTGAATACGTATGAAGGTAGATGAACCGCAAGCATCGTCATGGACGATGGAGAAGACTTGTTCGTACTCCTTCAAGGTCAAACCGATGGAGTCAGTTCCTCCGGAGTAAGCTTCTGGAGACAGAGTGCTTTGGCGGAAGAACCTGATGGAAGGGATGCGGAGAGGTGAAGCCCGCCGGAGGTGCCTCTGGTACTGTGGACACTAGGGTTTGATGTACGTTCATTATCAGGTTCCTCCGAAACGTGACGGTGACCAGGCACTTGCACTCTCACTTGTGAAGTACGATGTATACGCGAGCGGCACCAGACAAAGGCCTCGGCTCGTCAAGTCCCGCTTAATATCTTCTTCCTCTTCATTTGAAACCTGCTCAACGCATTGGCAAAACAATGTGAGACTTTGAGGAGCTTGGTAGGAGGAGAAGGAGGCTACGTGGTCATATCAATATTAGCATAAAATCAAAATATAGACTTGTAATTTTTGGGCACAGACGACGGTTTCGCTGCACATAATGAAGTGGGTTCCTACCTCCTGGACTGTGCCGATTGTACGCTTTCTGGATGACCTCAAGTAAGGCATGCTTAGAGTCTGTCAAAGAAAAATAAATTATTCGTCAGAAATTAAATTAGTTTAAAATCCATCACAAGAAAATCATAGATGCTTGGTTTTGTCACAAAAATACTCAGGCTGGTGGAGTCCACCTAAGTCGGTAAGCTATGACAGTCTCTATCCCTTGGCCTGGGGACAGTCTATGATGACCTAAGTTTGTCTATTTCTGGGACTCCTTTTTACAGGTGATGACAAGGGTTCCCGAAATGGATTACCTGAACTTGTTCTTGAAGGAACTTGATATATCCGACGGCCTCAGTTAACACGGATGCTGTATCAGTCTGCATGAAATTAACCGCATGTTTAGTCACCTAGGAAATTACTAGGAAACGCAGCCATACATTAGATAATTTAATAGAACTACTTCGCGATATACCACAGACAAGAGGATGAAGAAAGATCAACTTTTCTTATAGCATGAGATTCAAGGGCGACAAAAGACGACAATAAAGAATAGAACTACGACAAAAATACCAAGAGTAAAGGAACGGAAATAAAGGGTGTTTATTTAGAGTAGAATTAGATGACGAGATGCTTTTGAAACATAATTTGCACCCGCTAAAAAATATACAATTAATAATTTATAAAAAAAATTTCTTCAAGGGGGCATGTAAGTTATTTCCGGAATAGAACAAGCTGTGATGTAGATTATTGGTCACCATTCGAAAATATTATGAGGTTGAAGATTATGTTGTTGACGTGCCGCTAATATTAATTAATTATGAGTTTAATAGCCACTAAATAGTGTACAAAACTTGAGTGTTAATTTTGTGGCCAGTTATCATCGATTTTAGTCATAATTTCATATTTGTTAATTTAAGGAGAGTCGAACTTGTTTATGTTTACAGAAACGTAAAAAAACTTCACCTCACAATGTATGACAGGAAGCAACAAGAATCAATCGCGTTGTATATAAAAGTTAGCAGTCAGTATCTATCGCACAGATTGGATTCAATGGAAAGGCCAGTCTGTGTGTTAATCCCGTATAAGCTACCGACCTTACCAAAAGGAGCCACCAGCTGTTGAAGAGCAGCAACCCTATCGCTTAACTTCTCCTTCCTTACCTGCTTGCAGCAGCACAAGATATACGAAGGTAATAGAAATTTCTTTCCAAATAAATAGGCCCACCATCCTCGGAGATACTCAAAGAAGAATGACGCGGGAGTACCTTCAAATGGGGAGACGACGACGGGCGCGGTTGCAGGCGGGGCTTCTTCGCGGCCGGCGGGAAGGCTTCAGCGCCATCTGGGTCTGGTCTTCCGCCGACGAAAGACGACATCTTTGTCGAAAGCAAAAGCAAAAAGGGGGGAGGGGGGGGTCAGCTGTTTAATCCGAGTGATGGCCACTGCTCAGGAATCCTCAGTTCTAGATTATTTTCTTTCTGAAAATGATCCACAAAGCTGAAAAGAGAAACCCTTTCCGGGTTTAACGGAGGTCAGGAAGAGTGGGATGGAGAAATTCACTATGAAAGGACAGCTATCTGATCCATGCATCATGAATGTTGCTCTGCGTTCGTTGGATAATTCAAGATGGCATAGAAGTCTCGCCTTTGATCGGAGGGGGAAATAGGTTAATATTTGACTACAAAAGGCGACTAGAGGAGAAGATGGGCAACTACGGAGATGCTCATCTGGATATAATAATGAAGTATTGGGGCTCAAGATATCAAAATAGATACTCTTCGGCCTCGTATAATAACTATTTCCCCCATACCTACTGTTTATCCAAGAAATAGACAAAAAAGTACTCGTATCTCTCCATGCTTTTGATGTGAACGAGAAGCCAGTGACGGACGCCCTAAACATGTCGTAGTAACCACATTTCCCGGTGATCGAAGATCCAAACTACCACTGTTTGAGTAATAACACTAAAAATCTAAAACTACCTCATCGAAGCAGCGAACTCAGTCGGGATGAGTATGGTGTGAGTTATGAACGAATGTTAGAATAGAACAGGTCGCCACGGAAACATAGAGGAGATTAGAGGCTTCCTCACCTTCGGACACTCATTTGACGTCCACTGATGGAATGGAAGTTGAATATCCCCCAGATTGTGTGGCCCTCCTTCCCCACTAAAGACCATATTGCTGAGAGAAGGCTGGAGAAACGTCTGATCAAACCCGGAAGAAGCCAGGGCCTCCATAGCATGGAGTTCCTGCATGGCAAGTGAACTCACGAACGAGTTGGAAGAAGACGGACTCGAGCCCACGAGATCTGAACCGCTTCCACATCTTGACTCATCAGGTGTAGCGGAAAAATCGTTTAGCCTGCCTCTGGTTGAGTTGTCTCCGCCGGGGTTCCAAACTGCACCGCAGCTGGTGAGCTTGAGGAAAGGATACGACGGTTCCTCGGTGACACCGCCAAGCTGGGCCTCATGGTCGCAGGTGTCGGAGATGGAGGACCTCTGGAGACCGATCTCAGGAACGAGGGAGATGTTGGAAGGATGAGGGAGGAAACTGCCCAGGCCATACTTCGGGTCTGCGAATGAGCCTGGGAAATGTTCGTCCTTGTTTGAAGAGCTGAAGTTTTCACCTTTCCTGATCAGAGAGATCAACATACTGTGATGATTTGTGCATGATGTAAGCAAGATGAATACAATCTTCTGCTGCGATAAGTCAAAGGGTAGACTACATGATTCTTATGGCAATCATTGATACGAGATAAAAGGAAAAAAACTCGAGAAATTAGCTGTAAATACCGTCCTTAGGCCTCTCTCTCTCTCTCTCTCTCTCTCTCTCTCTCTCTCTCTATCCCTCCAATGTAACAAAATGAAAATTTAACCCTGGAGTTGAGACATACAGATTCTTTTGCAAGAAAAAAAACCAACAAAGGATGTACAAGAAATTCAATCGGTTTACGTTCGAATAAAAGTTTTCCACCCAAATGGTTCGGGAAGGGAGATCTTGTGTATGGACAAACGACAGGGGAGATAAGTCCAGTGGAACTAAAATCCTATGAATTTCAGCATCCCATCCCCTGATGACACACGAGAGCCCTAAATTTTAGCTGATGATCAACTTCACGTTTTGGAGGAAAATTTAGATAAATTTGAGAAACCTTAGAGGCTTACAATATGTGGTTGGAGCTCCACGCGCGGTAGCTTCCAACAAGAGGTGATGCGGGAGCTGCTGCTATTGCTGAACCACGGAGCTGTGCTTGCTGCCGAAGGTGGTGATCCAGCTTCGAAGGCTCCATCGAGGAGATTTTGTTTAAAGGCTTTAGGGTTCCGATGGGAGGATAAAGAAGGAAAGGAGAAAAAAAGACTCTGAATCTCCAGCTCCACTCAATGAAACATTTCAGGTGACCCCCCGCAAGTCTTCTTGCTTTTTGGGTGCTTTACTGACTCACTTTCCTCTTTGCGCTCTCCTCTCTCTCTCTCTCTCTCTCTCTCTCTCTCTCTCTCTCTCTCGCTCGCTCGCCAAACTCTTCTACAGCTCCAAACAAATGTTCTCTCGCTCTCCTCTCCCCACTCTCACGTTTTCCTTTACATGATAACTGTCTGCTGCCTCAAATCAAAAGCGAAGAAGGCCCGCCACTCTTTGCCTCCAATTTGGGCTTAAAAGTATACCAACGTATATTTAGTTATATCACATATTTTTTTATTTTTCATTTGGACTGAATGCTTTTCCTGCTCCTGCAATAGCAGAGATATAAATACAGCTTCTATTCCATGCCCATTCCCGAATCCCTGCCCTCTGTCCCGAGCTTTTCTATAAAACTGGGGAAATCTCTCTCTCTCTCTCTCTCTCTCTCTCTCTCTCTCTCTCTCAAACTGCGTGCATGTGCTTATTCCCCCAATGAATATTTCACGTGGCGAGAAAGAAAAATTACCTTAAAAAGTTTTCCCCTTTCAACACTCATCATCGAATGATGCATAGGCAAACTTGATCTTCATGGAGTAAACATGCATCGTCTTCCGTGGTGCCTTCTTTTCTCAGAATAATTTTAGAAAGTACCTGCGTTGCATGCATCTGTATTCTCGAAACGTCGGTCATCATCTCCCATCATGAATAAAAACGCACTCTATAACACTTTTTTTCCTGAAGCTTTGTCATTCCCCAAATATTACTAACATTTTTCATGGAATGACTCTTAAGGCGTCTGTGAGATGAGCAGTCCAACAAAGTCCACCCATTTTGTTTTCCATGCTACCCTTTAAAATGAAGCATGTAAAGAAAAGGCTTCCATTACTTCGATTCATTTCCTATCTAAACCAAGATGGGCTCTTCATTGGCGATAGGCGAGGAAGCTTGAAGCATGTTTCACTGTCACTATGCATTATATATATATATATATATATATATCGCTATCCATCTACCTATCTCTATCAATATATATTTTTTGTCCGTACATACAAATATCTATCTACCGACATGCCGATTAATCTATTTTTCTATTTCTGTGATAAGTACAACTTGATAGGTTTTATAAGAGCTTAAAGAAAATGGAGATAAATTATTTGTCAGAAAATAATCTCAATGTTTTTCTTACTTAGAAAGCAGCAAAGTTGACGAACATAGGAGTACGTGAGGTAAAAAAATGGGAAATTGAATGCTGGTTAGTTTAGAACGTAAGATCTGCATTGATAATCTATTAGCACAAGGGAAGAATCAAAGACGTACAAATTGGCAGCTAGTTGATATTCGGCTGCAGTTAGGGTTATCAATGGTCCACTTGAACTGGGCACATCTTGTCAAGGTTAATTAAAGTTTGCGTCTCTCTTAATGGTCTGAACCCAACTCAGATATCGAGAAAACCCAGGAAAATGGGATCAAAGCAAACCAAATGATGTAAGTTAGTGAATGTGTGACTACTGAGAGAGAGAGAGCGAGAGAGCGCGCGCGCGCGAGAGAGAGAGAGAGAGAGAGAGAGAGAGAGAGAGAGAACGAGAGAGAGAGAGAGAGAGCGAGAGAGAGCGCGAGAGAGAGCGCGCGCGCGAGAGAGAGAGAGAGAGAGAGAGAGAACTTAGTGATCGACTTCAGGACAGATCTGCACTATGAATAACACGTTCTAGGCTAGTAAACCAGACAACTGGAACTCAATACCAGATATGGGGAGCATTTAACTCTTTGGCTTAATTCGGTTTTTATCCTCGGCCAGCCTTAAATATATATAAGATCATCATTATTTGACATTATTGTTAATGACCTAGATTCTTCTCATACTTGGAAAACATTCAGATGTAGACGGAGCCTTATTTAGACAAATGATGAACGAAGCAGTTTCGGGTCATTTTGATCGTAATCAATAAAGACGAGTGTATGACTGTATCCCGTTGATCCACTAAGCCAAAACTAGAAAACATGCCCTTCAAAACGCTCTTTTAACGATAAGCGTGCATCAAAAACCTCATTCTGTCTCGTTCTCGATAATCCAATGCCCACTTGATCTCCAGGTAGAGTGTATGAGCTTGTAGCAGAAGGGGGGGCGAGGGGGAGGGTGTGGGAGGGGGTTTGGACGGATACGAACCATTTTGGTCCATAGGCCCACATTGTCCTGGACCTCGTCTGCTCCGGCTCGGAATTCTTGAAGACCTCTGGACTAGCCTGGGGTTCCCATTCAATGGGCCCGTTCCAGCACATCAGCAGGCCTGCAGAACGGCTTCAACCCGAGAGCCTACGGTAACCTGGGATTTCTAGTATTATTTTAAAATTAAAATTAGTTGCAGACAAAGATCCAATTACTGTGTTCGACTTACTGACCTGAGACGTGTCGTTTGGATCTATATCGACCAGAGGAAAACGTCTAGCCTATCGAAATTTGGGCCGACAAGAGTCAGTCAATCTCGAACTTCGATAATCTTCCTTGAGCATACATTGGGTTCGTGGATAAGATGATGCTTTATTCATGTAAAAAGAAAAAACGCCTTACTTCCTGCCGCGGTTCTCTCTCTCTCTCTCTCTCTCTCACTCTCTCTCTCTCTCTCTCTCTCTCTCTCTCTCTCTCTCTCTCTCTCTCTCTCTCTCTCTCTCTCTCTCTCACTCTCTCTCTCTCTCTAACTCTCGTTCTCTCTGTCTCTCTCTCCCTCGCTCTCTGTCTCTTGCTAACCCATGACTATGGTCGAGAAATTAACAACATGGGACGCAACGTCGCGGCCTCGGTCCGAATGATGCGGCTTTTTGACGAAGGATTTCACGGCAAAAAGATCCGTCATTTCATGGCACGGACGGCGGGAAAACGACGTGAACATACAAAAGCATTTGCAGAGATAACGAGGAAAACGAAAGGCAGCCCCCAGCCCACCTCCCGCACAAGTGCGCTTGATGATAAGACCCCTGGATCAAGTGGCACTAAACAAGTGGATCCCCTATTCTACTCTCTCGTCCAGACGACCGCCATCTTCAGAGATGCCGTTCAAGGGATAGCGACCATACAGGGGATGTGAGATAATGGTGGCAAAGTTCTTTCCAATGACAGGCGGCGGTTAGCTCAGAGAGGGAGTAAAGGGAGTACGTCTCCACTATATGAGAAGGAAAGAACCCAGTGTGAAAAAGATGGGAATATTTCCTTTTCTGGCGGTGATCATGTCTTGAATTTAATAGCTAATTGGGTCGTTGCTGTCTTCCCTTTTGTTTTCTCCATTTCATTTTCTGTTTGGACAAGCATGGCTGTGATGGCTTTGCAAAAGAGCAGACCCATCTAGATGAAAAGCTGCACAGGTGGTTTCTCGGGTGGATCCCCATACTGTTCGAACTCAACCAGATCCTCTGTATGTGCCAATGAGAGACAGAGAGAGGAAGGTTTCTCATGCAGGTGATCATGACACAACCATGCTGTAAAATATTAGAGCCAAAACTTCCGAACCCAATGTAGATCTGAACTTCGATGGGACACCCCTCGCTTGACCACCGTGTGACACGACAATCTGATCTTGCTCATGAGGTTCAAGCAAAATTTCAGAATAGATAGAATCATGCACTGAATAAATGAAAGCGGACGATAGGCAAACGGAAACTTTTGCAACAGGCTAGACATGGAAACCAGGACTAAGAGAATGTTCCCATCTTTGGAGCACCAAATTCGCAGACGCATCATCCCCAATCGCAGGGAGAAGATATATGCCGTTCCACTGTCACATGGGATGGAGGGGAGAAAGTCAACTTGTTGACGGTATACTGCTGAAATTATGCACTGATCGAATAAATCTTTGAGAGTCAATGCCCACCGAAATTCGTTTATCAACATCAGTCGCGCATTGTAATTCACGACGTTCTATCTCCCCATTGAATCATCATCTTCACATTCAACAGTGATTGCGACCCGTGACGGTCCCAGAGGCTCGTTCCCCCGGGCAGCAACTAGCTCTGTTTCAGAGCCACCCTTGGACTGCCGGAGCTCCCCGTCCAGCTGACGATGCAGCAAATTGGATTGGACTGCCTTCAATGCTTGAATAGATATCACTACCTTGGCGGACCCCACGCCCCCTTTCTGCTCTTAAGTGGTAGCTCCCCAAGAACTGCATTACTGGCTGGCTTACCTCCCATCAAACTCAAAAAATTCGACATGAACATGTTTTCCGGTCCTTGATTGGAGAGAGACTTATCTCTAGTAGCACATACTCTCTCTCTCTTTCTCTTTCTGTATTTATGAACAGGTGGAGTTCACTAGGGTCAAATCAAGTTAAGGCCCCTTTTGCACTGTCATCAGCCACTCATTTACGCATAACGATTGGATCATTCCAGAAATTTAACAAGAATGTGCTTTCGGATGTCTGCAATCGGAGACCAACCCATTTCCAGCAGACTCCTCTCTCTCTCTCTCTCTCTCTCTCTCTCTCTCTCTCTCTAGAGAGGTGGAGTCCACGAAGGACAGATCAAGCCAACCCCTCCCCAGGGCAGTCAGGCTGCTCTCCCCAGAGATTCTTCATATGGTACTCGAACTTACTGGCCACCCGCTCGGGGACCGATAGAAGCACAGTGAAAGCATGCAGATCACCAATGACGGGCAGGAAGAGGCAGTAAATCTCGCTGGCGAGCGGGCCCACGTGGAGAGGCACACCTTCCCCGAAGTCAACATCCTCAAGTCCGAGCTTTGACCACTGGGAAATAACTAACGTCGCCGAGAGGTCCGGCTTCACGCGGTTATACTCCAAAAAGTCAACCATTGACCTAATGTAGTCGTCGGAAAGGCGCGCCTTCCCGGTCTGCACCAGCTCGACGACCCCACGCGGGTTCGACGACACGAGCTCCCCCGCAGTCCCCTCCGCGCAGCCGAGGACGAACCCGTTGCCGTAGAACCCGATGGGAAGCTGCGGTTTCAGCCTCTTCCTGACGTTGACCGAGAAAAACAGTTTGACCCGGAGCTCCGGTGGTGGGGCTAGCGACCTGATCCACGTGCGCCACACGTGCGAGGCTAGGGCTTCGAAGGAGGTGCACTTGAGCGAGGGCACGCACTGCTTCTTCAGCTGAAGGATCTCAGAGGGATCAAAGGTAAGGCAAACGGGAACCAACGGCTGGGATTGGAGGAGCTGAGCAAGATGCTCGGAGGCGGAGATTTGTGGGCCCGCTGGCGTGAACTCCGGGTGGGAGAAGGCGATGGCGGGGGGAGACCGCGGCCGGAGGATGCAGCGGCTGTGGAAAGGAGAGAGGGGCGGGGAAGAGCCAGGCTTGGCGGCGCAGTGAGCCCATGCGTGGAGGAACTGGGAGGAGCCGATGCCGTCGCAGACGCAGTGGTTGATGGCTGTGCAGAGAATCATGCCGCCGCAGCTGAGATAGGTCACCTACCCACCACGAAACTTCGAAGTTAAAAAAAACATATCGATGTCACTGGGTGGAGGAAACCCAGAGCGAGACTTTTAAGATTGTCCAATGAGGTCTGAATGTATCAGTCAGGACGTTAGTTGAAACGGCCAAGGAAATTAATATGAGAAGGGAGGACCGGGGGGGGGGGAGGGATGTTTGGGTGGGGAGAGGAGAGAAAGAAAGGCGAGAAAGGGATAGATAGATAGATAGATAGACAGATAGAAAGAGAGAGAGCATGGCTGGTCCTAAAAGCCTATGACCCTTCTCTTCTCTATCTTTCTATCTCCAGGAACAGTCCAGAGAATTCACCCCGGCAGCGGGAAAGTTTTCGGAGTCGAGAAACCAGAGCAAACGCCAAAGGGCAATACAAAGCACAGGAAAGAAAAAGATAAGGAGAAAATAAAGCCCAAGGGGAAAAGAAGGCCTCCACTGACAGATTCCGCTCGCTTGTTTACATTTCTGAGAAGTAAATGGTAAAGGGTAAAGTGGCAGTACTCGTCCAGCTTTAGCAGAATTAGAACATAATCCAGTAGGTAAAGAAATATGTTTGCATATTTATATCTATATGAGAAAGATACAGAGAGAGAGAGAGAGAGAGAGAGAGAGAGAGAGAGAGTACCTAAAAAGGGTAAAAGAAGAGCCAAGGAGCAGAAATCGTTGAGTATAGAGAACTTTCAACAGGACATTATCTATATGGCCAGACGAAGTTTACCCAGTTGAATAATGGATCAGACGGGTAAAGTCACCAAAATGGGGAGCGGTGGACAGTGTAGACTGTCAATCTTATCCTCAACTTTACCTCTTCGGGTTCACTATCCGTGGTTTGCCGGTGACGAAAAAGAAAGAACAAGGGGATAGAGAGACAGTGAAGGTGATAGATAGATGAGAGAGAGCCCATAAATCCGTGAAATCTTCTGAATACGAAAATGTTTCGTTTGCTAACTAAATTTTCAGTCCGTCAACTTGGTTTATTTCTCATTGGCGCAGCCTCCATCCTCTCTTTTACACGAAGCACCGACTGAGTCTTTTGGCACAGAGAGAGAAAGATAGAGAGAGCGAGAGAGAGAGGAGCTCACTTGGACCATGAGAAGAGGGACGCCCATGAAGCTCTGTGCATCGACCCTATACAAGAACTTCCTCCACGAGGCATTTGGCCTGCGGGAGGCCACCAAGAACTCGTCCACGCTGAGATCCACATGTCCTTCGGCAAAGACAGCCCCCTCCCCGTTGCAGTCCACCTCAAGCTTCTCTTCTCCGTCGCAATCCCTCAGCCTTCCCGCTAGTGGGTAGTAGTCCTCTAACACCCTAGATAGAGAGGCCTTGAGAGCCTCCACCCTCACGGATTTCCTATATAGGTACAGGTACTTAATTGAGAACCTGAGGAACTTCTGGTCGTCGAGGTTGGACAGGTAGAGAGAGTGCCTCGGGGGGCTGCTCCTGGGCCTCACCAGGGAGGGATCCCGGGGGTAGTGGCAATCAGGTACCTCTATCGACTTCAGCATGGCTCCCTCCCCCCCTTCCCCCCTCCTTCCGGAAAGCACGAGACACGGATACAGGGCTCCGGGTCAGTACTTATAGAAAGAGGAGAGATGAGGAAATGGCTGCGCTGAAGAACATGGTCTGTTGTGTATGTTTGATGACAGAGACTGATAGAGAGCTAGAGAGAGTTTAAAGACGGAACAGGGAAGGTGGAGTCGTTGAATAATCACCAAGCTCGGTTGGCTTCGAGAGACAAGAGGATTAGACGCGGTAGTTGGCCCCAGAGAGAGAGAGAGAGAGAGAGAGTTGGTGCTGACGAAATCCATTAAGATGAGCTGACGGGAACCACTAGAGGTGAGAAGTACAAGGTGGGCGGAGAGAGGTGTACGAAAATCGTCGGTAGTAAAAGACCATAATAAGCTGGCTCACTCATGAATGATGGCATTAATGTCCACGCGACAACGGTAATTACAAGATCCTTGTGTCAATCTGCGAGACTCTGTTAGCCAAACTGTGGGTCCCGCTTGCTTCCCTCTCGTGGTCCACGTACCCACTGGGCAGGCCAGAGAATGGGCGATGTCAAGGAAAATTAGGATTTCATTATACTGGCAATGGGCCGAGACGTCCGCTGCCAGTCTCAGCTCAAATCAATACTTCATTTTGCAAGACTAGGACATAGTCCCTACTGTATGCGGAATGCCCTTTGAAGCCCGGGTAGGCCGCCCAACAAACGCGAGAGAGAGAGAGGGAGAGAGGGATAGAGGGAGAGAGGAAGAGGGAGGGAGAGACATATTCTTGATCAGATGAAGATCAAGTGAAAAGAAAAGGGGTTACTAGCCGTCAGCATTAACTCTGTTGAACTGTGGAAATAAGACAAGGAGTGACTCTTCTTGGCGGCAAGTGGAGAATGATTGAAGCTGAGTACACAGGGTACGCAGATCAAACTCCGCAGTAAGCTGGGGATGGGGTCCAAGGGTGCAGCGCCACCTCGGCAGGAAGTATCATGAGGAGCAGTGCCCCCTGAAGAAAAAATTGATTTTAGCGATAGTGCTATAACTTGTCCCTAATGTGGGTACCCTGAACTCTTAATATTTTGTGGCCAGCCATCACGTATAACTAGTGAGATGATTTTCTCTGTAATAAGGAAAAATAAGAGCTATGTGATTGTGGACAGAAAAAAAATCTCTAAATCACCTAAATCTAGTTTTTTTTTCTTAAGGAATTTATTAAGGAGGGGACACTAATCAAGGAAGTCAAATAGTATATGAGGAATTTTCTAATCTGTGAGCACAAATTAGGTTTTTTTTATATGCCATCGCCAGATTTAGTCATGGTGATTTTAGGAAAAGTATGATGACATCGTGAAAATGTAATGAAGATCAGAACTTGAATAAGATTAAAACAATGTTTGGTGCTTGGCCTAGAACTTGAATAGGATAAAAACAATATCATTTTTTGTATTTCCATGATCAGTTCTAAAACATATTCAAAGTCTTCGTTGGTAAATTTTTGAGCTTAAGTGAGTAAACATAAATGTTTAGTTATTTATATTGATTCATTGTGAAAAATTATTGATAAACTAGATAGAGAAAATTAGATAGTATTTATTTTTATCTTCAATTAGTTTATTATTATTATTATTATTTATACTACTAACTCAATTGAGAATTTTAATACATTCGATTTCTTCTATGGTTTATTCCTTTTGCTTGAGAATATATCCAAATAGACATCAAAGGAAAGAACGCAACCTAGTGGAAAGCTTTGATGGGTGTATTGTGAAGAATAGCAAACCAACCCGAATCTTTCTCATTTGATTTGACTAATCTAGTGTTATCTCGATCAAGTAAATAATAATGAGTTATTTTAACAGTCCTGTCTGAGTATACGTACCATAGAATTAGACCTGTGGCAATTATTGGATCCATGTTGAAGATAATTAGATATTTAGTCTTTGTTTTAGGGCATCCCACGTGCACATCTGGGCAGTTCGGGAATATCTCGACTCGCTGGTTCCCCGCTCCTTCGACGTAGTTATACGAAGATTCAGCTTTCTGTCGCCAGTCCAAAGTGGCTTGTCGCATGTCAAAGACGTCAGAGGGGAATGACCCCATCGGAACGGCCCTTAGAACCCCCATGCCTCTGCCAGTGCATGCATCCACGGCTTTCATTATTGCGGTGCCCAATGCTGCCTTCTTAGCCGTTGGAACTCTCTCTCTCTCTCTCTCTCTCCCCCTCTCCCCACCAAGGGTTTATCTTCTTCCGGAAACGAAATCCAAGGCCAAGGAGGGCGCGGCTCATGGGATGAACCGAGTGATGTGCTTACGTGGGGATCCGCTGGGGATTTCTCGTCCAAACTTAATTGTTCTTTATGCCCCATCGTGCCATTGATTGATGTGCCGATCCCCGTCCCGGTTACGTTTCCTCGAATAAAACTGTTTAAATCTTACGATGACGTCGCGAGATTAAAATCTCCATGCACCGTACTACCACCTTGACCTTTAAATTTACCAGGTCAGGTCAGTGGAAGCGGTTTCATATTGTGAAAAAGACCATTTTATATGAAACGCACGGTATTCTTCGGAATCCATAGCTTTTCTGCTAGTGATCATGGGATCATCAGGGGCGAGTCCATGGTTGGGTCGTCTCTCTCTCTCTCTCTCTCTCTCTCTCTCTCTCTCTCTCTCTCTCTCTCTCTCTCTCTTACCAGGGGACCGTCTGGTCTGGACTGAGCCTTGTAAAGGATGCTCGCTCGCATTGAGATTAATATTATTCAGACATGATTCACACCAATGAGGGTGAAAGGGCATAACGGCGACGACAAGTGGGGGGCAGTGACAGGCCATATGATGCCCACAAGAGCAATTTGTCGCCATCGCGAGGCGATGGCAATAATATTGAAGAATCCCAGATCCTTCCCAGTTGATGTCTTCATCGGCATCTCCTCTCTGGACGAAGAGACCGAAGCTTGAGGTATGTGGGCCCATAGTGGGCCGCCCTGTCGATGGAATCCGATACCGGTCCAAAGTCAGGCCCATCTTTATGACCAGAGAGCATATGTCCAGTGGAACTCGGAAGACGAGACGGAAGATGCTCGTTCGATTTGCGACCCAGAACAGCGTTCTGGGCCGTCCAGCCCACATACATAAATGGGCCACAGTATAGAAAGGATCGTTGACTTTTGGTGGGAGTTAATATGGGCTTGTTTATTTGAGCCTTGACTACTCTCAGCGTGGGCCATTTCTGCCTCTGGCCCTAATTTGGATAAAATCTGAAACTCCCGTCCTTTCAAACAGCAGAAAATGGATCAATTATTCTGGGCCACGTAATCATTGACACTGGGAGTCAATGTGCGCTCGATCTGCGCTGACAGAGGCTGACTCGTGATACGAGGTCGGTCAACGCAGGCACCTCCGTCTTCTCTCGGGGCATCTTCCCTTCACTCAGTATATGCCAAGGAAAGCTTTCCGCAGCTGCCGGAAACTTCTTTCCTGGCTCGCACCTACATGTTGAAAGTTGCCAGCATTATACTTGTGCCATCCGCAGGTCGTTGGACCACCCCAAAATGGAGGAGGAAGAAGACGAGGGATAGGCGAATGATTGAGCGTATGTGGTGGTGGTGCAGTTGCAGTTGCAGAGGTGGTAGAGAGAGAGAGAGAGTGAGAGAGAGGGAGAGGAGGGAGGGCTGTGGAGCTCTCAGAGGGGAGGAGTTCATTGAACAGAAGGGCCAAGGCTTCCGCCCTGCCCGTGGGTTTTGTCCTTGTCGGGGTAGGAGTGGTGGTGGTGCCTGCAAGCTCCACCGAGCAAGAGCTGGGGGGGTATCCAGTGAGGCACAGAACGGATCGTCTTAGATATGCCCGTCGATGCAGGAGATACAGGGCATGCCCCTTAGCCGCTCGACGAAATGCCATCATCACTCCCAACAGTGGCGGCTAGCTAGCCCCCTCAGTTGTTTCGGCGGGGTTGACGAGTGGCGCCATTGATTCCGAGCACCGGGGGAGGGGGGACGGATTCCCAGGTGTCAGACTCGCCATTGTCGAGCACTCTCTTCTTGTCTCTTGCAGGGGACCATTGTTCTCGTGGGTTTTAGCGATCCTTGCGCCTTTTGCTCTCCCTAGATCCGTGCGGATCGCCAAAGGGGAGGGACCGCCGGCCGCTGCCTTTACATCTTGTCCCCTCTCCTCTCACCCTTCTGGCCAGTTTGCTTAATACCACCTCGTGAAGGCATCTCTTCGATGAGGAGGACAACTCATGAGAGGCCAGTATTCGTCTAGCCCAACTCGTGGCTCACCTATTCTGGGACGGACGCCGGCGTGGGACCCTCTCTCCACCATCACCGCCATTCCGCCGCCGTTTATCTGCCTTTTCCTTGCATACAGAGGGAGACAAGACCCACCGGACGAAGCAACCTCAGTGCCCACCTCCGTGCACCGCCGTGCCGCCGCCTGCGCCGGTGCCGTTGTCTCCGCGCAGGATGACACGGTGAAGAACGCTGACTTGGCGGCAGCGGTGGGATTCCGGCAAGGTCAACCTCTTGAAGATCGGCGAAGCCCGGCGGTGAACCCGCCACCATAAAAGTCTTCTGCAGGCGGCGCAGAGGGGCGTACGCCGGCGGCCCTGACACCGAAAGAGAGGCCACTAGCGAATGAGTCTAAAGTAGAGCACCAAACACGGGGAGAGCACGAGGCGGAAAAGGCGAGGGTGGAAGAAGGCTGGCCGCCCTACTCCTGCTGCAACCATCCCCTTCTCACCTTTCCTCTGGTTCCCTCCCCCATCTCTTGCTTAGTCTCGAGTCAGGATTGCCTTCTGCCGATCGAAAGCGAAGATATCCCCATTTGACCAAGCATTCGGTTTTCCCATCTCTTATATACCTACCATTTTCCGTCTTTATCAGGTGGCTTATCCAAGTATTTTCTGAATTTTCGATAATGATCAAAGTGTTATATCTATGCTGGCATAAGTAAATATTAATCTCATGGTGCCGTTAAAAATGTTGACCCGTGGGATCCACTCATGTAGTGGATTATACCACTTTGATGAAATCAGGTGGGCGCTCCCAAATTAAACAAAATAAAATAAATTTTAAATGCCCACTGGATCCTTTGTATTTATCTAGGTTAAAAGCGAAATCAATGGTAATGTGTAGGTTTTTGATGAGCTATTGATGTATCATCACAGAAAATGTCCAAGCTCTCATATCAATATAGTTCTAGGAAATAATTTCGAAAAGCATTTCTAATTCCCTTTCAGAAATCTGTTGCTAGACTACCTTACACTTTTACAGATTGTTAATTAAATATATGTGGAATATTAAGGTAGCCTGGATAATCAATTAAAATACAAAGATAACTTTTTTTTTCGAGGAACACTATTATTCTAGATATATAGTTTATATCGAGAAATTTCTCAAAATAAAATGGAGAACTGCCCACCTCTTATTTAGCATGAAATATAAACTATATACGTTCCAAATGCTTCAAATTGATTAAAATATTCAAACTTTAATGCTATGTGCTTGCAATTTGCTTTTAAGTTGTACTACCAACCCTAAGAGCATCCTTGGAAAGAACAACCTTCCAACATTCAAGCTAATGAATTTGAAGACTAATGAAGAAAAAATTTAAATTGAAAACAAAGAAACGTAAAATGGTAGTAATTGACCAGTACTTCTTGAGGTGTACACATGCAAATAGAGAGATAAACAAAGGAGAATTGCCAACCTATATGAGGAATATTAATAAGAGAGTAATTATTTCCTCAAGGACCAAATGGTTCAATGAACAGAATGTAACTAAAAGAATATTATTTGATGAGATAGAAGTAGATGATGATGATTATAGATTTTAGGACCTCTCACATTTAAATGCATATATTACTCATATTTTTTAATTATCTTTTTGATAAAATATACCACTTATGATAACATTTTTCCTTAATATTTTTGAGAAATTCTCAATACTAACTTTGTCTTTATAAGCATTTTTCCATAAAACTAATATTTATGAACTGAAATTTCAAAATAAAAAAAAAAGCTTGGCTTGACCTTACTCTATCATCAAGGTTAGGTCATACTTAGATGGGGTCATCCCTGGGAATATAATTTATTTTATTTTTGTTGTCATATGATTGTCTCATAATCAATTACATCATAGTATGTCTACCTCACTCTCTCCCCTCTTTTGCAGATATTCTACCTTCATTGATAATGATCCATCCTTGGGTCATTTTCTAGTCTTTACTATAAATTTTATCAAAGTTTGTGCTTTTTAAAAGGGCACATATCCTCATGGTTGGGTTTATTAACGCCTAGGCTTGACATGTGGGCTAATTTATTTGTTGATAAGGTAGCACATTTTGGTCAATTACTTATTAAATCTATGGTTATTTCATTTTAGTAGAGAGTTTAGGCATCGATAACATTATATTATTTTGTCGATACTATGACATGCTAGTAACCTCACATCCTGACCGCTGTTTTAAGTTACGCATCATATGAGAATTAAGCACCCGGTTGCATTTACATAAGATGTGAATATAATTATTTTGATTTTTTTTCATGGAAATGACACAACATCATAGCATTAGAGAATATAATTAATTATTTTATAAATTGAAACCAAAGTAGTTTTTTGTGTTGGAGATAAAGAGACACTACTCTAAGCTTGATAGAGATGAAAAGAGGTGAGGACCAGGGGAAGGAACTGGGGGCGGCGGTGGGCCTCCGCCCACCCGCCAGCTGGAAATTGGACGGTTGCGGGGGCTCAGATCAGCGACCCCGGCCCCACATGGTTCGTCACACTCGAAAAACTTTCTCCGCCAGGAGATTCCAAAGGTCCTTCCCTTCTCCTCTGCCGTCCCCTCGCTCTCCCAACGAGCCCACACCATTTTCTACGTTTAATTATATAGCTTTACTCCCATGTTCCCCCCCCCCAACCTCTCTCTCGTGGGTGAATGCATCTCCAGCAACCCCCTTCCTCATCTATAAATCACTTCCTCCGCTGCCTAGTACTCCCTCCCTCTTTCTTCCACACCCAACTTTTCCCCTCCGCGTCGCCTGCTTCCATCCTTCTGGGTTTCTCGGCGCCAAGCAGAGCTCCGAGGTTCTGCTTCTGCTACAGCCTTCCCTCTGCTCCTCCTCCTCCTCCTCCTCCTCTCTCTCTCTCTCTCTCTCTCTCTCTCTCTCCTCCCCTCCCTCCATTCTCCTCCGCGTCGCCTGGCTCTTCTATCCCCGGAAGAATCTACTTCCTCTCGCATGCATCATCGGGTTTCCCTTGATGTCCCCGATTGATGTCTCCGATCGTTAGTGAAGTCTTGACGGTGTTTATGATAAATTCCACATTCAGCAGGACTCATCTCGTGCAATCTTTCTCCGTCGTCTTCCTCTACTGGTTCTACGTCTTCTCGTGAAGATCTGAACACCAATATTACTCAAGGCAGCAGCTAGACGAAATCCAAAATCCGAAATCTTCCAACATCTCCCCCTCCCCACCTTCATCCCCCCCATTTCCATGGCTTCTCCCTGTGGGAGCGGCGCATCCTCTGGATACACTCTTCCGACCACCAACTCCGGCTCCGACGAGGACCTCCAGCAGGCCCTAAACCAGAGGAAAAAGAAGCGGATGCTATCGAACCGGGAGTCGGCGAGACGCTCACGCCTGCGAAAGCAAAGGCACCTGGACGACCTGGCTGCTCAGGTGGCCCAGCTTAGGAAGGAGAACAATCAGATCCTCACAAGCTACAACGTGATCACACAGCAGATATTGGCTATCGACTCGGAGAACTCCGTGCTGAGGACTCAGACCATGGAGCTCAGCCACAGGCTGCAGTCCCTCAACGAGATCCTCCTCCATATGAACGGGCTCGCCGCCGTCGACCACCCCTCGCAGAACTTGGACGGCTTCTTTGTCAACCCATGGAGCTCGATCTCCCTCAACCACCCCATCATGGCTTCCCCTGACATGTTCCAGTGATGAGCAGAGAAAGCTACGGGGGGGGGCCCAGAGATGGGTTCAGAGGCTATGGATCCTGATCTCGCTGTAGCTTGAGGATGACCTATTTATCATCATCTGAACTAGGATCTTTAATAAAAATTTTGGGAAAATTGAGTTCGCTGTGATTTTGCATGATCTATCCATCTGGGCGGATTCAGATGTTTAAAAGCTCACGACTTTAAGACGAGGAGACAGAAAACGGACTCCGATCTCACCCTCTCATCTTCTTTCCTTCCCACTTCTCCATCTCTCGATTTTGTCTCCTTGGGCCCCCCTTATTTGCTGTCCTGATCCTTGTATTATTAGGGACGTGATGACGAGGTAGGGGGTCCTACCAAGGGAATCAAAGCTATAAATGGAAAAAAAATTTGAGGCCGGCGGTAATGCTGATCCTTGGATTTACGATGCTCTCTTTCTCCTGTCTCCCCTGTTCTTGGGCTTATTTACGACTGGTCGTTGTCATCTCGTACAACGATGATGATGCTCCTACGGAGACGACTGTGCAGATCGGTTGGCGGGTCGATTTGTGTGGACATTGAATGAATCACTGGATAAACCAAAGTTGTCTATACTCCGAGTGACCATTATGAGTCGTAGTGTGGTCTAAAAAGTGAATCTTCAAAGTAAATCATACAATAGACTTGGATTTTGAATGGTTGTGTCCCTTTATCTCTTAAATGTATGATTAATTTCGGCTTCATGAGTTGTCAATCATCAGCGCACGTTCGGCTTAATGAGCCGACAATTGAACAAGAAAATCAGTCCGGCTTGTCTCAGTCTTCATCAAGGCTTGGCTCGGTGATCGACGGGGTCAGGTCTAAAATCCCGGCCTTTCTATTGTCTGTCCCTCTCTCCCACGATAACTTCCGTGTTACCACCTCTCTCTCTCTCTCTCTCTCTCACTCTCTCTCTCTCTCTCTCGCTCGCTCGCTCGCTGTTCATAGAAAGATTTCAGAGAGAAGATTCCGTGGACTTGTACGATCAAAACCTTCTGGAGAGAGTTTTAAAAAAAAGGATTTGGTACAGAGAAATGAGCCGCCAATCGTTCTTGTTTCAACTCGGGTGAGATCACGAGAGATGTTTTGATTTAATTATCCTTACTGTGATAAAAAAAACTCCTGAGGAAGTTTTCCCTTCGTCACGAGAACACGAGGAGAGAGAGAGAGAGAGAGAGAGAGAGAGAGGGCCGGCCGCAAGCTTCCATCACGCTGCACTTTCTAAAACGTCTCCTCAGACAACTTGCTAGAATCCTCCCGGCCCCAGAGACGAAGAAGGGCCGCAGTGATGTGATTTCATCCTCCACTTCCCCACGCTAGAGGCAATTTTTTTATTTACGGTGGTCGGCACTGAAGAGGACGGCGCTTCTCTAAACTATTCCGACCTCCCACGGTCTGTCCTTCTTCCTCCTATTTAAGCCATAAATCTCCCTTTCGGCGTGCGTTTGGACAGCCCATCGTAGAGAGAGAGAGAGGTTGGTCGTCCTCCCACTGGTAGTTTAGAATGGGGTTGGGGCAATGGAGGGCATGGTTGTGTGCTCGCTGCTGAGCTCAAGCAGGTGGGAGAAAAGGAGAAGCCAGCTTCGACTGATGCGCTGCCATTAAATTGAGCGCAAGCTCTGGACTCGCGGCGCATACGAGGCGAATCGAATCGGTTTGCTCGTGAATTATTGCTTCTTCTTCGTGGATAAGAGCGCGACGATGACATCGCCGTCTACCGTGCGGTGACATTTCGCTCCGCTCTTCTCATTGTATAAGACAATATGATAATAAATTATGGGCTGCATTGATCGCAAAGCTATGGTCAAATCAGCGGTTTCATAGTTCATTCAGCTGCATATTTAAACACATTAAGAGTCTTAAATAATCCCCAACAAGGCGTATATCTGAATTCTATATGATTCCGTATCCGCTGAAGTAATCAATCCAGATTCCCTTCTGTCTTCCTCTTTCTTCCCCCCCGGAGGAAGTCTCCCTTCATTGTTTATTCCGATCTTTCATGTCGACTGAAACATGAAAACCTGGTGCCTGAACACAGCTTGAAACTTAGAGGGAGAAGGGGATCTCAACGAACGATCAAGTTGGTTTTAATATGAAGGGAATCCTTCGCTTTTTGGTTGAATCGCTTCGTTTCTTACTCTTGGATGCGCCTGCCCGTGGAGGATCTGGCCACACTGTATGATGAGAATCTCTCTCTCTCTCTCTCTATCAGACACACACGCGTCCCTTCTATATCCGTATTTCAATCAAAACTATCGGCCTGATGACTCTCAGAAGTACCCCTGCCCCCCACTTTTCGTCTTCTAGAACGTTCGTGCTAAATAAACGGAGCTTGAAATATTTTACTCGCTTGCAATGGACCGAGACCGGCCCGTCTGTCCCTATGTACTTATCACGAAAGGAGAGAGAGAGAGAGAGAGAGAGAGAGAGAGAGAGAGAGAGAGAGAGAGAGAGAGAGAGAGAGAGAGAGAGAGAGAGAGAGAGAGAGAGAGAGAGAGAGAGAGGTCACAGTCGGCGTGAACTCTACACTAAACCGACATAAGCATTGCACTGACACGGCCCACAGGAAGATCAGCTCACAGCCACCCGCAGGATAAGATAGACGGGATTATAAAAGTAAATTAAATGTGCCATATTTCAAATGAAAAATTAAAATTAATAATAACGTCAAATGCACGAATCTGAATTTTAAAAAAATTATGAAAAAATATTAATATCTAACTCGGAGATTTATTCCGAATGTGGACCGAGTTTGAAGTCACCCCAGCGAGCCAGCTCCACGTGGCACGGAGATTGATTCTCTCCACATAAGACGACTCCGACAAAATCAGGCTCGGACCATGGGGGTGGGGCAGGACCCAGAGGTGGGACTGGTCCGGCTCATGTATACCTTTCCCATGAAGTACTCTTGGACCCATCTCTCTCTCTCTCTCTCTCTCTCTCTCTCTCTCTCTCTCTCTCTCGCTAAGGGAGAGTCTTTCTATTTATTATGTTACATGAAGCTAACTAGACTGGGCTTCATCTGGTGTGACAACTTAGGCCGGACTTTACCAAGCCCAGGCCCAGATAGAAGCCGAGAAGATGGACTCCTACCTTGAATCCTGTGAAATCTAGGCCTGGCCTATCCCTCTGCTTGTGTTATGAGACTTCGAGATAACTTTGACGCGCACATCTGATTCAAATACTGACCGAGATGACTTTGGGCCCATTTGTCTTTAAGACCAAGCCCAATAAAATGGAGGTAGCCCATAATGGGCCACGGATGAGTTTGATACAGTCCAAGAGCCTGGCTCAGCCTAGAGCTTTGGAATGATATCAGCTCCCCGAGTAAATGTCTTCCTTTAGAGAAAGTGACCAGCCATAGTATGGCCTCCTAAGTAACTATTTCACAAGGGAGCTTGAGTCATTTTTTACAAATTTTGGTATTACATTTTTTAAAAAATAGCAATACATGAATTTTGACCATGTGGGCAAGTACACTTGTCAATACAAACTTAGATAGGTTGATGGAGAGATAGTCTTATTACTTACCTAAAAAAATTGTACCCATATAAAATTAGATTATGAAACTAAAATTAAATTACATAAAATTAGATTATGAAACTAAAATTAAATTACACTTGTTCCATCTCAATTTATAAATGGCTCGAGCTTAGATTTTCATGATTTATCTCATTGCGTAGCTCTCACTTTACACATTGTACAACTTTATTAAACATATTTGAATTTATGCATACACTAATTTAAATATTATTGAAGTGAGTAGTGGTTTGGTCAAAACTCCTTTTAGCTCATTGCTACCCAAAAACTTGAGAAAGCACAATGATATAGGAAGAAGGGAGGAGAAGTGATATTAGATTTAATCATTTTATTAAGGTTATGCACTTTCCAAAGTTTGGTTCCTGCTTAGTTAGTGATGTTCCTAAGCATAAAAATCTGTGAATATTATATATCCTTGATTTCATTCAAACATAAAATCACATCTAAATAATATCACAGTAATATAAATACTATGGAGCAAACTCTTGACTTACATTTCATGAGAGGGTCAAAACACCACACCAGCCCAAATATCACTGCTACACTCTTCTATATTTGAACTTTCTATATGGCAAAGTAGCTTGTAATCAAGACCTAAAATTTAATGGTACTCATTCTTGTTGTATACACATTTTAAGTAACTTAACATATTCACTCTATTTGGAATAACTTGAAACAAATTGCTCCTTGGTGATCCATCCAAACCAAACACATTATTTTGTGATGTTGAATTGGCTTCATGGCAGTTTGCCATAAAATGATTCATATGGCTAGTATATTATGAATCCCATCTCATAATGTGTATGTTTTATCAGTACTATAAATGTTACTTCCCTGATCACTTCATAACATGTTATTTGCATGTGACTCTAATGACATCTCTAGCATGCTTAACATCTTGCATATGCTTTGGTTGCCCGAAGTTTTATACTTACCACACAAACTACATATATCACATACATATACACCCTTCAAATGCATTGACATGAGGGTTAAATCTAACATTCAACATATGCATTGAAATGGGTTAGAACTAACACTAACACACTACATATGCATTGACATGTGGGTAGAATTAATCAGTATTTAAACTTCAATAATTGTGCTCACCTTGTTTGTTCTACAAGTCTTAGCCTTGGTTTTCCTCGACAACATCATACAATCTTCTTGTTGAAGAAATTTATTATTACCTAAAAGAGTTGTGTTCCCATAACATGAGAGTTTCACACATTTTTTTCTTTTTTTAGATATAAGGTTAATTGGCCTTGACCTTTGGATGCACAACTTGATGGCACACATAGAACATTGGGGCTAATGATTAACAATGAAGATAACATGATTACATGTTGATCTCATTCCACACCTATTATGTGCCACATGCAATCATCTATATTGCACCAACATCATATTGCCCCATGCCTATAACCTCTCTTGAGCCTCTCTTTTTCTTGGTTTAGTTGTTTACTCTAAGTGTATTCTATCTTGTCACATCTTGCCAACATGTAATATTTGTATACATAATATCTCTCATGAACCTCACTCTAGTGTAATGATACCATCAGCCTATGATGCACGCATCTTGTGACCCTTGCTTCAAGTGGTGTCACTTGCTTGACCCACACTTGCATACACATGAGTTAGTTGTGCAAGCCATGATGTGCCAATGCTTGCTGCTATACATCACATCATTCTAATACACACCTCTTGCATGTGTCTACACCTAGAATGTGCAATGAATGTATTGTGGTGCACATGCCCACATACATGTCAACCTAATTTTGGCAACAAGGTTACATGTGTTATAACATTGTTCCTCAAAGTGCAAAGGGCCACACACATCCCTAAGCATGTTATCAAAAAGTGATTAAATGATGATTGTTTTGAATAAATTGACCATGTCATGTGAGACTATTTATGATGGCCACCCACATCTTAATACATGCTTCCTGTTTGTAATATAAATGGCTAATTACACATTATAAGTTATTGCCATAGCTATATATCCATCGTGCTTTTATCTAATAGTTTTTTTAAAATAAAGTTTGAAACTTTTTATCAACCAAGCAAATTTTGAAAGTTGATAAACTTTAAAATAAATATGATATTTTGCATCCATCTAGTTTTAGAATCATGATTTAATATTCTTTGTTATAAAATTATATGTATGATGTTTTCACGATGACAAAGAAGTTTTAGAAGATTAAATTATGCTTAGTTCATAATATACATGATATGAAAGTACTCCATTATCATTTGTAACACTAATGATAATAGTTCATATAATAAATCAATAAACATACTACTAAATATTAATGTTGAATTTATATACATGATTGATCTCATTATGTGAAATTATCATATTATATATTGATGTAGAAGATGCTAACATTTAACAAATATGCCAAAGTGAGAGTAATGACAAACACATCAAAATTTATGACACAATAAGAAGTAAAATGTGAGTATGAAAGGCTACCAAGTCTATTGTGTACTTGTTACACTAGAACATTACTTTTGAATGATATTAGTATCACTTTAATCCATTGAATTTAGATTATTTATTTAGTCAAACATGACTTTTAGATATTATAGAATATATCTTATAAAATCATTTTAGATATGTTAAATTATTGAAATCATAATTATAAATATTGAGATCATCAAAGATGTTAACTTGATAGTCATAGTTTATTTGAGATGATTTGAATAAGATTTGACTATTACATCATCTTCTTATCAAGATATCTGATATCAGCCATGTCTTAACAATATCAAATTTGTATTAGTTGTGCTCTTTTGACATTGGATCCTTGATAAATCAATGTGAATTTGTCTTGATTTAGATACAAATGTCTAATAATAAATGAGCCACATATTAATTTCTCTTGAGTATATCAAAATTGATTTAATGTCATGTGGGATTCATTTCTCAATTGTTTACATTAGTGTTATTTTAGATAAAATAATTTCTAAAAATCATGAAGATCTAAGAAATTTTTTGTATAAATGTTTTGTATAGATATCACAATCTTCTAATGGTCATATTGAGACACAATAATTATCATTTTTATTTGAACTACCTCGAGTTTTGCATTGTCTTTATCTAATTTTAAACAAGAGATTTTGATATTTGTGCTAACAATTCAAATAATATAAATGTATTAATTCAAGTAAGACTACAAGAATATTGAATGACCTTCCTTAACCTAATATAAACTTAAAAAACTTTTAATCCATTGTTAGAATTACAATAAGAAGAAGATGTCTACAAGTCAATATATATAATTTCTTCATTGGATATTTTGAAAAACTTGAAATGTATATTATTTCTAGAGCATTACCTATGGTGAACTCTTTTCATATCTATTATGAGAAAACTTGTGTTTAAATTATTTTTAATCACACATGAAATTTGTCTCATTAAATAATTATTGACTTTTTAGAGATGTGAGTCTAGAAAATAATTTCTAAGTGAAATTATGAGAGTTAAGTCCATTAATCAATGGTGTGTGATCAAAGGATCAAATCCAATGAAACTCACTAACAAAGTTGTTATTAGATAGTGGACACAGGTAATAAATTGAATCACTATAAACATATTTGAATGTTATAATTGTCAACTTAGAGAATAGATATGAAACACAAGAGAAAACCAATTTAAACACACTGAAAGCAGGTTATGTGGAAATAGATATAAAAACATACTAATTCAACTCCTTTGTCCTTGATTTTAGCATAAGTCAGAATTTAACATTTGTTAATAGAAATCAATAGATAATAATTAAGTATTATTTTGAAGGTATACTATGATTATTTTCAATTAGCTAGAAAAATTCATCAACTAGAATATACTATTATTCAAGTCAAGTAGACCATATTAACAAACTTATGACATTTTTTAATATCAGGTGAAGGTAAGAGAATTTGTTTCCCACATATGGACTATTAACAACACATTTAAGACCTGATTTTATCGATTTTTTTTTATATAATGATGGCAAAAGTGTAGTCTATTTAAAAATAACTTTGAAATGGAAAATACTGAGATAAATTATTTAATATTATTTTTATTAAAAATATTATTGTCAACTGTTATTCCTACAGATGACACCAAGACCTGTTCAGATCAGCCTGCAGCCTAGTCTCTTAGTTTCAGTTCTTCTCGGCGGATTGATTCTCGCAGAAGTCTCCTCCGGTGGGCGCTTCCCTCTCTGCGAGCTCCGGTGAGTCGTCGAAACCAATGAGATTGTTTGCTTCTTCGCCGTATTTGCGCTCTAGCAAAGACAGCTCAGAATACCGACATGGGAAAGTAGAGGTCGTCTTGAAGACATGATTTACAAACGCAGTGGGATTTGCAATCCTTGCTTTATCTGGTTGATCAATTCTGTGCTAACGATTATGCAGAGTAGTGACGTAAAACTGGTTTATTGGAATCGACGTCTGTTTTGAATTTTTGGATATGTTGGTCATGCCGTTATTTTCTAGGAATAATTTATCACTTTAGTTTTCTTTGCGGAAATTGGAAAGCACGGATGATAGTTTTCCAATTTCCTTTCATTCAAAACCTCGTGCTTAGCCCGAACTTTTCGCTAAATTGTGAGTCATCCACCTCGGTTAGGCATCGTTGAATACGCTGATAGTTTTGTTGATCTGAGGATTTTTCATCCACACTACCACTCCTTACAAGGAATGTCTCTGTTCTGTTTCGCGCACATCATGTTTTAAACGTTCTTGAATATATTCAAGTGGCACATCTTTCTAGTCGTTCTCGAATATATTGTACTTCTTATTTTTTGCATTGATTCTTTATTTTTGATTTTTCATCTTCTCAGATTTATTCCTAGGAATCCTGATCATGGTGAAAGAGACTGAATATTATGACGTTCTGGGAGTCAACTATAATGCCTCTGCTTCGGAGATTAAGAAGGCATATTACATCAAGGTACTGGAAGCTCTCAATTTTTTTTTAAGCAATCGAGAAACTGTTCTTCCTAGTCGTTGAATTTCAGGGGGAAACCATTTATCTCATCTAGAATTTGAAGCAACCATGGTTCGTTGCTACATATTATCTGGGGATCGGTGGTCTCTCTTTCTATTTTCATTGAATTTAATGCGTTTTTTTACTGATAAATAACTTTTAGGAACGTGATCTTAACATTCTAGTTTCCAGGGGATAAATTTTCTAACCTGTGCTTGTATAGTCATGCAATATAGAACACAGTGTTCTTTCGTGGAGTCAGTAAGAGTGTTTTTGTATCTTATTTTGCAGGCAAGGGTAGTTCATCCTGACAAAAATCCTGGGGATCCCAAAGCAGCCCATAACTTTCAGGTACGCCACGCATTTGTGTTGTCCAGGTAATTTATCTCAATGCTTGAAAATTTTCGTTGAATCTTATCTGGGGATGGTTCGCTTCTCAAGTTTTCGAAGGAAATATGTTTTTGTCGCATCATTTTATATTGGTTGGCCTCCAAGAAAATCTTAGAGGCCTGAAACCATGTAGTTGGCTTTGGGGATGCGATGAAGTGATTAATTGCAAGTAATTTTGATCCTGAATCATGTGATTTGAGTCTTCTTGATAGTTTTCCCCGAGCGCCGCAAGTACTTTAATCTTGCTTTCTGGAAGAATCAGATGATTCTCATTAGAATCCGAAATTATTTGGAACACATTACTATAATCATCCTATGCTCCACTTCACTGGAAATGTGCTGCAGAGGTCTTTGTGCGACTCAATGTGTTCATCGAGTTTTTACTTTGGGATTTCAGATATGCATGTTTCCAAGAAATTGAAGTCGATTACCATAATCTTTTACTTGGATTTGTATATTCACCTATCGGAAGGACCTGTTTTAATTATATATTTTTCCCATCTCCCGGGGCCTTCCAGTATGTGACAAGCTGTTGCTTGTGCATCCCTTCTTTTTTCCAAAACATTAATGTGATGATTGTGCTAATAATAAGCTGTTGAAGCACGTCTTCATCATTGATGAGCTTACGGAAGGTGCAGCTTAATGCGATATGATATTTTCTGTGAGCCTCTCTTCTCTTTCAGAAACTTTCCTGTATAAATATCAGTTAGAGAAGCCATTCGTAGAAGAAAACCTCCATAAATCCATTCGACTTATCTTCATTCACTGACAAGTGGAACATGCAATTCCAGTGTGTCAAGAGTTAGTTGTCTTCTTTTTATCAAGATTTATTATGTTTTTATGCAGGTGCTTGGTGAGGCTTATCAAGTTCTAAGTGACCCCGTGAAGCGTGAAGCATATGACAAAGATGGGAAGGCAGGTGTTTCAGAGTAAGTACGCTTTGGGAAGATCAAATTGCATTTATGAAAACTTGGAGAAGACAGTATTTATCTGCTGATTAATTTTCCGATAAGGAATGATCATGCACAGCACTGCGTATGTAAAGACACGCAACCATGCGGCAAATTGGAACACGCAACCCTATCCCGATGAAGGGCGTATCATTCGCAAGTAGATTTAGTTTCCTGGCAAGAAAACAGTCAACTTGTCATAACTGTGCCGTCTCAATTTAACAGTGATTGGAGCAGGAGCATATCGTCCTCTTTAGTACAGAAAGTGGGTGCTTCTTAAAAAGGAAAATCCTAGTAACTATGTATCCTGCTAGGATTTCGTGTTTTCCATTCTTAGCAATGATTGATGTGCTCACTAGAAGATATCTGCTAACCTCCTATTCCATCTATGGTACTTTTATTTCTAGCGATCAAACATGTCAAGAAGTGATACATCATGTACTTGACCTTATCTGTGGTATTTCTTAATCATCAAATGCCAGTGCTCACTTCCAACTCTTTACAGTCCCCAAAACCATTTCCTAATCTCAGCCAGAGTCTGTGAGGTTGCTTCATCTACATGCGCCCCCCATTACTAGTAGTTTTTACTCCAAAGCCTCACCCCAATACTCTCCTTTTCGTCCTATGAACAAAGTGGGTCTAGATAGCCCCCCTAATATGTCCAGCCTTCTACCTTATCTTTATACGATGTTTTTTTCTCGAGTTGATTCTTTCTGTACTCAAACCTCCTCTCGTGCTGTTCAATTTCTTAGTTGAGGTTGCAACGTCATCAACTGACAAGGATTCTCAACAAAAATTTATTAAGTTCATTCCAAACCAAAATAACACAATAAATTTTATTTAGTGTTTGAATCAGATTCATTGCAGAACATTCTAAGTTAAATTTTTATAACAACTTTCTTTCATTCATCTGGAAATGTGACTTCCATCCAAAGGCAATAAAAATATTTATATTTGGGAAGGATAGGTGGCAATAGGAAACTATCAAAACCCACAGATGCCCAGAATGGACAAAGATGTGTGTGTAGGCAACTCTTACTAGTCTCTCTCGGTGTTTATGAAAGCTGACGGGTTATCTCGTCATCTGAACAAAGGGTTTTCTGTTTCAAATGTATTTTGAACCATCTCACTTAATGAAAGAATCAAGATCCTTTGTATCTCTATTAAGAGCGTATAATATATCAAAGGCTTCCGAAGGTCTTTTTCCACACCCAAGCCCTTTTCAATATGCAATTTTTTGACATTATAAATGACCTACAGGGGCCATGCAAAATTGTTCAATACAATTCCTCAATGCACTACAGAAGAGTTGCTAATCCTGAAGTCCCACAACGCTCTTTAATATATGATGCCTATTTGTTTCCTGAAAGTACAAATTGCTCCATCCCGCCAGGTGTCATTTGTCAGACATCGTCTGTTACTCCGCTTGGCCTCATATCCCGCTTCTTCCCACTTTACTCCTTCCTATCGATTATCTTCCTCATTGAAACCTCGAACGTGATTTTTTTTTCTCTCTCTTGGGTGGACAAGGATTTCATACAGCTCCTTCTCATGCTCCTTAAGATCTCATGGATTTGACAGTCGTCCTCTACCTTAAATATTCGAGTATCATCCCTCACTCACTGGATGCTCACATAAAAAGAAGAATAGCTAGAACTGCTGTGGCTTTCTCCTCTTGTGTTCAGCATTGGCATTTTTTTTTGGCTTCATCATATAATCTACTTCCTTCAGCACTTAGTTGTGAGTTCCTTTGTACTATGGAAAGTGAGGAGACTTGTCTGGCCTCCAGATGCTCTAGAGCACATAAAGTTTATGTCATTGAACCATCAGACGTCGGGAAAGGATGAGTTAACCGTGACCGTGTTAATAATCTGATTTTCTGCTTGATAAAAAATACTTTTTTATTTTTCCCCAAGAATGTTTTAAGAACATATCGTTGAAAAAAAGTTTTCAACCTGATTCATCTTCTTTGCTCTTCATTGAAATTCAGGGACTCTATGGAAGACCCATCTGCTGTCTTTGGAATGCTGTTTGGGAGTGACTCGTTTGAGGATTATATTGGACAGCTTGCCTTGGCTTCTATTGCATCTATCGAAATTGATGGGGGGCCACAGGACCCAATTGTCTCGAGGAAAAAAGTTCAAGAAAAGATAAAGGTACTGTGCAAGTTATTGCGATATTAGCATTAAAAAAACACTGTATTATGCCTTTTCGAGATATGTTTTGCATAAAGTTTGTCATACATCATGCAGTGACCGAGTTCTTAAATATTTATTTAGGTTCGGAGCTGAATTAGTCACTTATTAAGATCTAGTGACACAGCCTCATACTGATCATCTCTTGTATCTCAAAAATTTGCTTTCTTTATGTTTTTTCCCTTTTCTGTTTTCCTATGGCGTTTCAATTCAAGTCAAAGTATTTTCGATAGAAGGTGATCCTGCTTTTTTTATAATCTCTATTGTGGAAGAGTGTTCAGAAAATGTTAAGGAAATGGCAGTGACTTGCCATGGGCAGCTATTGGTAGTCAACAGTTTCTAGTTTGGCTCTGAGCTGCTGCAAGTAAGAGTAGCACTGGGTAGCTACAGGGGATTGGTACGCTGAATGATGCAAAATAGAAGCAGGAAGCCCTCGATCATATCTGTGGTGTGGCCAGGAAATTTTTATTCTGTTCAGTGGATTTTTAAGGATCCCATGGTTGAAACTGAAAGCCAGATAGAAATTTCCATGGAAGTTTCGTTTAATCTTATACAGAATATGTAGATTTAAGTGTTGTGTTTGGTTTTATGACAAGATTCTATTTGAAAACTAGAGTTTTGAAGAGCTGTGGTGAATTCGCGATTGTAAATGGTCTGATGTAAAAGGGAATGTAGATAAGAAGAAAAGGGATCTCCCAAAGAAAATGAGGGAAAAAGATGAAAAGAGAAGAAAGATCTTCGTCAGTAACCGGTGTCTTCATTCTGCTAAGATTCATGCTAATATGGTATTTTTCTTCTCTCACAGGGTAGGAATAAGAAAGTAAAGGTATCTTGCCACGAATACCATTTTTCCTGAAAATCATCATTGTGCCTGATTGAGCCTGATTGAGAAGTTTTTGCATGACCCCTCAAGTTCTTACAATGATATGTTATATCATAGGTAATCCACAAAGTTTTTATGCCTTTTTCTGGCGGATTTTTTTTCCCAAATCCTTCTTTACTTGTCTCACGTAGCTTTGTTCTGAGATTATTTTTCAAGTTCTGATATATTTCTCATCTAAAGTTCAGATTTATTCTTTTCAAAACGCAGGAGTTACAAAGGGAGAGGGAAGAAAAACTTGCTCAGAAACTAAAAGACCTTATTCAGCCATTTATTTTGGGAAACAAGGATGAGTTCGTTACATGGGCAAACTCTGAAGCTCATCGTCTATCACAAGCATGTAGGTCCTTCATCTGTGTCTTTTTTTTATTCACAATTAGTTAAGGAACTGCATTTCAATTTATCAAGGAATATAGACCGTTTAGGATGAGGTGCTTGGAAACTTACCATTGATAATTGGGGGAAAAAAATCTGACAACCATGTGCCACTTGTAACTCTCGAAGCTATATTTCGTACTTGCCTCTTTTAATTTTTCTACTGAAGTTCTTTGAAAACGTAATTCAAGGCGGGTTTAATTAATTTCGAAGTCAACTTAATCAATTGAATATCAGAAAATTTTACCCACTCATTTATGAGACAAGGTAACTAACCCAAAAACAAAAGATTATCAGCTCAGTCACGGAGGCATGGATGGCAGTGGCATTCTTGATGCCTTCTTGAAATGTATAAAATTGTTTAATCGAATGGCCTATAGCTCTCCAAAAACAGTATACAGAATTGTCAGACCTACAAGGTTGTGCTGAGCCAGAAACACGAGTTAGTTCCATTTATTTTATTGAATCAACATCTCTATTTATTTTCTGATTTAGAAATATTCTCCTTTCTTCTTTAGACATTGACATCCACGTGCTTTTATTTTTCAATCTAAGATATGATCTCGGAATTTGGCATGTTGATATATTGACATTAACGATTCATACCCCCTTTTATTTTTCTTGCTTTTCTCCTCATAGACGAAGGTGGTGTGGTGGGGATGAAGAAGATAGCACTGATATCGTTTGTTTGCAAAGCATAAGATATTCATTAAAAAAAAAAAAGAATCAATCTCGGCAAGGCAATATACCAACGAGACCTATGGATTGCTCTATTACATTCTAACAGCTTGTGTCCGTGCATGATCATCTTGCTATGGATCCTTTCCTAGCAAATGTCCGGGTCGTTAGTAGTTCTGTTTTTGCGAATTTTGACTCCTTGGTTCGTGCTCACATTTATAGAAATTTTCAGCTTTTGGGGAGGCTATGCTGCACACCATCGGCTATATCTATCAAAGACAAGCTGGAAGAGAGCTTGGAAAGAGTAAATTATTCATGGGAGTTCCATTCGTAGCCGAGTGGGTACGAGATAAAGGCCATGCTATCAAGTCACAAGTCCAAGCAGCAGCAGGTGCTGGTTGAATACATAGCGCGTGGGATGATTTTATTTTCGGAAAATGTTTTAAAGAATAGTTCCCGTATTCTTCATCATAGAAATATCTCTTTAATTATAAATATTTTACCGAATAACCTTATATCCGAGCTCATATTTTCTCCTAAATGTGGCATCTGCGGCATTTATATTTTCTTGTGACAAAGACCAGAAGTTGGCTTGCTTGTGAGCTGATATATTTAGACTCGTCCCCCATTTTTTTTCAGAAAAGTCAACCTATATTATAAATACTATAAATATTTTCTTGCTCCAATACCATTAACAGGTCTGAACATTGCTGATTGAGGAACGTTTCAATTTATTTTTTCAAGTCTTTTCTGCAACTGTTTCATTTCAGTGATTGCTCCTTGGGACCTGACTCCTGCCTTCGGTTCTGGTGGCAGGTGCCGTCTCTTTGCTACAGATTCAAGAAGAAATGAGGAGGATGCAACAGAGTGAAGGTACAGAAGAGGACTTAATGAAGCAGATTGAAGAGAAAAGGGATGAAATGGTCACTTCTTTATGGAAAGTCAACGTCATAGATATAGAGTCAACACTTTCACATGTGTGCCGATCTGTAAGCTTCACCATTTTCTGTGTTATTAAATAATTCAATGTGATATCACGCCATTTCCAATTCAGAAGCAGCAATCCCTTTTTTCGGCAAACTCTCCCCCTTCAAATCCGGTCAAGTACATATATGATATTTCCGACAAGTACGATGTCAAACTGACTGAATTTATTTTTTCAGGTCCTCAGAGACACTTCTGTCCCTAAGGATGTCTTAAACCAGAGAGCCAGAGCACTGAGAAAGTTGGGAGCGATATTCCAGGTATTTTCTCATTTAAATTCTTACAAAATATTAAATTGGTCATATAAATCAATTTATTTGGTGAGGAATCACTCGGCAGAAACTATACATCATTTTCTAGATTTGGTGATTTCGTTCGCTTCTCACTCCAGGTAGTGTCAATGATCTCGGTAGGCCTGGGGTTGACTTTTTTTCTAATCATGGTGATGTGTATCATCAGGCTCCACTTTATGTTCCCTTTCCTCTTTCAGGGTGCCAAATCCATGTACAGGAGGGACAGAAGCTTGCGTACTGATGACCCAACCAGAGGAGCTTCGTCGTCGGCCGCTGACCCCTGAGCGCATGAAAGGACCAATCAGAGACTTCTGAAGCATTCAAGATCCCCTCCAGTTTCTCTCCTTGTCAACCCCACTTCTCTGTACGATAAACCGTTCCCCGGCTAGTTGCTGCTCTGCTCTTCCCACCGGCCTCCTCTCCCAGATGTCAACGGGTGGTATTTGACTGTTATGTTTAACGTTGGCCAACACAGTCCTGGGCTTTATCGGGTGCTCTGTGCCCACATTGTCAACGTTTTGTGGTTTATAAGTCTACCGGGCGCTCGGGAAAGTGGGAATTTCCGGGGTGGGACTAAATGGTCGGGCGTTCCTTGTTTCTTGTTACATAACGTTATGCGTCGTTTTCCTCTTGGGAACTTGACAGGGTGGTGTCGGTCCCCGAGCGGACTCATTAGATGAGCTGTCCGCGTCGATCTGAAACCGACGCGGACTCGCGCGACTCGGGCGTATTAGAAGGACAACTCGCACCTGGTTCGTACGTGGGAACTGAGCTTTGTCGACGGGATGCGCCAACGGTCAGTGTCGGCGGGCTCAGCGGACCAAACTCTCCGATTCAGGGGCCTGCGAGTCGCACCTCTGATCCGGATCGATGACTCTGCCCGCCATGCGGGACCGGTGGGCCCGCCCCGCGTCTTGCGTGGCCAGAGACCCGAGGAGGATGGCGGCTCGGAGGCGGGCTTGTCCCGGTTGGTTTCGCACGGAGAGAGTTTTCGCTGGTGAGAGAAAAAGAAGAGAGAGAAGGAAGTGGCCGGTCGACCGACGTGGGAGACTCCCCTCCCCACCCCCAGTTGCGCGCAGAGAGAGAGAGACTCCGTTTTGTTCTGCTGATTCCCGGCAGTTCACCCCCGTCAGATGTGACAGAACGGGAGGCTGAGACGAGGGGTGCAAGTCTCTCTCTCTCTCTCTCTCTCTCTCTCTCTCGCTACATGGTGACGATCGTCCACCGATCGTCTGTGAGAGCCAGGGCGTGGTCAGGTAGGCAGTAGTAGGTCTTGGGGAAGCAAGGGAGAGTGGAAAGGGAAAGATTCGATCCTCTCTTTGAGTCTGCTTCGAGTAATTACATATGACGATTCTTGGGAAAGCAGCGTACGCCTGCCGCGATCCTCCTCCTTCAGGTGGGGGCCGGTAGGAACGGGTAAGGGGCTGCACGGAGGATCGGATTGGGAGTGTGGCGTCTTCTTCCTTATTTGGCCAGAATGACTGAGGGCGAAAGGTGACCCGAAAGACGGCTCGAATCGGTAAATCTCAGTATTCTCTGTGATCAGGTACGTGATTAGAGAAACAGTTGCGGCAGTTGAGTAGAATTTTTTCTGTATTTCTCTCTATTCATTAGTTCATTATTCTTGATAGTTGTGGAGCTTATTTGGATTGTGTAGTAGGCCGACGAGAAATTTTGGGAAATATTTCCTTTCTGGGATCCGTCGTGCTGTTTTTTTTTTTTTTTTTTTTTCAATTCCTATCTAGCTGGGAGGTTGGTTTTATGAGGCCCACTATCGCGCGATCCGAATCCCTTTTTAAGTCATTTGGTTTTATGCCACCTTGACCTTAATCGGTAACTCTCTTTTATCTTTCCACCTAAGTTTTAATCTGATCATCCCTTTTCTAAAATATAAAACTGGATTTCGTAACGATAGTTTAATGTCTTTTTTAGTTTTCAAACCCCAGTGGAAATTTTCCGTCCATGAGTCGAGTTTCTTGGAGAACCCTTTGATATTTTGAATCATCTATTTACCTGACTAGTCGATCAGAATTCCTTCTCCAAGGACATGCAGGAAATCATGAATACTGAATTCTGAATACCTTTGGCTGATTCTTAATATGCTAGACGCGCCCAATTGGGGGAAATTTTTGAATTGGATCGGACTACTTTGAAATCCGACGGTGTTTTTCGCAGCAGTCCAAGGGGTTGGTTCACCTTCGGGCATGCCTCATTTGCTTTGCTGTTCTTTTTCGGACACATTTGGCATGGCGCTAGAACCTACGGCTATAATACTTTTATTTTTTATGATTACAAGGAGACGAATTTCAATCCATAGAGACGCTAAATTACTTCTGGATATTGCATATTTGGTTTCCTTCTTCTAGAAATTGCATATATATCTAGCTATTGAAAAATTTCAAGGTCAGCCATTGATGAATTTTTATTCTTGATAGTTGTAATTGCATTTTTTTCTGAATATTTTATATCTTTTACGTTTACTCTTGAATTAAGTTGAATTTTTATAGCTAATGTCTTTTATTGTGTTGAACTCAATAAATAGTTTACTCCAATTTTGACAGATCGAACATCTCTTGCTTTCATTCAGTCTCTCCTTTTTTTAATTTGGTTGAATAGGTAATAATCATCTCTTAAAAAAAACAGTTTCTTGTAGAGAATGCAATTCTGATGTCTTTCTTTGTGATAAGATTTTGTTCCTGTTTCTAAAGTTCATTGAAGAAATTTTATAATTTATTGATAGTAAGCTCTTAAGGATTTTAATAAAGTATACTACTTTGTGATGAGGTTTTGTTGTTTTTTCCCTTTTGTGCATGTGCTTCTACCTTCAGATTTTCCTGTATTGAGGTTCAAGGTTGGAATATAGAGTTTTAACTTGTGTTTGTAAACTTCGATTCGCTTTTTCTACATTTTTTTCTATTTATGTTACTTTTAGTTGATGAGGCAAGATTTTTTTTTTTCTCTCAAGTAAAATATCCCATCTTGAGTTTCATATGGTTTTCATAAGATTGACGTGTTTTAATCAGACATTATTTCTGTTTATCTTCGCAGATACCATGGGACGCTGCATAGAATGTAGCATGATCAGTGAACCCTAGGCACTTGATCCCCTAAAAATGATTTAGAGTTCACGGTTGTACTGTCACTGGAGGAACCTCACCCTATATAATTATGGGGGCCAACTGTTGCGTTGCATCAAGACACCATGATCTGGCACGAAGAAGAGACAGACAAATTTCCACACACACAAGTGTGAGACGCTCTCCTTTGTGGAACTTTCAGTGGAACAGTCGGACACATATAGAAGACACGGAAGGCAACCTTGCAAGGATTTCTCATGGTAACAACAGGAGTGTTGAATTCGAAACTAAGAGTAATGTAGCAATGGAATCACACGGCCTTTCTGAGGCAAATGATTCCTTTTCTTCGCCCAACTGGCAAGAATCCGCAACAAATCCAGGAACAACTGTGAATTCTGACGGAAGTAAAACAGGTTCCAAGTGCATCAGCTCACTCATTCACTCTTTATTTTCATAACTGTGGCACCTGATACGCGAAAATCATTGCCTTTATTAGCAGAAAGTTGAGGTTATGTATCTGGCTGATACTTTTTTTTGGAGAATACTATTTTCGTTCTCTTGAAGGTGGAAATTTTTATTTTTTATGTGAAAAGAAATATCATCCTTATCGTAATGTGTTATCCATCTAATTTCCTCATGTTATTCGTTATTTATTTTCTTAATTTGCTCTTCAGTGCCTGGGGCGATCATTAATCTTCTAACATCGGTCATTTACCCTACAACCTGGGTTCAAAACTCATTGCTGTGACACAGTTCACATATATCATACCAGTAGACTGTCGTCCAGGTGCTGCGTTTAGGTACTCCCTCTCCGAAGGGGGAGGGCTGCTCTTATCTGCATATAAATTCTGATCTAATTAGCACCAATCTAATACGGTGTTTTCTACTTTCATTCAAGAAACTACCTGTGTAATTATCCTCGGAGATGATTGCTAAGATCCATGTCTTAAAATTTGTTGATTTTTGTTGACTACGCGACTGAAGATGTGATATCCTTGTCTGTAGCATTATTAATGCAGGAAACTGATTCATTCCAAATATTCGGTAACCATAAAAGGAAATAGAAATATGCTTCCAGCAACCACTAGAACCAGAAGTGGATGGATTTTCTCCCCTGCGTTTCGATAATCTTTCTGTGTTGAATTTTTTTCTACCTTTATGTGTATTTTCCCTAGTTTATATGCCATCGAACATTCTGATTATTCCAGTCATAGTTTTATTATCTAAGTTTGTTTCCTATCATTTTGATTGTTTTACACGTGCAGCTTCTAATCTTCTTCTACCCACAATGGATCTACCTGTCGGAGGCAGTTCATGGTCAGAGGTGAGCAAGAACCTGTCGCAGGCCTCTTGTGAAGGAGCCTCCTTTCCGTGAATTCCATTTCATGTCCTGTTCGAGCAAAGCTTCTTCGTGTGATTCGTCTCCTCCTTCGTGAAAACTTGCACAGGGAAAACCCCCCATGAAATCATCATCGACCAAAAGTCAACGACACTCGAAATATCCGCCGCCTACAACCACCCCATCCTGGTCAACCTTCAAAGGAGAGTCTTCCTCCTCTCGTAGCTCCTCACTTCCAGTTGAACGGACCTTCTCCCTGAAGCCACAGCAGTCCCCTGGCTACAACAGCTTCTCAAGGCAAATCTCTGACAGTCATCTCGCGGTATGGAGATCCCGGAACGAAGATCATTCACCCGGAGGAAGCCTATCATTTTTTCTCCCCGACCTTCCTGCCGGCGACTCTCATGGTGGGTCTTCCGACGCCTGGTCAACGCGTCTCTTCTCAGAGCTCGTCGCTTCATCACAAAGAGAAAGGTGGTCGTTTGATTCAGAGAGCGCCAATTCCTATTATGACAACATTACCAGGTCCATCATCAAGCCAGCTACTCCTCCCCATCGGCCGGAGTCGCAACCATGCGGAATCTGTTCAAAGTCAATGAAAGAGAGATCTCCCTGGAGCAGCCAGAAGATGGTCTCCGACAGTGGGCTCTCGGTGGTCGCCGTTCTGGTCTGCGGGCACGTCTTCCATGCAGACTGTTTGGACAGGTTGACGGCTGAATCGGATCGATTCGACCCGTCTTGTCCGACCTGCACCAGCGCTGAGAAACCTGCCCAAAAATTGCTGCTGAGAGGGAAATCCGAGGCCAGAGGAAGGAGCAAGATCTCGAGGAGCGCGGTGGCCGACGTTGACCTCGAGAGGGTCCAAGTCAAAGGCCGGTGGAGGAGTGCGGCGGAGGACGAGGAGGAGAAGGGGAAGGGCCCCACGCTGGGGAGGACGATCTCCAGCTTCAAGAGCCTCGGAAGGCCATTCCTGAGGCGGCACTCTTCCATGGATTCCAGGCCACCGGCGAAGTCAACGTCTCAGACCGAGCCAAAGAGGAAGACTTTCTGGGGGAAGACACGAGAAGGAATGAATTGAATGCGCTCCGCTCCGTATGAACAGTTTTACACAGGTAAAATAGGCACGCCCACAGATTTACCCATGTGGGGAAATTTCTTCTTTATTTCTTCATGGTCTTTAAACAAGCCCGTCTCCTCCATTGTCTCGTATATTGGGAAAACCTTTCTTTCCTTTTTTGTCTGTAAGAAACGATTTGAGTACATGGGACGTGGGCCCTACCCCCCACCCCCAACCCGGGGCCCGGCCCCTATAATCCCAGCCTGTGAACTATACACACAATCAAATTGCATTTAGTATTGTTTGCAGTTTATGTCTATGAGAGTTTGTGGGCCTTATGGGCCGATATTCATGGGCCGATATTCATGGGCCGATATCAAGTCTGTGGGTTGGATGAAGGCCCAAATAGGGAAGAAGGGTCGTGAGCCCAAGGCTGGGTCCAGTTCGGAAACGAGGGGAAGGGATGTCGCATTCGAGAGCGCCGACTTAGTGATAAGGCTGCGCCGCCCATCTTGTCTTCTGGTCCACCGGCAGAACGGTAGGTCAGGAATCCATCAACTTTTTTAGAAAATTCATTTTATTTAAAATGAGGGCCCGTCGTGATCGCAGTCATCCCTGGGCCCGGCCCACTTTACAGTATACCCTAAAAAAATAGAGGCACAGTCTCTGGGTTTCAGGTTAATAAGCTCTCTCTCTCTCTCTCTCTCGCTCTCTCTGAAGTCAAATATGATGTGCGAGAAAGTCAATGAAAAGGAGACCATTAAATGATCATTATCTTTTTGTTTACGAAAGGCTCCTGGCCCATTATCCCGGCCCAAGTTCCATGGCCAAGGACTGGGCCGGGCTGCTTTGATTTGGGCCATCACTTTTTCTTTTGTTCACCGGCCTAACGGCCCAGGAATTAGGTCGGCGGAATTAGATAACGATCCCGGGAATTCGGGACGCGTGTACCGTTACGTGTCAGTCAGACACCTGAGCGAATCCTCTCAACGGCCCGATGTTGGGTTCGGACATCTCCTTCAGTGAACGTGTCAGAATCCCCATGCAGGGCGTTTTCAGCATTCCGACTCTCCGCAGCCTTCTTATACGCGCCATCTCCAAGAGGTCATCACATCGACTTATCCAATCGTCCTCTTTCTTGCCGAATATCTGCTTTAGAGACTTGGTTTCCAGTTGTGAGCTCTCTCTCTCCTCTCTCTCTTCCACAATGGCTGACGTTAGGGACGAGTACGGCAACCCCATCGGCGTCACGGGCGACCATGGCGCTGGGGTTGGCGCCACCGGCGCGGGCGGATACGCCACCGGGCACCATGAGGCGGTGGCTTCGGGCGGACGACAGGAGCTGCAACGCTCTGGGAGCTCCAGCTCAAGCTCGGTACGTGCGTTCTCACATATCTCGCGATAATTTGCTTCGGTAGTATGAGAGAATCTCTGACTTTCGAGAGAGTATAATGCAGTCGGAGGACGACGGAATGGGAGGGAGGAGGAAGAAGAAGGGCATGAAGGAGAAGATCATGGAGAAGATGCCGGGGCATAAGCCGGAACACCAGCAGCACCACGAAGCGGGGTACGCTCCTCAGAGCGCTGCCCACCAGGAACCAGAGAAGAAAGGAATAGTTGAGAAGATAAAGGAGAAGTTACCCGGGCACCATAACTGAAACGCCGCCTAGTATTTATGGGTAGAAGTGAAGAAGGCTTGATATATTCACTTCGTCTGTATCTGTCTAGCATATACGGTGGCTGTCATCTCTCTGGTCGCGGAGGTTCTGTCTGCCTTCTGCTTCCGAGTTGTAATAACCTGCCACACCTTTCCCTGCACGCCTGCTGCTTCGTGTTGGTGATTGTTCCTTGTATGTGGTCGTGCGCTTTGCTTTATCTTTCTTCATGTACGTGTTTATCTTACGTATAGAATTAATTACATACATGTCTCTCTCTCTCTCTCTCTCTCTCTCTCTCTCTAGATGTATATCTCTGATGAAGGCCATCTAATCGTATCGAAGATTTTCGAACCAGGTGGACCATACCTTGTGGGCCAGGCGTCTAGGGTATTTAAAAGATGACTACAATGATCAGAAGACCTTAACAACCAAATCACTTTTGGTCAATATCTAGACGATTAGTTTCTCACTCGAGTGGACTATTAAGTCTATGCACCGCCTAATCCAGGTGAAGCTCAGGAAACTTTAAGACGCATTAATGGGCCAGCTCGAGCCGGAGCTGGGCCAGCCCGGTCCTCAAGTTTCATGAAGCTTCTTGTTCACCTGGATCGGGCCGTAGATGGGCTTAGTCCACTTAGAGTGCGAAACTAATCTCTAACGCATTTAGGATGCGTCTAAATATTGGCCAAAATATTGATCTGATCAGCTTAACCCATCTTTTAACCACCCTGGACGCTTGGCCCACCAGTTTCGGGCCACCTGAGTCAAAAACCTTTCGTCCTTCAGCTCGCTCTCTCTCTCTCTCTCTCTCTCTTTTCTAACCCATCTTTTAAACACCCTGGACGCTTGGCCCACTAGTTTCGGGCCACCAGCTCTCTCTCTCTCTCTCATATCTAACTTTCTTACGTATGAGATGAAAGTAGTTGCATGCATCCACGATGCACCAGGTTGGAGAATTAAGTAAACTATAGTCCACTTTGCTGCATAATAGTGATAAATGGTGAATTACTTAAATATGTACACGGCCACCATGGATCCTACCTACAATCAGTCGTCTGGTATACAAATAAACAGGAAAACCCGACAGACCCCCGAGCATCAGAGAGAAGGACCATGTCTGGAAGCTTTAAAAAAAAACTACCCTGTACAGGCTAACAAAATTGGGTCGTATCATATGCAGCCGCTCCCCAAGAATCAAAGGCAGGAGGGGCATAGAAATCTCAGAGCATTCATCACCAGGAAGAAGGCAATCAGCATCGCCGCTCCAAGCATACCCACGACCACAATCAGAGAGTTCAAACCAACCAGTGAGAATCTGCGCAGGGAGAAGCCAATGTTCCTCACAAACCCGCGGGCCTTCCTCAGACAGTCGCGGGATTTGTGAAGAAGCCTGGTGCGACGACCAGATTTCACGAGCTTCCGGTGGCTCAGTGAAGACGACGACGGCGGCCCTCGAGGTGGTAAGAGAACCGAGGGAGCCGTGTTCTCAGATGTGGGCTTTCCCTGCACCCGGCCCCTGATAACTTTTGTCTTCGGTGCAGTGGAATCCCTGATGACCAGCTCACAGGTCGAATCAAGGCGGCCAGCTTCGCTGACAAACACAAACGTCTGGTCAACGGGTCTGGACTTTGTCGAGTTGTGAACCTGGAAGCGAATCCGTTGGCTTAGAGCTTCACATGGTCTGTCCTGTCGCTCTCGGATTTGGATCCCTGTGTCTGGGCTTCGATTGGTGAATGTCGCAACACCCTCTTCACAGCCTTCTGAGATCATCCCCCCATGACTACTAAGGAATACAGCACAAGGATCGAACAGTCCCGTCAGCAGAGCACCTTCTGCGCATCTATCTTCGTAGTCTGGATAGGGAATATAACCATCACCAATCTCAGATCCAATCTGGTAGCCACAGATGGCATCAAAGGGGACGGGCCCAGACTGTCCAAATAGGAGTTCATAATCGAACTCATGGGGATCTGAGTTCCATCCAAGAAAGTTGTGGGAACCATGATCTTCTGGTAATGAGACGTTGGTTTCATCAATGTCATGGACGCATTTTTGGTCCGAGTCGTTCTTTAGGGCAAGGGAATCACCGCCCACCTGCATGCAGCATCATATCCCAAGAATAAACACCTCGAATCGTATTGAAAGGGTAAGGGAGAGGAATTGGAAAGAAAGCATCGTGCTCATGCAAGGATTACGAGATAGAGCCTTGAAAATATGCACAGATAGGTGAAGATGGATTACACTAGAACGCAGCTTCTAAGAAAAGAGGAATACCTTCTGTTCGTTCACGGGTTCGCTTAGAAGTAGTGATGTACAGATATTAGGATCATATAGCTCCTCGAGCCATGATTCATAGTTGTCCACTTCTTCAGTTGGACTGGATGCTTCCTTTTTCGGTATCAGGTGGACAAAAATATCTTCAAAATCCTTTGGGCAACTTTTCTTGGGCAAAGAAAGACGTGGATTGATACACTTCTTCACCTGGGGGGAGACCAGCTCCTCTTCTTCCTGATTCAAACCATTCCTCTTTGTAACCCGACATAGAACAAAGATATCCTGTTAACAAAAACCATAATTACTATCAATACTGAATAACCAAATAATTCTGCGGTAATGATCCAATCATTCTATACTGCAATTCATTTATCTAGTAATTCTTCCCGGAAATAATGTGAGAGCATGGTGTCCCAGCCTCGGGACTGAATATCTAAATAAAAAGCCACGAAGGTATGAAACTACCAGAAACTGTGTTCGCTATATTGGCATATAATAAGAGAAAACATGAACATTGAATAATTTCATAGATCAGGAGAGAGAGTGAAAAAAAAGAAGGTATATTAATCCTCTATTAAAGTTGTACAGCCGAATTAAAATTTCAAGCATAAGAAATACCTCGATAGGTGCTCCGCTGTACTGCTTCTCATTCAGATAATATTCATGCATAATCCACTCGGTGCGCTTCCCATAAGGAGGCCTGCCTTGATGGAACACTAGTGTTTTCTTAGTCCCAATGATCTGGTTGTTCAAACGAATGTTTCTATCTTTGCCAGTAGATTTCCAATATCCAGCTGCAGTAGCTCTATTTGAACGGGAACCATTTGGGTATTTCTTGTCCCGGGAAGTGAAGAAATGCCATTTGGAATCTCTGGTGGGGATCAGAGACTTGGCTGCAGAAATGTATTAAAATTATGTAAAAACTAAAATACTGTACTTTAAAAAAACATCATTCTATTTGAATTCGTAGCGATAAAAAAAATATTCACAGTCTAAATAAAGAGCCGACCATAGATTTAAATACCCCCAATTTTCCACGTAAGGAATTTAGAATGCACACATCAATTTGAATATTTTTGATTTCCCACGTCATACCACCTAAATAGAACTAAAATGATCATCCTGGGAAAAGATTACCTGGCAAGTCCCACGGTTCATATTTATAGATGTCAACCTCTGGTATCACTTCCAAGTCAATCTGGCACCCAAGAATCTTCCTCTTCAGATAATGAGAAATAAGCTCCACGTCTGTCGGATGGAAACCAAAACCAGGCGGCATAGAAAAGACACGGGAAGTTTCCATTCTTGACTTCGTCTTTCCCTCCCTGATCATCGTCCAAAGACAAATGAATGTTATGAAAGATGAAATATATATATATCTATATAAAATAATCCTAATTTTTTTTACGAAAACATGATGCCTTGTTAGGAAATGAATAGGGTCTAGAGAGAATCAACTAGACAACGGAAAATAAAAACAAATTGAGCACCAAATGGCACCAAAGTTGACTAATTGTTCCTATTAATCTCATTCTCGTTCTAAGTGAAAGTGGTTGAGGAAAATAGAACGACATCACATAACCAGATGACCCCATCACCTATATAATAAATACTACAGCCAGTCACAGACCATGAAAGCAGTCGAGATAACTTAGAATGTAAAAGAAAAAAACCAGAAAATTTTCCCTATAAAAAACAGAAAATAGATGGAAAAGATCGATAAGAATATAATGAATATACAGAAGAAACATGTCAATTCAGATAATCCTAAACACAAATATGGCATATAATAATACAGCAGAACTTTCCTACAGCGTACGATAAACAGAAAAGGGTTTTCCATGGTCTAAAACGAGGGCACGGTCAAATTATCACCTCCGCGACTCATCTACAAGAAAACGCATCAATAACAGAACAACTGTGTCCCTCGCCAACTGACTCGCTAAAATGATGGCGAAACCCCACAACCTCAAAAAAACGAAAACGACGAAGCAAGTATACGTTAGAAGTTCAGGGTAGCTCGACACGATACCGATGAGAAGAACAACCGCCCGATCTTTTCACATAGAATTGAAGGAGGTACCTGACCCGATCCGAAGCCCTCGCAAACCCTCTGTCCTGGGAGTGTAAACGCGGAGAAAGAAGAAGAGAGGCAAGGGGGAGGAAGAAGAGGAGCTAAGAACAGCGATGGGTGTAATCCTTCCGAGGAGCGAGAACTAAGAAGGCCACAGCTCGAGCAGCCGATGTCGACTAACGAAGGAGCCGCGAAAGCCACCTTGAGACTTGGTCAGTAAGCGAGACGCGGCAGTGCTGCGGGCGACGGTGACCGCTTCCAAATGAGCCAACAGGAAATATACATCTATAGTGGGCCCCAGATCGCCTTTAGCTGCCGCGTAGCAGTCTGGCCGCCTGGGCCGCTTTTCCCAATTCCATCCATTTTTTTATTCAACTAAATCAATATTAAATCAATTTACAATGATTTATAAATAATCCTCACCCAGCGGGCCTTTTCCGGCCCATCATAGAGTTGGTTTACTTTCTTTTAAAACCACTACCGGGCCTACCGCGTTCACATCATCCGGCCCATCTTTCAGGCCCATTTAGCATGAAATTTTGTGGAGAGCTCCTCCTCAAAACGAAATCTTGCACGTTCGACATCGAAACGGGTTCAGATCGAAATAAAAACCCACAAAGTTGTGAGATTCGTGTCCCCCAGAGCATTCTGGTTTTATTCAAGACGATGAAGGTCAGCGGGGGAGAAGGGGCAGAAGGATATAATATGATCACGGAATGGTGCGCTGGTAGAGGGGAAGGGCTCCCAAGGCCTCACGCTCGGCTCTCTCCTTCTTGACCTGCAGTTGACCCATCAGAAAGGGGAAGCTCCGCGTTAAAACAAAGAGGAATCGGTGAACGTTACAGTGGGGCTTACAAGCTTTAGCATGTCTTGGAGGTAGCTCCTGAATGGCGTCTGCAGAACCTGTTCAGAGGAAGGGGAGAAAAAGTCAATACGTGATCATGTTTATTGCAACACGTGTCAATCGCCCCAGATAACCATTGACTTTCGTACCTTGTCAAACCCACTTGAAAACAATCAAGCACAATCAGAGCTGCCGACAAAAACGAATGAAAGGAGAGAGAAAAAGAATCGATGGCATTTTCCCAACAAAGGGGAAAATTGACTTAATTAAATGAATTAAGTCAACCGTGGAATAATGCGTGGAGGTATCCAGGGATTAGCACATTAAAGGTGAATTTTCCATAGATACATTATTTTTAATCCATCTTAAGGCGAGCAACAGTCACAACCATCTGGATTGACTGGATTCGCAACTCATGTTTACCAGATATATCATAATACAAAGATTATTTACTCCCTAGAAGTATATATTTGGAACGATGAATAATAAACTGTCATCTAAATAAAAATAGATATCATTCAACAGAAACAAAACCGTAAACAGTGAGAGAATCATCGTATCATGATTTAAATCTATATTCCATACATAATTTTGCATCGTTTTCCTCGGAAATAAAATTTGAAAATCATCGCATTATCTTTTTAGACGTACCAGTGCCCAGCGGGGTAAAACTGGTCACACTAACGTATTTGTCAACATCGATGATACCAAGACCACCAATAACACTTAACTATCAAGAACAATTGCAGAGAAATAAATATCTGAACGAAGCAAAGGTGTACGTAGACAAAGAAAGTGACTGGTTATGTCTGTCTCCTTCCCATCTATATTGTCAGGGATGAGGGGGAGGGGTCTTCCTGATGAATATAGATGGGAAGAAGAAGAAGAAGCGAAATGAGTCAACTCAGGGATGGGGCTTTTAAGCCGAATGGCTCCCAAGAAGCCATTCAGTTTCTTATCTCTTTTTAAACGAAATTGGATATCCTGGACTAATCTCCAAGATCACTCCTAATGCACGAAGACAGATCATCATTCATGACGTGTATAGCAAATGTGTAACCTTTTCTTTGCAATTACTTCATTGGGGATATAATGCCTGTGAAACATGGCTTTGCGGGCTCTCAGTCCTCCAGCTAACATACTTGTGTATAAAATAAGGTCAATGGATACACATTTGGATCCAGCTGAGGAAATCAAATCGGGTTCTACAATATAGAGCAGTATAAAAGATCCCTGTAAAAGCATCTAAACTATCTAATGTTGCCACCATTGAAGATAAAAAATGGAGATAGACTACTAGATAACGAGGACAATGACGACATTGACAATGCCAAAAAGGGAACATCATAGACTGATAGCTTGAATGGATTTCAGTACGAGTTGCTGGGTTTGACAAGCTGATTCCAAGGGTTTAGCAAACAGCATTCGAAAAGGATATACAACATGGATAAACCTCAAGGAGCAGGCTTTTCGAAGTTGTGCATAAGCCCATTCAAGTTAAATGATGGGGAAAAAAAAAAGAACAGATACTATAACCAAAAAAACAAAGAAGGTAATAGATTTACAGAGAATGAGTGTTTGAGGCATAGGTCCTAAATCTTTGCGAACCACAATTCTAAGCAAACAATGACATAGAATTCTTCTTGTCTGACGGGATTTTTGCGTAATGCATTGTTACTCAATGCACTTGCGAACTTAATAGGATACTTCTAAAAACATTGTTGTCGATATTAGCCTGGCGAAGGTCTTGTTCAGTAAAAGTAAACACACAACATATATATTCTATGGATTTTTCAAACAATGATAGACTTTCGATTTAACACATCCGTAGTTGCCCTCAGTCTTCTCCCTGAATGCGATGCAAAACATTATAAAAAAAATAGAATGCTAAAACACCGTTTTTTTTTTCCAAAAGGACCTTTTACAGAGGCTATTCAAAGAGATCAGTAAAACTAATCGATCGTTCTATAGATAAATCGTCAAGTTGTATGAAGAAACATTACACTGCATGATAGTCTAAAAATATTTGAGATAAAATTAAAATAGCGGATTTTTTTTTTAATTCTCTTTTCTTGGCGTTAAATCGTAGATAATCTAGGGATAAAAATGTAACTATGTTTTCTACCATGAACCTAGAAGAAGCACTGAAACTTCAAAGGACTTCTAAAACTATTAGAATAAGTTCTAATGGAACTAGAAGCTAAGTTTTTCTGGGCAGCTTTGAGCGTATAAGCGGACCAGGAGATGGCTGTGTACTTAATCCAATAACAGTAATTGTGTTGGATTGAATTAACAAGCTTTTTTCAGTGTAAGAAGACGTGTTTAACAGTGAATGATGAAGCAAAAGGCAGATGGTTTTCATAGTTTGGCGGGATATTTTTCTTCCCCGCCATTCCATGCTGGATCAGCGAATAGGTCCAGGGTATATCTACAGCTCGGGTGCTGCATTAACGCCAGCCTGAGGTGCCGGTGAAATAATGAAGCTTAGACATCTAGAAAACGTGACACCAAATATGAAGTGCATTCAACAACAAGAATAGCTTATATCGAAACACTTGTCCATTGAAAGCGGGTAGATGTGGGTTCCATGTTAACTAGGAAGCAAGGAGAAAAAAACCAATTACGTTAATGGTTTGATGGGATATTCTTCTAGTTCACATCACGACAGATAAGTGAAGGGATGAGTTGGATGCGTTAAAGACAGTGTGCGGTGTTTGTAGAAAAAGGAAGGTAGACATTAAGGAAAGAAGATGCCGAACCGAGAAGTCATAACTTATGACTGTTGAATATGGCATGCAGTACCGACTACTCTCCAGAAACCCTTTATCCCCTACCCTTGACTTCACATCCTACACATGCTGATATCATGTACTGATCTGTCCCTTCATTATCAAGGATTCGTCCCCCACTTCCAAGTGTCAACTCTAGACCCAACGATAACCCACATTATTTTCAACATAAGGAAGCCACGCTAAATTCGGCGAAAAAACCCATTATGTAGCTGTCAGAAATAGCTTCAGAGAAATCAAATAAAAACAACAAAACTACCGTCCAAAGAAGTTGATGAATGAACGCGCTGTTGGTGAACGGATGGCAACAGTCAGCACTACCAATCAGGATGTCGATCACTCATGATGGTATTCCTAACTGCAGGACATAAATAGTACAATTTCAGAACCATGGATGGCAGTACCGATCCCCCGTGGTGACAATGTAAGCGTAGAAATTGTTCGTCGAACAGGCAGCTGAGATACTGGCATTCACTTCCGGGAATTTCTAGGGAAAACTCACCTTAATGCATTACAGAGAAAAAATATAAACATAAGAATAAACGACACCACTAAGAAACCAAAAAACACGAACACCTGATAATGTTTCCGTTTCATTTAAACTCGGGGACACATTTAAGGCGAGGATCCAGCAACAGTCAAAGAAGGAAATTCGACGGACGAAATAGCGGCGTGTGATATAAACCTGAAGATCCTCGGGCAGGTACTCGTGCTTCATGGAGAGATCCATGGCCCGCTTTAGACGCTGGTTCCTAGCATCCACGACCTCCCGAGGCAGACGCGCCAGTGCCTCCTTGATGTCCAGATCGTACATCGGGTCGTAGAGGTCGTCGTACCGCAGGCCTTCACCGTAACGGCAAAATCAGATCCGCACCATCGGCGTCCATCGCAATCAATAAAACCAACAAGGAACAAAGCGAGCGAAAGGCAGAAGATTCACACCATATTTCCTCAGACGCTTGGAGACGGCCTTGCAGTGCTGGGCGGCGAACCAGTTCTTGGATGGGTTCGTCAGCCATCTCGTGAACGCCGAAATCGCCATCGCGAAGGAGCAAAAATCGCCCGCGACTTCTTTCTTCCAAACTGAAGCTCTTATTTCCCCATTCCTCCCCCTCCCGGCCAGTATTCTCTCTCTACCATCAGACCTGACACATATCCGACCGTTTGTTCCAACTCGTAATGTCCACCGTCAGATTCATCCAACCTTTGTCCTAAGGCCCAGGGAAGACTCGGCCCAGGGGAAAAAAGCCCGATAACCGATTCTTATGAGCCAGTCCCAAGTTATGGGCTGGCCCAATCCCCACAGGCGAGACATAAAGATTTATTTGCTTAATGGTTTTTTTTATATATATATAAAAATCGCGTGTTCTTCCGCAAGCGGATGAGCTGAAAGAGGACGGATGCAGGCCGCTTGAAGGGACCGCGTCGTCTCCAGGCAACCACCCCGGGAATTTTAAATGCCGGCGCTAGGAAGCCAATTTCCTCTTTTTCCTTCGTTTGCCGACACCAATGATCGCTGCCAAACACGGCCCCGGATCTCCCAGCAATCCCGGCAAGCCGGCCTTGGAACAGGAAGGGTACGAAAGAGAGGGAGATTGAAAGCGAGAGAGAGAGAGGTGACGAGTTATCGAGAGGCCAGACAGAGAGCACGAGTATATAGCTAATGCATGATACTTTTTAGAACAACCCTGTAAGAACGTTATTCAATTCCTCTGCATCAGAAAGAGAGAGAGAGAGAGAGAGAGAGAGAGAGAGAGAGAGAGAGAGGGAGAGGAACTTAAAAGAATACATAACTTTTCACTCTTGTATTCATCGTTGCGTCGATATCAAAGAAAAAGAAAAAGACATCTTAGAGGAAGACGGGTTTTCGTAGCGTGGAGAGAGTGTGTGTGTGTGAGAGAGAGAGTTCTGTACTTCACATTCTATACAGGTCGAAGCACACCTCGGAGAAATGACTGGGTATCGCCGTATCCTTCCACGGACTCGAGATCTCCCGCCCGGCGGAGCCCTCCTCGCTGGACCGATAAACCAGAAGAGCCGCCTCAAGTTTCCTGTCTGTCTCCCAGTCGAAAGTTCCGCTCTCCATCATCACGCTGTTTGGGTTGCTACTGTTGCTCGATGTCTCTCCGTTGCCGTAGTTCTCCGACCCGTCGGCGAGGACGGGATAGTTGAAGAAGAAGTCCTCATCGGCCACCAGAGATGGCGACTGGATTTCCTCAGAAGGCCTGCCCAAGCTCTGTAGTTGCTCGTAGATGGTTTGACTTTCCATCGCCCCTTCGCCGCCCATGGGAAAGTCCAATTCTGGGAAGGGATCGAATACTGGTCTAGCCGGGATATGGAGTCCGCTCTTTGCGCGAGGAGGCTCCTCCTGGGTCAACGGCTGGTGGGTGGCGGGGTCAATCCCGAGTTGTCTGAGCTTCTTCTTCAGGTTTGAGTTCCAGAAGTTCTTGATCTCATTGTCTGTTCTACCCGGCAGCTTGGCGGCAATCTGCGACCACCTGAGCGCGCACCGGGATGATTAACTCCGACGCAGCAATTGACATTAAGAGGAGGAATAATCTGGAGCTCAAGAGGCACCTGTTTCCGAGAACCAGGTGCAGGTTTATGATAAGGTTCTCCTCCTGCTGCGAGAAGGCGCCTCTCTTGAGGTCGGGCCTGAGGTAGTTGATCCACCTCAATCTGCAGCTCTTCCCACATCTCTGGAGACCTGGAATGGGGAGGATAACGAAGGTCAGCTCCCCCCTGATGAGCGCTCGGGGAGGAAGAAGAATCGACCAAGGAAACCGGGACTTGCCTGCCTGTTTTGGAATGGAGCTCCAGCAGCCGACGCCGAACCTGGTTATGTGGTTGTACAGCTTCTCGTCTTCTTCAGGCGACCAGAGGCCCTTCCTCAGCTTCTGCTTGTAGCAGCAGGAATGCCGGCCCATTTCCGACGTTGATGACGCAGAATTCCGACGAATCTGACGGTGCTAGGACGGGGGGAGTTCTATCACGCGTCGACCTCACCGTGCGGACGACTTAAGACATGGGGGAGGATTTATGCTTACGATTCGTTTAAAAACACGAGCTAGGAGCATGCCACGACGGGGTAGAGAGAGAGAGACAGACAGACAGACAGTCAGAGATAGAGAGAGAGAGAGAGAGAGAGAGAGAGAGAGAGAGAGAGAGAGAGAGAGAGAGAAGAGAGAGAGAGAGAGAGAGAGAAGAGAGAGAGAGAGAGAGAGAGAGAGAGAAGAGAGAGAGAGAGAGAGAGGAGAGAGATAGGGAGAGCAGAAGAGGGGAAGCGATCAAGTGGGTTTTAAGCAAGAGCTCAATGACCTTTCAATAGGAATAGATTCGGTTTGAAGGTATCTTTCGACTATGGACAAAAGGGAACATTGTTGAGAAAACTAAGAGGACGGAAATTACATGTAGTTTAATGGATTTCAAAAGATTCCGCTGACCGGCAGAGGCTGCAAAACTTGCAGGATTATGGACCGTAAAACAAGTTCATCTCAGCCTAATTATGCCATGCACAGTTTGGAAGATCTAGCCGACATTTCCCTCGTCAGTCCTTCCCAAACAAGAAAGGTGATCGATCGAACCACATTCTCCGCCCAAGATTATCAATCGGCGCCACGAACGGGCTCATCTACGGCATTTGGGACGCGACAGCCAACTCCATGAGAACCGCCTGCCGGCGAGGGCGGCCCGTCGCCCCTCGCCGGCGACGGCGACTCCCGCGCCGACGGTAAATGGCTCCCGTGCACCGACTTGTGGGTTCCGGGTTATGGGACCGGTCCTCGTCGATTATACGGTCGACGTTAGTTCTGATGTCACAGGTCGGGACGTAGTTTTCGGATGGCAACTGCTCCCTGCATGTCGCCATTTGTTTATCTTCTCGTCGGAAAATGAATGCACAGTGGAGGATTAAATGAATTGTTGGTGTGGGCTCGAGAATATCTCACCTTACGTGAGCTTGACGTGTCTCTCTGCGGAAGATAACATCATGGTATCACCTACTCTTCCCAGTCGAGCCTCCCGCAAGGGGAGAACTTGCCTGCTAGCCATTAACGCGTGGGAAAAAAGTCACATTCGTGAGATGCCTTGCGAAGTACTTGTCGTAGTGAGAGAGACAACTGGAGCTGACGGCTGGCGACTTGAAGCAAGCCGACAGCAACGGAGAAACCCTAGAACCCATGAAGAGCATCTGCGCGCGCCCAGGTTACGTGAGTTACCAGGGAAGAGAATTCTCACCACGGTCGCCGGTTCATTCAGAGGTAGGGAGGGGGGAGGACCTGGTCCGAGTCGTCGACAATGTCGCTCCTGCTAATATCTTGGTCAATGGTGGGCGATTGTCGTGATGTTAGACATGATTCTCTAGAAAGTAGGAACAGTGGTGGTGTCGGCGGAGTTGAGATTGCTTTGGAGCCCGCCAGCAACCCATTATTGTATGTGGTTCTTACAGCAGCTTAGGAACCAGTGAGAAACTTTAGGGAAAAAACAAACGCAAAAGATTCGAAGCAGATGACGATGACCAAAATAAAGGGTCTCGTTCTTTAAATTATTTGCCTATCAACTTCCGCCTGTATGTTGCTAGGTTTATGCGTGTCTTAGCCTTTACGACCAGTTTGATCCGAATTAGTAATGCCCATCACACAACATCATTCTCTCGCCCTTTCTAGTGCTGATCGAAAGCTTGGTGGATCTCACAACCGACCTACCCACCGAGTAGAGCTTAGAGGAATGTCGATGGGAAGGAGCGAGAGAGAGAGAGAGAGAGAGAGAGAGAGAGAGAAGAGTAACGCTTTCTGCAGAATCACAGCAAAATCTTGACGAGGAGATGAGGAAGGGTTTCTCCCCCCGACGTCGGACCCACAGTCGATCTCTCGACTCCCTCGTGCCGTTGACCAACGGCTAGGTACGAAGACTTCGTCCGTACGTCGGCCGAAGCCGGGCGAAATGCAGATACCCACATTTTAATACTGGGCTTTCCTCGGTGCGGCTCCCCTTGTTGAAACTTGAGATCCGCGTCGGTGCCGTCAGTTGACCGTGTCTCATCCGCACACGCGTCCGGTTTCTCCATGAATGTACTCTTACGGCACTCCCGGACGAAACCCACGCGTGGACTTTGAATACCCACCGTCGACAACCATCTCAGAATTGTGTGGCGTATTCGTAGAGAACGTCTTCGCCTCGTCTGCCCTAAAAGTCTCTGTAACACTCTCCTTGCCGTCACTGTCTGCTCCGCGACACGCCCCCTTTCTTACAGATCGCAATCCGGATATAATAGATGGCCCTCCGGGGAGTGCAGAGCGATCGCCCTTCATTTCCGGCGACCCTGTCCCCCCACCGGTTCTATTATTACGCCCAGTGGGACCCACTCTGCATGGCTGGAAAGGTTCTGTCCTGCCCATCGAGGCGGGCCTTCTGAGGGAAACTCCACCCGCATTTCGCCGTAAAAACTTCGCCGCCGGCAAGCCGCCGCCTGCCTGATGGGTCAACGGCGAGATCGGAAGCTCACGGAGGCGGCGGCGGGGCGGTGACGCCGCCGCTGTGAGATCCCCGCCACGTCGCTGTCATGGAAGCAGGCCTTCTGAGGGAAACTCAGCCCCGATTTCGCCGTAACAACTTCGCCGCAGGCAAGTCGCCGCCCCCGCCCGACGGGTCAACGGCGGGCTCGGAGGTTCACGAGGGCGGCGGCAGGGCGGTGGCGCCGCCACTTTGAATTCCCCGCTACGTGGCTGCTACGGAAGTGGGGCCTTCTGAGGGGTACTCCACCCCAATTTCGCCGTAAAACTTCGCCGGCGGCAAGCCGCCGCTGCATGATGGTCAACGGCGACCTCGGAGGTTCACGGAGCGGTGGCGCCGCCGCTGTGAGATCCTCGCCACGTCGCTGTCACCCATGGGGGCACCCACCGACACCAACGCGAGCGTGCGTCGCGGGCGGTTGGCTCCTTGTGAATAGAAGTGGGGAGTTCAAAAGATTCGGCTGCAAGTGGGGGGCAGACCTGGTCATATTGGGTCATATTTTATGCTGTTCGGTGAGGCCCGGTATGATATCTCGGCCCAATAAGATGATTCCTGGAACTTGAGCGTGGGGCGGCCCATCCTCCACAATCACGTGTGTCAATGGGTCGGATAATATTCTAAAGCCCAAAGCCCATTTCTCAACCAGGCTCTCTCTAATCACACACACACACACAAGGAGGCCCAGGTGGGGTGGAGGCTAGAGTAAGAGGGCAATTAATGAAGCTAATTTATAGATTATATAAAAAATAGATGTACTTAATTAGGCTGAAAAATTATAAATACTCAGTTGACGCTGGCTTTCGAAATTTATCAGGAATTAAATTGATTTATTGGTAGGAAAAAAACATTATATCCGAGATTCGCTATGAATTTTTGTGTAATATTCGTCTCCATCGGATCTGGCGAGGCGGTGTGTTATATGCCCGAACCCGAATCAGATACGGACGATAAAGTCTGCGCGACCCGCCCGCGAGGGATCTCAACTTCCATCACAGAGCGGGAGAGAGAGAGATAGAGGGAGAGAGAGAGAAAGAGAGATAGAGAGAGAGAGAGAGAGAGAGAGGGAGAGAGAGAGGGAGGGAGGGAGGGAGAGAGGGAGAGAGGGAGAGAGGGAGAGAGAGAGAGATGGCGGGGGGAGGGGAGGACGTCAACGCAGGGGTGGCGCTGCCGTCGGTGGGGGTGGACGCGAAGAAGCGGCGGGTGAGCTACTTCTACGAGCCGACGATCGGGGACTACTACTATGGGCAGGGGCACCCGATGAAGCCTCACCGCATACGGATGGCGCACAACCTGGTGGTGCACTACGCGCTTCACCGCCTGATGGAGATCAGTCGTCCCTACCCCGCCTCCGACGAGGACATCCGCCGGTTCCACTCCGACGACTATGTCGACTTCCTGTCGTCCGTCACACCAGAGGCCGTCTCCGCTGCTGCCGCCGTCGCCGGCGGGGGACTGGGCGTTGACTCGTCGGCATCATCGTCCTCCGCGGTGTCGAACGCGAAGCAGCTGAAGAGGTTTAATGTCGGGGAGGATTGCCCGGTATTCGACGGACTGTTCGATTTCTGTCGGGCTTCCGCCGGTGGCTCCATTGGGGCTGCCGTTAAGCTGAACCGAGAAGACGCTGACATCGCCATCAACTGGGCAGGTGGGCTCCATCATGCGAAGAAGAGCGAGGCCTCGGGCTTCTGCTATGTCAATGACATTGTTCTCGGGATTCTAGAGTTGCTTAAGTATCACAGGGTATCCCCCGGCTTCATTAAAATTTACTTAGCATAATAGATCACGTTTTAATTTTTTCCATCAGTATATTTCCCTCTTTTCTTCGAAGTAGAAGGCACTTTTAAATTCTTTATTATAGTCATTCTGTGATTCTAGTGTTTCCTTATCGGAGCGGTATTGAGGCTAGGTTAACATTTGATTTGATGACCAATCTTGTTTAAGTAGCACATGTGAATTCTAATTCATCAATAACTGAAATTCGGTTGACTCACTACTGCTGAAAATGGTCATTTTCTCCACGGCAACCTCTTTGGAAACGATTGCTAACTCATCCTTACTCCAAGCACTGCCAATGTCTCCCTTTTACCCAATTTACGTCTGCCTCTCTGTCAAATTTACATTTTGACAGTATATCATATTCATTCACAGCTTCTAACATCTGAAAAGCTTATTTATTTGCCGTGATACTATCTTATGTAATAATTCAGCGTTGACTGCCGGTAGTTGTTTCTCCATGGAACTCTAATCAAGGGGTATTTTTCAGCTTACTGTTCTACTTCCTCACATACATATATCATATTGCTGCTTCCATTTCCTCTGTTTGTCTTCAAATTTTATCCTACTAAGTTTTATCTCAAGAGGATCAATGGAGAAGTACATTGTTTTAGTTGTGACATTTCATGATAAATGGGAAAACAGCATGACTTGTGAAGCAGTCCAATATTCGTATTAGCAGAATGTGTTGTGGCAACATTGAAGTCCAGTATGTCATTCATCTCTCATCATGAATTATTGTTTGCTATTTATTTTTTAGACTGAGTACCCATCGGGATATGCTCAATTTTAACTTATTCTCTCTTTGTCAGCGAGTGCTCTATGTAGATATTGATGTGCACCATGGAGATGGTGTAGAAGAAGCTTTTTTCACAACAGACAGAGTGATGACTGTTTCCTTCCATAAGTTTGGAGACTTCTTCCCTGGCACTGGGCATATTAAAGACGTTGGTTTTGGCCAAGGGAAGTACTACGCACTAAATGTTCCTTTAAATGATGGAATGGATGATGAAAGCTTCCGGGGAATATTTAGGCCTATAATTAGAAAGGTCATGGAAGTTTACCAGCCCGAAGCTATTGTTCTCCAGTGTGGGGCCGATTCTTTGTCTGGAGATAGGTTGGGATGCTTCAACTTGTCAGTTCGGGGTCATTCTGACTGCCTACGTTTCCTTAGATCTTTCAATGTACCTTTAATGGTCTTAGGAGGCGGTGGTTATACTATCCGCAATGTTGCTCGCTGTTGGTGCTATGAGGTGATGCATTTCTTAGGTCTTGTTCGTTACTTTTATTCATTTCCATTTATTTGATCAATTTTCTAACTTTACATGCATTTTCCCACAGACAGCGGTCGCAGTCGGTGTTGAACCCGATAATAAGTTGCCTTTTAATGAATACTACGAGTATTTTGGACCTGACTATACTCTTCATATCGAACCGAAACTTGTGGAGAACCAAAATACTCCGAGAGATCTTGAGAAAATAAGGTAGTTTCTCAGGGTTTTGCTCAGCCGTTTTGTTATAATGCAAATTCATTTCTTGTTTCATCATTTTGGTTTCTCTGCATGCCTACTGTTGCGATGCTCTGCTTAGTCTTTTTCTTAGTAGAACAGTTTCGATGGGGCAGCATATTTGGTTGATTCTCAGGAATCACGTGCTTCTATTATAATTTCTGTTTTTTTTCATGCATTTTATTTTCCTTACAGTGGACGGTATTACCATCATCACGTGATATGAAGATTGGTTGGTATTGTTACTTCAAACCTGATATCACATTCTTATCTTATTTCTTTAGGTCTGTGCTTTTGGAGCATCTTTCTCATATACAGCATGTTCCTAGCGTGCAATTCCAATCTAGGCCGCCAAATACAGAACCTCCAGAGGAAGTGGGTCTCTAGAGTTGATCAATTTCCATTCTTCTCTCTTGTATTTTATTTATTTTGCTCTTTTTTTTTCCATCTTGTGAAGTCGGTTAAATGCAGGAAGAGGAGGACTTAGAAGTGAGACCGAAAAGAAGCTTATGGACTGGAGAGGCTTATGATTCTGAGCACGAGGAAGACCATAATGAGGATAGGGAAGACCTTAAGGAAGATGGGATGCTCATCGACCATAATTTGGACACGGCAGATAATTCTCCACTGTGAATTCTGATAACAGGTAGGTACTTATTCTACACTTTACCCTCTGAAATATTTTTTGAAAATTTTCAATATGGCTACGTATTGAGAAGAAAGCGGTAGGTCCTTGCTTACTGTTGAAAGCTCTGTACAGACCATGTTTTATTTCTTTCCCTTTTTCTCTGTGACTATTTTCCTCGAAATGGGCATCTTGTTTGATCACAGAGTCTACTGATACTGACAACATTCTAAACAATTATAGGTAGTATTCTATTTCAAAACGATCCATGTCATGTGATTATGTAATTGCCAGCTACTGTAGGGGAAGAGCAAAACTGAGAGGTGTCTATCCATGGAAGGAGACCACAGAGCAGAGAGATAGATACATCACCAGAGGAGAAAAAATGGTGAAGCAGCTGCTATTGTGATGGTGAATTGAGGAGTGGAGTGAGATGAGGAGACTCGAGTTGGGACTGTGGGCTACTCTGTTGGTCTCCCTCGGAAGAATATCTGACGCATGGGAGCGGATGGACATAAAGACCAGTTGAGTAGTGCTACTCTCTGTCTGGCTTAAACCTCTTTGATGTATACAGGGAAGCAGTGTCGTGGTGCTGGAGTTCATTGTTTCTCAACCCTATTGACTGGATGCCACAGGGGAGTTCCGTAGAAAAATACCCATGAGCTGTGCCATTTGGCTTCCTGGCCCATTCTCTGTCGCCCTCACTTGGAAACCCTAGAATCTAAGCATACGGTGGTGGAAGCTTGCTTGGGTTTCAAATGGGATTTCTCAGTGGACATTCGCTATACCAGTTGAGTATTGGTAAGAAAGATGGAGCTTTGTTATTGACGATTATTAGTATAGATCTTGATGCCTCATGAAAATAACACCTAAATCAAAGCATATAAAGCAATATGAACCGTGATATCACCCAGAAATGATACCAACTGCATTTTCTTGATCCTTGATCTCCTTGGCATTTTGGGAAATTCTCATCCCCTCGTTGACCAAGCAAGGAAACTTTTTTATTCTGGCTGCCAAAGGTCAACCCGTTGACTTTACATAAAAATCGTTTTACTCTGATGCAGAGCCGGCCCAAAGGTGTAAGATTCTCCGACACCATGTAATTCATTCTTGACAACTCCATGGAGGAGACTCATCGGGTGCGTTGACCTAACCTTGTCTCGCTCTGGAAGGAAGATTGTTCTAGCTGGGCGGGATGGTAAATTTGTAAATTTATGCTCCTCCATCCAGAATCCCTTCTTTCACACAGATGCTTGCAGGGTTTCTCTGCTTTTGCTGGTTAAGATGAGGAGCAAGCCCATAAAAGGAAAAAAAAACATGGCGCAGGCTGGTTTGAAAAATCTCCTTTTTCTGGGATTTTTTTTTTTCTGTCTATTTCTTTGTACCAGTTATCAAGATGGTGACTTTATATTTTGGCCTTTAGCTTAATATAGGAGCCTAAAATGGGCTTCAATGGGCCGCGCCGCCATCACCAGCATCCCCTCCGCTGCCTCTCATTGAGACGCTAGTGTACATATAGTGTTTTATTATATTATTATAAAAATTTATCAGCGTTTTGGGTACATTCACAAATAAAAATCACACATGGCCGTATATGATTCTCGCGTCATATTTTATAAATATATGAAATGGAATGTGGAATGAAATTTTTAAATGATAATATTTATAAACTTTGGTTTTATTTTTTTGTATTGTGATTGGTTCCTGGGTTGCTTAGTATGCCTAGTTGGGAAGTCCAGGAGTCGATCAAGACAACCAGCCTTTTTGGGTAGCTAACCACGCCGAAGGTATGCACGCAATGATGGAAAGTTGAGGGTTTAAGTTATAGATAAGTTTAAAGGAGGAGGGGTTATGCGCAAATACGGCGACTGTAAATGTTCCGAAGCTCTATCTCTCTCTACTGAACGCGTATTTACCAACGGGTAAATCCGTACGGGGCTGAAGCTTCTAATTGCGATATTCTGCTGGGTCATAGCAGAGTCGTGACCTTCGGAGTGTGTCCATTAGGTATCTCTACCTCGAAGGTCAGAACCGAGAGAGAGACCCAAACGCGTTGTCTTCCGATCCTCGTCCTCTTCGAGCTCGGCTGGTGGCTTCCGACGGTTAATGCAACCATCGGGGAGCCGAAGAAGAAGGCAGTAGTACCGGTCCTCCGGCCGGATTATTCTCCAAACAGTGGGCGATTCGAGGGTACGAAGAGGGAGATCGCGGCACGTTCCCCCTTGATTCATAGGTTTAGTTGGGTTTCTGATCGGATTGCAGTTCTCTCTAGGTATTTGACCTCCGGCGGAGAGGCAGAAGGCCGATTGTGTCTATTCGAAGGCTTTCTTTGTGGGGTCTTAGTTGGAGATGTCAGGACCGCTCGATCGGTTCGCCAGGCCTTGTAAGTTTCCATGGCAGAAACGATCAGTTGTTAGTTGCCTTTCTATGTTTTTCCCTTTCAATTGTCCCTACGACACTGCCTGTCTCTTTATTTAGGGAATTTAGGTATCCAGTAGGGATCGTGGGCGATTTTTTGAGTTGGAGGTGCTTTATAGGATGTTTCCCTGCTTCAGTGTTATCTGTGTCCTCATGGTTAACATCCGTCACATCGTCTTTACACATGAATTTTGACTTGCAGGGACTAAGGGTCCATCTGATTTTGTTTTTGACTAATTCCAATAAAAAATAGGTTTCGTTCTTTAACGGTTGCATCAAGAGTCTCTCTAGGTTTCTACTCTTTTTCGTGAACTTCGATGGAGCGTTTAAAACGTTTGGACCCATCGATGTAGGGTCAATTTATAAAAATCATTTCTGCAGACGTCTTCAGTCATGGACATACTGTTGGGAAAGTGTTCAGTTGGGAAAGTGTTCATGTTTCTAATGGAGCCATTAATCTTGTATGTCTATATTTTCGTTTCTGCACACCCATGTGTAATGGCCTTGCTTATTTTAGCGCTTGATAATGCGACGATAATTATGGTGCTAAAAAGGATGCAGTTCTTATATCAGCATTCAAGGGATCATGGCAGCAGCGGCTGTCGCAAGCTATACTTTCAGAAAGATCTGACCTATTACTGCCTTATTGGCTGCTGGATTGAAGAGCTTGATTTTTGTCTAGGGCATGATAAAATTAATGATTTCTTCGGTTTAAATTATTATTTTTGTTGTGATTCAGTTCAGTGCAGCTACATGAACTGAGTTCTTTCCCTAAGATTTTCACTCTCTTCACCATTGTGGTTGTTACTTTTTGCCATTGTGGTTGCAGTGCTCCACAAGGAAGAATCGATATGCAAATTACAAAATGCACTTTATAAAATATTTCAACATTATTGTTGTCTTTCTTTTCCTCCTGTCCAGCCAATGCAAAGAGAGAAACAAACCTGATGGTTTGAAAACTGTCTAAAGAAAAAAAGAGAAATTGGATGAATAAAATGTAGAGATACTGATGGTTGGGAAATGCTTACGGCAAGGTGCTTTAATACATGCGTCACACCCTGGTTTCTCTCTTTTGTAGCAGGCTGCTTTTACATTTGTAAATCTTCTAAGAAAGTTTTTATTCAATCTGAAAAAGTGGGTTATCAAATTTGAAAGGGCCATGTGATCTACTCTTAGATCAGTCGCTGTTAGATTCCAAGACCTTCAATGTGGGTTATCAAATTTGAAAGGGCTATGATAGCTACTCTCAGATCAATCGTTGTTAGATTCCAAGAACTTCATTGTTTGATGTATACCATATATGACTGTGACACGTGCGACATATGATACCTAAGGAAGCCTGACCTGGTTTTGATGTTTTCTAGGCTTTGAGGGGTTCTCCTGCCATGATGAAAGAAGAGAAAGGAAATCTGATTTTGAAAATTCCGAAGATGAAAGGAGAACGAGGATAGGATCTTTAAAGAAGAAGGCGTTAAATGCGTCCACTAAATTCAGACATTCCTTGAAGAAAAAGGGCAGAAAGAAGAGTGATGGTCGAGTTAGTTCTGTTTCAATTGAAGATATCAGGGATATTGAGGAGCTGCAAGCTGTTGATGCATTTCGACAGGCATTGATTTTGGACGAACTGCTGCCTGCCAGGCATGATGATTACCACATGATGCTGAGGTATCTCTTCAATTTTTGAGTTTTATTTTATGATGTGAATTATGCCTTTTTGTATTGTTTAGTTTTCATGCTCCAGTTTTTATCTTTTGTAGTGAACTTGATCTTTCTTGCTCCTTAGTACTAGTACGTAGTACCTCTGCGCAATCGAGAATAGTGACTGTTTTGTGCTTCTTTATTTTATATTTTTCGTACCAAGGCTGATTTTTTTTCTCCGGAAATGCTGCAGTCTGTATTTCATTGGTGAAATTAATGCCTAGTCGACACGTTTTTGATGCCCCAAAGCATTATTTCTTCATTAGATCTCCGTGATCAATTGTGAGTCGTTGGTGACAATCTGTGTTATGAATCGCATCCAGTCCTGATTCAATCAAGATTGGGGTGAGAATCAAAATGGCCAAAGCAGCTGAACTTAGAAACCCAATTTGGGTGATTCAGGACTTCTTTAGCTCTGTTTAGTAGTTGGAGCCATCTGGTTTGGATCGTGTCTTCTATCCTTGTGTAGATTGGCTTTTGTCTGGGTGATTCATTCAGAATTGGGTGAAGACAGTACGATTTAGCACTAAATCAGGCTATCCATCTCAATGCCGTGGATTGGAACTCCTAAGAACAACTCCCCTCCTCCGACTCAACATATGGTTGGTTTATACATATATAGGCGATCCTGAACATATATTGCAGTATACATTTATGCAGTTCCCTTATCCTTGCTTATATGGGTTATGGGTTGAATTTCGAACAGACAAACTTTCTCAATGGCGGAACTTCCCCCAGCTCTTTGTTTTGCTCTTATCTTACTTGGTGGGACCAGTTAGTGAATGGATAGGTCGAATACCTTTCCAGAAAAGTGACCAAATCCTCAGTTTCTGACTTTTTTTCCTTTTTTAAATTCAGATTTTTGAAAGCACGAAAATTTGATGTTGAGAAAGCTAAGCACATGTGGGCTGAAATGCTTCAGTGGAGGAAAGACTTTGGCGTTGACACAATCATTGAGGTAAAAAATGTCTGTCATGCACTGATCTGGGCATGCAGTTGTAGAGCATGCAGTATGTAACGGTGCAACAATTCGTTTCTGTAACTGTTCCCGGCAATGCAAACTATTTTCTCTGGTAACATCTTCTAGGTATTCTAGAATTGGGTATTTGTGAGAAATGGTTTTACGAATTCTTGAACGCATCTTAGGACAAAACCAATTTAATAGAACCAAGACTTTTAGGTGGAAGTAGAGTGATTTTCAACAGAAAGAAAATAATTTCTAGTTGAATCTGTGTACCATTTTCAGCTGGCTGATTTCACTGCAAACTCGTCTCTACTGTGTGCATGGTTGAGGCTGGCTGAATGAGTGTCAGTGAGCATTTCTGTATTGTATTTAGTGAAGGCTTAGAGTAGAATTCGTCTGCATGGCGAATGTATATACATTGGGAATATAGACCTAGCTCTTGTCATTGTACATGTATTTTCTTGTGACCACTCTGTATACCATTATTCTGTTGTTTCAGGATTTCGAATTCAGTGAAGTAAATGAAGTTCTCAAGTATTATCCGCAAGGTTATCATGGTGTGGATAAGGCGGGGCGGCCCGTCTACATTGAAATATTGGGAAAAGTGGAACCCACGAAGCTCATGCAAGTGACAACCATGGACCGTTACATAAAGTATCATGTTAGGGAATTTGAGAGGAGCTTCTTGATCAAGTTTCCAGCTTGTTCAATTGCTGCAAAGAGGCACATTGATTCAAGTACAACGATTCTTGATGTTCATGGCGTGGTACACTGCCCTCCCTCTCTCTCTCTCTCTCCCCCTCTCCCTCTCCCTGCTATGCATCACTTCATTTTTAGATGCTGCAATTCTGGATTACACAGTTGCCAATGCCATATGCCATTTGCCCAGGGATTGAAAAATTCGAGCAAGACTGCCAGAGAACTTCTCATGCGTCTGCAGAAGATTGATGCAGACAACTATCCGGAAGTACGGATTGACTCTTGTTGTATAACTAATGAACCACTGAAAATTAGATGAATATGGTCTAACCATAATTTATTTGTCTTAGACTTTATCTAGGATGTTTATCATCAATGCGGGACCCGGTTTTCGGCTACTATGGAACACTGTGAAGTCTTTTCTTGACCCCAAAACTACCTCAAAGATTCACGTAAGAGAGTTCATTCTGGTTCTTATATTTTTCAGTCTTTTGTGATTTATTTTTAGTTGGTACATACTTTCTTGTCTTCTCTTCCTTTAGGTTCTCGGAAACAAGTACCAAAGTAAATTGCTTGAGATAATCGATCATTGGTAATTATATGCTCATTTTACTTGTTGAATTCATACGCCTACTAATATCTGCTTTCAGTATGATTTCTGGCGATGCTCATTCTTCTACTTTCTCAACTTTCGGTAGGGAATTGCCAGATTTCCTTGGTGGTACTTGTACTTGTGCGGACCAGGGGGGTTGCCTTAGATCAGATAAAGGTCCATGGAGGGATCCTAATATAGTGAAGGTCTCTCTACTTGTTGACTAGCATTATGTTTTATAATAATCTATGTATCATTGCGATCTATGCTCTGTTCCTGACACAATGACTGATGTGCATAGATGATTCTCAATGGCGAAGCACAATGTGCACGGCAAATTGTTACTGTGTCCAACAGCGAGGGCAAAATCATTGCTTATGCTAAGCCACAATACCCAGTGGTGAGGACATTTCTTCAGGCTAGCAATATGTTCTTCGGGTGGGCTTCACTGCTTCACTTTTAGCTAGTTGCTTATGTTTAACTGATCTGCAATCCCTTTTTTTCTCTGCTAGATTAAGGGTGGCGACACATCAACTGCTGAATCTGGATCAGAAGCTGAGGATGTGATCTCCCCAAAAGCACATATGACCTTCGTCCCTCATCCCCGATTGACCCCAGTTCGTGAAGAGGTAACTTTCATTTGCTGAAGGATTCAATATCTTGACTAGCACCGTGTGCTTTCTCTTCTCATAGAAAATTTCCGTCTTCAATGATGTATAAGGAATTGGCATACAGAAAAAGGGTAGGGAATGTTCTTTGCTTTTTTGTATAATTGCTTCCGGGCATGGTCCTTTCCTAAAATGGCTTCATTAAAGCATGAAAATCGAAGATTATATTGTTTGGAGGTGTATATAATTACCCAATGAACCTCACTTCTAGCTTCAATCTGCCCTCATTTCATTGGCCAAAGTACTGATCAACTTGCATGTAATTACAATATATTTAAATTTTATTAATGGCCAGATACTTATTTCTTTCTCTCTTTGCTCAAACTACAGGCTAAAATCAATGTGAAAGCAAGAGTAGGAGGTAGCATTTCGGAGTACGATATTCCCATGGTGGACAAAGCTGTGGATTCAGGATCGAAGAAGGAACCTCTGGGGAAACGTCTGCCTTCCCTCACAGGTCTCACTCGTTCTCCTCCTTCAAAGCTTGCTGATGATGGCATCCATGGTTTGCACTATCTTCTAACCGTGATTTACAGGGATGTATCGCGCATCTGACAACCACAAGCCTCCCCGGGGGATCCGAGGGCAAGTAATCGCTTTCTTCATCGCCCTTGTGGTGACTGTATATGCATGGTTTCAGTCCATTACCAGCTCTGCAACCAAGAGGCTCCCAAGCGGACTCCCCTCTGAGAGCTCTGATATTGACCGCCGCGATCCCCCGACCTCTGTGGTTGACCCCCCACCTCCTGGATTCTCGGAGGCAGATCTCCTCTCCTCTTTTCTGACCCGGCTGAGTGAGCTGGAGGAGAAGGTCGACGCCCTTCGAGCAAAGCCGTCTGAAATGCCTTCAGACAAGGAGGAGCTACTCAACGCTGCTGTTCGCCGTGTGGATGCTCTGGAAGCTGAGCTCATTTCCACTAAGAAGGTACCAACCAGCTCAGCATTATTTTGGGCAGTTCTCAAATTTTTTTAAAAAGAGGGACGGATCATTAAATCTGGCATTTGACTCCCCCCCCCTGCTGCCAGGCTCTGTACGAAGCTCTGATGAGACAGGAGGACCTCCTGGCCTACATAGATCGCCAAGAATATGCCAAGTTCCAGGTGAGGAGAAGCACCCCACACGCCATCTCCTTCTGCCCCTTCTTTGTTTTTTGTCTCACTCACTGGTGACCTCTTGACTCCTCTGCAGAAGAAGAAATTCTGCTGGTGAAAGACATCAGTGGGCCCACCCACTTCAGGGTCGGTTTGTATATCCTGAGAGTAATCGGGCTCTTGTGTAGGGCCCACTTCGTGATCTGGTTTCCAATAAAAATGGATTAAGATACACGATCTGATTCTCCCCCTCGTTAACTGGACCGGGCCGGATTGCTGCGAACTTGCTGACGTCCATTAGCTACTCTGGCCGGAATAATGGGCCAGAACGAAATGGCTGTAGAACTCGAGCACTCCCCTTGAAAGGATCATGCCCTTGAAAGCCACGGTAGTTTTCATTAGAAAGGGAGGGACGCTTTTTTCTTGAATGGGTAGAGAGAGAATGGCGCCATCGATAATCTATTCGTAGAAATACGCATAAATACAATCATGCTGATGCTTATTTAATCAAAGCCTTGGAAACGCCAGGGTTCTGACCACAGAAGCCTCTCTCTCTCTCTCTCTCTCTCTCTAAATAGGCCATATAAACAATTAAATGAAGAAGTAAGGACAGTGAAGTGATAAAATATTTGAGTGTCAGGGCTCTGACCATCGAAGCCTCTCTCTCTCTCTCTCTCTCTCTCTCTATCTCCGGTCAACAGCACAGTGGGTTCTGAAAAATACAAAATTTGAGGAGAAATAGGCCATGTAAACAATTAAATGAAACGTTAAGGTCATAATGAACTGATAAAATGTTTGGGCGTAGCGGGCTAATCTGGCCCAAGCGTTCTCTCGGTTCGTCCGGTAAGAGTCCAACATGATGACGGAGCACTAACGGAACGGTGGGCGTTAGACGGATGTGTAACGGTAACGGTAGTGACCGTTCGTAGAGGCGGTGGCCATTTCTGATTCGGGTCGGTGGATCGGATCATATGTTGCCGGGCCTGTTGGAAGTTTCAGTCGCCGGTGATTTTGGTGGGTTCTCGTCGACAAAGAGAGAGAGCAGTGGGACGAGGCTAGATCGATTGAGCCTTGTGGGGGATCTTTGTTCTGGGCGAGATGGTGGTGGTCTCTGTGGCTCGGGACTACGTGGGGAGGATGCTGCAGGATATTTCGGGCATGAAGGTGCTCGTGCTTGACTCGCAGACGGTACGGCCGTGGATTTTTGTTTATGCCCGTTATTTCCGAGAGATTTTGCTCCCTCATCAATCTGCATAGTTTTATATCCAAGTAGATAGCTGTTGATCCTAGATTCTGCACGATGCTCTTTGGGATCTTCTGAACGATCCATTCATATATGTCGACCAGTTTTTTCTTAAAAGGTGCGGAATCACTTGAATTTCTCTAGAATTTCCTAATTCGGGGAAATTTTCCTGTAAAATGGACGAAATTCATTTATCCATCGACGAGTTCAGGGACTCCCTGGCAATGGCATGCTGTTCGGGGAGTCTTTGACGTCTGGTCCCTGAATGAAATTTTTCTAATGATCAAAAACTGCTATCTCTAATCATAAAAGACCTGCTATCATAAGATGATGGAATAAGCTGCGAAGTTTCAGTCCTGTAATGAGGGTATTCTGTATGTGCACGAATTTTGGCAAAGAGGTTTGGACATATGTGGTAATGAAAGCTACTTTGTTCTCTAGACATGGTGCCGTCTTCTTTGTCCCAGTGACAGTATTTAAGACATACTACACGTACTCTTTTGGATTCAACGGTGATCCGTCAGATCTCATTTTCAGTGCACCTATGGAAATATTACGTCGTATCCTTCTATGAGTCCCTTGAAACTTTGATGCAAATTGGCCTCTCCAACTTCTCAGTCTGACTGTGGTCCCTCAATGACGTATTTACCAAATGCGACTCCCCTTTTCACAAGCCTGCAAGATTGTTTTTTTTGGGCTCTCTGATTTTAAAAAATGTCGTGGTTTATTTGGTTGAACCCAACAAAAAGGGTGCCTTTGGAAAAAAAAATCCATTTCGTTCATGGAGGCGTTGACACATTACTTACCTGTGTGGCTGATTAACAATGGGGATTGGGGATTTTATGGAGCATACCGACAGCTCACATCATGGTAAATGTATGTTTTTTCCGATAGTAACCGTGATAAATTTTAAAGGGTTTCTGTTGATTGTTGGGTAAATTAGCTGAGGCTGTTATTCCTTTTTTTTGTTTGTTTGCATACAGCAGGGAGTTCCTTTTATTGAACCCATACTGTTTTTTACGTACAACATGGGAATTTAGCGACCAGAGAGCATTAGAGAATCCATAAAAAAATGATGTTTTTTAGAGTCTAAATAACACTCCCAAGACCGTCATTCAATTCATGAACAGTTCATAAAAAATCCCACTTAAAAAAAATCCCACTTAAAAAAGGCCCAATAGTATCCCTGAGTCAAAATTGCTGGATCATTATTATTTTTTTTTACCAATTTCTGATTGAGCAAGAAGTAAAATTTATCTCTCATCAAATGCGGATTTACATCAGAAAGTTTCTTTTGACGCTGACCCTCTTCTCTTAGATTAAGATTACAAATATTGGGTTCTGGATTAGGATCGAATGATCTTATTCTGTTTGTCCAGATCGATCAAGATGTCAGACATGTATCCTTGTTCTGATACAAATGCTCTCCCTGCTAACATAGTCCAACGTTATTCTAACTCAACTGATTCTGTTTAAGAAATCACTATTCTAATACTGTCTTTATTTTTAATTTTTCTCCTGTCAGGAAGTCTGTGTTCTTTTCGTTTTCTCATATTTATAATGACTTTTGAAGTGTCATAGATCCTGATGGTGAATAATTATGTTTTTATTTGGTACTTGCAGGTTAGCATAGTGAGTGTCGTATACTCCCAGTCTGAACTGCTTCAGAAAGAGGTTTTTTTGGTAGAACTATTGGACTCCCTGTCAAAAGAACCCATGGCTCATCTAAAAGCAATTTACTTTGTTCGCCCTACTTCAGAAAATATTCAACACCTGCGACGGCAATTAGCCAACCCACGATTTGGAGAGTATCATCTCTGTGCGTACCGGGGATTATGCTTATGTTATTTATGTTTGCAGTCGTTTTAATGTTGCTACGGATTTACGAGTTTAGTTCAAAAAAAATAAATCATTCCTTCATCTCTTTGCAGTCTTCTCCAATATCTTGAAGACTACTCAAATCCAAGTTCTGGCTGATTCAGATGAACAGGAAGTTGTTCAGCAAGTTCAGGTGATTTACTTCGACTACTTCTCTTAGAAACATTAAGTCCATGTTCGTCAACCTTTAGAAATTGAGGAATTTTATTGAATGTGATCAGACATCTGATTAATTTTGTGCTACGCGAAATAGTTAACGTCTACAACCCACATGATGCCATCGAATTCTTTGTTGGGTGTATTGCCTTGCAATTAAAATTTCTTTGTACCTTTGGAATCATCTGGATATCTAAGGTTATGCATGGACAGTTCTTAAATAACCAGATGATTCCAGGCGATTTTAAAATCAGTTAGTTTCATAGCATTTCTCCCGATAATGTTATCTGATAAATTTATGTTCAAGGCTCACGCAAAAATTTGACCACAAAAATTATTTATTAATTCATAACGAGGAAAAAGGCTTCATCATTATCTTTTTTTAAAAACTGAGAACAACGAGAAACCAGGTTCTTCCGCCACTGGACACTCAGGCATTAGATGGAATAGAAGTTATTGTGTTTTAGAGAGCAAGGTTTTGGGTGGATCTTAAATTACCCTCTTCCATTGCTGTGACTTGTATGCTTGTTGTCGTGCTTGGCTGTCATGAACCAGTGATGGGTAAATGCTCAGGTTCTAGAGTCTTTTTGGAAAGAAAAGCGGGAAAGAGTCACTATTGGATATGGAGATGGAATCTCTGTGGGTTTTGATGTGATGGCTTTTTTGGGAAACAGTGTTGACATACTCCTATTAGAATGACACGGTAAGTAATCTCTTTAATGTTGATGAGTGCTTCAAAATGTTTTACTACATGCCACCTTGTGTCCCGATCTTTTAAGTTGAGGGAGGCTCGAGAACACCTATCTTGTAAGTTGTTCCAAATGACCAAATGTAAAATGGTTGTTTTGATTCATGGTTAGGTGTCCATATTTGCAACGTTCTGTGAGCTTGCTTTCATAGACTAATTGGAAGAGGGTGTGGCAATTTTTCCCCTGGTGACCTGCTCATGGCGCTATTCTTGTCTGTCTCTTTTTGAACTTAGTGGATGCCGCCCCCCCATATTAGCTCTTGCTTTAATATCTCTTGGTATATCAGTAATTCTGTTGGTGAGATCTGTCACTTGAGGATTCATGTATCATGGCAAAATGCAACGTGAATCTTCTTTTATTCTTTGGGACATGTTGTATTTGTTGTTATTATCTCGATGGCTCAAAGACCAATTATGCTTCTGGGAGCGCATATTCATGGTGGTACGCGGCATCATATGATATGTTGGGAAAATTTATATAGAACCTCTCATGAAGCTTTGTGTTCTCATATATCTGAAATCTATAATTCAGATGTATACTTACTAAAGACGGAGATTAGAGAAGCTTGTAGATAGAGAGGATTATTTCGTAGCATATCCTCAATAATAAAAAGTTCCTGAGAAAGTTCTCGAGTACTTCATGTCTGTTGTGCTGAAGTATTGTGTTATCTTGAGGATCAGATCTATTCATCTAAAACATGTTATGGGGGAGTCGACTTGACATTGACACTGTAAGTCATTTGGCTTATTGATCGTGCTAGAGAGGATAAAACATGCCCATCTGCATCCTGAGGAACGACCTTTTTATTCCAAAGAGGAGAAAATGAGTTGTTATCTTAATGCGGTGAACCAGTGGGCTGGAGCCCTTGTTTCCCAGTATTCTGAACTTTCATCCAACAACCCACTATACAAGGGAAAGGGTAGGTGTACAGTTTCTTGATGTGTTCTGTAGAGTTTCTTTATGACGTTTTGCATATTGTTTGGGCATTATGTTTTGTTTGTTTCTGACCTACAGATAATGATTCTTGTTTTCAGGAATTCTATGCAGATTTTTGTGCTATTGATCCTTACCACTTCACTTTAAATGTGAAGTTGAATCACATATACATGCTTCCTACGGTTGTAGAACCTCACAGTTCACAAATTTTTTGCGATCGAGCAGTTGATGGCATTTCTGCACTTTTCTTGGCACTGAAGCGCCGGCCTGTCATACGTTATCAGCGTACTTCTGATATTGCAAAAAGAATTGCTCAAGAAATCGCGGTGAGCATAACAAAAGACATGTGAACATGTCAAGGCTAAATATTTATATCCGCCTTGTTCTTTAGGATTTATTATTGTAATGTTTTGCGCCCTACCCTTATAGGATATTAATCTTGGATGGTATCCTTCTATGGCGTCAAATATTACTTTCTTTGAATTTCCCAGAAACTAAAATTAGAATTAGGTGCAGATTCGTTTTGGAACTAGTTTCCTTTGAACGATTGTATAGTATGGATGCTTAGAAGGAGATTCTTGTGTTTTACTTAGCAGATAATATTCTTATATGGTGATGCCAGTAATTATTCATTCGACAACCTTTTGATTTAAGTTTCCTTTCTGGTGATTATTTCAGAAACTTATGTATGAGCACGAAAGTGGGCTATTTGACTTCAGACGAACAGAAATTTCTCCACTTTTGTTGATTGTTGATAGAAGAGATGATCCTGTTACGCCATTGCTCAATCAATGGACCTACCAGGTATCATTAGACGTATTTTTAGCATAACACTTTTGATGTCCAAGATACTTATGTTTTACTCAGAATTTGATGTTCAGTGCCATTTTTTAGGCTATGGTCCATGAACTCCTGGATATTCAGGACAATAAAGTGGACTTAAGATCTGTTGGAAAAGTTCCCAAGGATCAACAGGTTTTCTTCTGTTTTTTATTACAAATTGCGTCATCTCAATTGTGATACGTATCATTTTTCTCTTTTTACAATAAAGAACGTATTACATAGCTTTTGTTGTTTTATATTACAGGAAGTCGTGCTTTCATCAGAGCAAGATGCCTTTTTCAAGGCTAATATGTATGAGAATTTTGGAGATCTTGGAATGAACATTAAGAGAATGGTGGATGAATTCCAGCAGGTTTCGAAGAGTAACCAGAATATTCAGACAATAGGTATATTTTTAGTCTTTTTTTCCTTAAACTAGATGGTCTATGTGATATATGAGAATGCCCTCTTTCGTTTGCTCCTAAAAGGTCACGGAGACCCCACTATCTGGTGACTCTCGACCAGTGTTGGCCCTTCTTTTTGTCTAGCTAATGTGTCCTCCCATCGCATATGGTCCCCTTGGAGATTATTGCATTTCGCTCTTCTATAAATTTTCGTCTTCTTTTGATTTTCATTTGCTATGCCACCTCAAAGGCAGTTTCTCTTTCTCTGCCAATGCGCTTAAAGACAAGGATTCTGGTGTTTTATATTTCGTCTATCAGAAAATAAATGCATGATGTCATACCATTTCACCAATATGTCGGATGGACTTCTATGGTTGACCAGTACTGAACAGTTTTCTAATTCATAGAGGACATGGCTAAGTTTGTTGACAACTACCCGGAGTACAGAAAGATGCACGGAAATGTCTCAAAGCACGTGACGTTGGTTACAGAAATGAGTAGAATTGTAGAAGAGCGAAAACTTATGTTAGTTTCCCAAGTAGAGCAAGAGCTGGCTTGTAATGGCGGTCAGGTTGCAGCCTTTGAGGTATTGCAATTTCCTCAGACCCTTCTTCTGAAATGCCAAGCTTACATTATCCCTCTTTAAATTTGCAAAGTTTGTAGTTTTATTTTCATGGGTATAAATGTTATACTGTAATCGACGTGCGATTTGGAAAATTGAATAACTTGGCCTAACATTAAAAAGGAATAATCAGCATGACAAAATATAGTAATTGTGACAAATGTGGTGTGATAGGATGTGCCTGAGTTGGGGTATACAATGATGTTGCATCTTATTTTTTCAATTTTTTGCTCGTTCTCATGCTTCTTGTAGTGAAGAAAAGATGGGTCCCGTTCTGGGCCAGGTTGCGCACCAGGGGTGCCCAGCTAAAGACAGCCTCTTTATTCACTGTGTTGGAGTGGTGGTGCCTAAGTTTATTTATAGGTCTTCTTTATCCAAGCATAGTTAATAGTAGGCTGCTTCAACCCGTCGACAACCCTGTTATATAAAAATTAATGTCACTAAGTCAGTCCTAAATAATGCTCAGTTGATAGATACACGAAAATATTTTCCTGAGTCTACAAGATTGAGCACGTTAAATGTGAAACACGTGAGCGACAATGATAGCATCAAACAGGTTGGATACATTCCCAGAAATGTGATACTAGAGAATACTTGCGCATAGACATGTGTACGTATTTATACATATGAATGCACGTTTGCATGCATGTATGGATCTTGCAGTTTGTATCCATCAAATTACTGGATAAATATAGACATCCTGTCTACAGGACTTCTTTTTAATAGTTGATCTATAACTTGATTTTGTTGTGATGGTCTTTTTTCTACTTGGGAATTTTTGTTTACAGCCTAGTTCTACAGCCGTTTCAGCAAATACGTTGAATAAAAATCTTTCTTGTTGTTTATCTTCCTGCAGGCTGTCACCAATCTTCTGAATGATGAAAGTGTTTCTGATGTCGACTGTCTCAGGCTAGTGATGTTATATGCTTTGCGATATGAGAAAGAGAGCCCAGTTCAACTGATGCAGCTCTTTAACAAGCTTGCTTCACGATCTGCGAAGTATAAATCTGGTGTAAAGTAACTAAACTGACTTCATATTCTGAATCTTTTTCTGGGTTTGGATTAGGTTTTCTACTTTGATACCTGCCTTACGCCATGAAACACGCTTTCTCCATATCTTGCAGCAGTACAATTCAGTTAGGATTTCTACAGCCGTAGATCATTTCTGAGAGGAAATGTAACAACGCTGTTTAGCAGTGAAATCAGATGGACCTTAAAATCTCGCAGTTTTAGACAACGAAACAGTCAATGATATCCACCTGGATCACGAATAGCTGTATGCATACATTTTTTTATCCCATTATTTTCTAATTCGAGAAACAAGAAGTCAAACAAAGGATCAGTTATGCTGCCAACATGGGAAGCTTCTCTGTGCTTTGGTGCCTCTATAATAATCAAACGTAAAATAGTGGAAAAAGTATCATGCCTCTTTTCGAAATCATGTGGATTATGGTCCAGTTATTTGATCTTTAGATTCAGATTAGATCTCTAGTTTCTTTGACATGGTTGCCAAGGATTATAACCAGATGCTTTTGGTGTGCATTACCATTCTTCAGTAATCTACTGTTGTTGCGATTGTGCCCAAAAGTAGTGAAAAGGGTTGTTCTAGCTTTGATGGAATCTCATAGCTTTTGACGGTTTCTGTGCGGCAGATCGTTCAATTTCTACTGAAGCAAGCTGGAGTTGACAAGCGAACCGGTGACTTGTATGGAAACCGTGACCTTCTCAGTCTTGCCCGTAACATGGCTCGTGGCCTCAAGGTGTGTGCGGAATCCAGCTTCTTCTTTAAAGATTCCGATTTGGCTAATCATTACACCTTTTTTTCCATTTAGGGGGTTGAGAATGTGTACACCCAGCATCAGCCTCTTCTCGTTCAAACGATGGAAAACATAACCAAGGGACGACTACGAGATGTAGACTACCCATTTGTTGGGAACCACTTTCAGCAGGGCAGGTTTGACTGCTGATCGTCTTTTAATTTCTCTTTTTTTTTTTTCTTTTTTTCTTTTTTTTTTGATAGGGATGATCGCTTTTGACCCCACGCATCCGCACAACTGGTTTTTTGTCGCTTCAACGGATTGAATCTAAGCAAGAGACGTCTTATGCAGGCCTTCGGATGTAGTGATTTTTATAGTTGGTGGGACAACATTCGAGGAAGCTCGTGCTGTGGCCATGAATAATGCTGCCAATACGGGAACGCGTTTTATCCTCGGTGGTCCGGCGATCTTAAACTCTAATCGGTAAAGCATTCCTTTCTGTGTTTCTTTTTATTTGAATGCCGGTTTCATCTTTGCCTTTTTTTCTCTTGCCGTGGGCTTGTTATCTCTGCTAGTATGCGAATCCATTCATGCCCAATCTGCTTCAACCCCCCCCGTTCATGGGAGGGTTCCGTTTCCTTGTCTTTTTACCGTTTATAGGAGCGCTAAGAATAAACTACGCTTGGTATTTTCCTTAATTTTTTTACTGTTTATAGAAGTTGAAGGACTTGTTCTGAATGATGGGGGGATGGGGTAATACTGACCAAATTCACCGACACTGTAGTCTTCAGGCAGATTATTTCCCATCTACCTTATTTTTTAACTATTCAGTCACTAAATAATTGATATCGTGGTGGTGTATTGTCTTAGTATGGGCAGGAGCCTCATTTTGCTCTTTATAATTTGATTTTGATTCTTCTGAAGAGGAGGGTAGAGTTGAACTAGGGTTCTTATTTCTCTATAAGCAACCAGTGTGGCTTGCGAAATCACAGGAACCCTACACCTACGTCCTAGCCCAGGTAGACATTTCCCCTTCTTAGCCTCTTTCTTGGGGCCCAACGTGGGGGTTGACTTTTGGCCTCTTTTGTTCATATGCCCAACTTAAACCACGGCCATACCATTTTTGATGTGCGAGCGGATAATTATTAGTGAAATAAACCGATATTGCTTGGAGTGTTTCCTCAATCCATCTGATTAGCTACATGGCATCTGACTTGCTCTTTCTTGGTAAAACTGCAGGTTCTTAAAGGACCTGGAGGAAGCGCAGAGGATTGCCCGATCAAGTAGCGGGATTTGAGAGACAATCGCTTCCGTCAGTCCTGCGGCTCTCAGGAGACCGGACGGGTGGAAATCTCTGGAGGGTCGTCGTTATTCGGAGGAGGAGGATGATCGGCGCCTGAGTTGGAGGCGGGCTATGAACTGGGAGAGGTGAATAACTCCCTGGCCTGTAGAGATAACCTACGCCCGCAGATCATTTGATCCTTCGTTAGGTTGGCTTCTACAATGCCTCATGTGCCATTGTTTGAGAGGAGGGCGATGTTCATCCAATTCTCCTTGTCTTCTGATCAAGTGGGCCGAAACACGATTTCTTGAGTGCTTATACGATGACATCGAAATACCCAACTCGAGTTTTGGTTCTCAGATTGAATTTTTCTTTAAATGGGTATGGTTTTCTATCTTTGGAAATGGATAAAAATCATATCTTGGGAGGGTAAGGTCTGGTGCATGCCGTCGGAATGAGTCGCTTGAGATGGGGGGTCATGAGATCTGCGTCCCCAAGCGGACATGGCGACTCAACGATCCTTCATCACCCATCGATATTACGAGCATCATCAGCTGGTAAGCTGGTGTTGGGATGTGTTCCTCCTCACTGTGAGTGAATTGCGGGTGGAAGATGCTCAGCTTCGAGCAACTGTGAGGATGAATGAAACTGTGAATTTTCCAAAGTTTCCGGCCTCGCCCAAGATTTCCAAAGTTTTGGGCTGGTGTGAATAAAGCACAAAACTTTGGTTGTGAAAATAAAAAGGGTATCAGAATTCCCGAAGATTTCCTCATTTTATGTCCAGGTAGGCGGCTCACTGATGAAGCGTGAGGTGATTCTATGGCGACCATGTTCCTGGGGCAGGAGAGAGCAGGATGCAGAAAGAGCTCGTTTGGCCCGTCATGAAGGCGTTGTTGCACTCGTCGTTCGTGCTCGCGTTGGTTGTGGCGGCTGCCGTCGTCGGCAGCTGTTCTCGGCCGCAGAACGGAGAAGCTCGAAGAGATGGAAACGCTAAGGACTTGGCGACGGCTGGAGAAGAAGACTACAGTTACAGCGAACCCGTTCCGGTGATGTGTCCTGGTGTTCATGGGGCCCCAATCCCCCACGCCTGAGCGGTGAGGAAGCTGTTCACCGTGTTCCCTGTGTTCTCCTCATCTGGTGGCTTAACCAATGACCGACGAGCATGAATCTTCTTTGCCTTTCTCGTTCATCTCTCTCTCTCTCTGCTCTTTCTATGTTTCTTTGTTCTCGAGCTGGGTCTCTCTCTCTCATTCTCTCTCTCTCTCTCTCTCTCTCCCCTTTCTATGTTTCTTTGTTCTCGAGCTGGGTCTCTCTCTCTCATTCTCTCTCTCTCTCTCTCTCTCTCTCTCTCTCTCTCTCTCTCTCCCCTTTCTATGTTTATTTGTTCTCGAGAGAGCTAGAGAGAGAGAGAGATTCAGTTGGCGAACAAAGTTTGACACACCAAAAGAAAGACGGAGAAATGTAGCTCAATACAAGAGAGAGAGAGAGAGAGAGAGAGGCAGACAGACAGACAGACAGACAGAGACAGAGAGGGAAAGAGAGAGAGAGGTTGATGTCTTGTTCTTTAGACTGGGAATCTCTGAACTGAATTATTTCTACGGCTTAACTTCGGCTGCATCCTGTTAAATGACCGCTAAGCCCCGGAGGTGTCTTCCAAGCACGAGAGGCTCGACCATTCCCACAGGAAAAAAAGAGAAACTGCACCACGGCGGGGGCTGAAGAACTCGAAGCACACGCAGAAACCCTTATCCCCAACGAAGTAGAAGCCCATCGGCTACAGTTTTAAGCAAGGAAGGGATCATGCCATTGAATCCTTTCCTGCCGCGTATGAAACACACAGTACTAGTCATTAGAAAGGAAGGGAGACATTTTTCTTGAATGGGTAGAGAGAGAGGATGCCACCATCGATAATATATTTGTATAAATACACATAAATACAATCATGCTGATGCTGTATTTAATCAAAACCTTGGAAGAGTTTATTACAATCATGGGAGTACACGCATGCTGCCGAAGCATGTCCAGCATAATGATAAATAAACACCAGGTTTCTCTCTCTCTCTCTCTCTCTGCGATCACCAGCGGAATGGGTTCTGCAAAATACAAAATTTGAGATGAGAAATAAGCATATAAAATGACCAACATCGCCCAGTAATTAAATGAAGCATCAAGGTCACAGTGAACTGATAAAATGTACTGTCGTAAATATTTGAGTGTCAGCGGGATGATCTGGACCAAGCATTGTTGAGAGAGAGAGAGAGAGAGAGAGAGAGAGAGAGAGAGAAGATGCAACCTCTGGGTCAAACCGTATCAAAGTCTAAATACGAAGAGTCAAACTGGACAGGGGTCAACTGACAAGGTCTTCTCTTTGAAAATCACCAAATATATGAACGTGATCATGAAAATGGAACTTTCGGCAGAAACAGGCAGTCAGGGGGGAATTAGTGGAGACGTGGCAGTTGCCCACGTCCTCCACTTAGCGTACCAGCTTGCTCTTCTTCTTTTTCTTCTTATCAACAGCAGCCAGAAGCTCCTCCTGCCGCACAAGAGCATCCTGCAGAGCCTGCAAAGAAATCTTCCCTTCGTCAACCAGGAGCGATCGTGACCACTCAAGATGCTATCTTCTCACCGACGAGCTATATATAGTTCCTATTACCACAAATGGGGTGCATTTTATGCATGCCGATCAGATAATAACCTAATCAGGATTGACCATGAATCGGAGCCCAGAGGTGTAATGCTGCTCTATGTGGAGTCTGGGGGTGGTCGGTAGTACCTTCTTCGTTGCCTCCAGCTCTGTTTCCAGTGTACCGATGCGGCAAACGGCGGCATTTAGCATCTCCTCTTTCTCGAGGGTCATCTCGGTGGGCTTCTCGCTGAAAGCGCTCACCTTTTCTTCCAGTTCTCCAAGGCGCTTGAGAACGGCGGTGTACTCGGCGGGAGGAAGAACAGCAGTTGCAGGCTGCTGGCGGTGGTTCGCTTGCCTTTTGACCGTGCTGTCGGCGCAGTAGATGTTAGCGTAGTCAACGGCTGCGTGAGTGATCTTCCGCGGGATGCCGCGAGTCACCCGAAGAACGGTCAAGACGCCCATGACAAAGGCCATGACTCCGGCGAGGATGTGGTTGCTGATCGCGTCTGGCGCCTTGAAAGCATCTAGCATTGCAAAGGCATCGCCTGCAGTTGACCGCCAAGAGTCAAACTCTTGAAGAATTATTTCAACAGTAATTCCACATAGATTGGAAGAACGACCGGAAACCCTCTTCGATGGAAGTGAAAGAATTTCACAAAAAGGAGTGATTTTTTATTGACTGGTATTGAGATATGGCGAGAGATCGTACTCTTGGAGGTGGCAAACTTTTCATGGGTCAGCTCTTTCTTCCAGCTGGCATCCACAACCTTGTCGATCATTGGGATGTAATCATCATAATCATAAGAAGTTGGGAGGGATCCCCGGCAGATTTGCGCCTGCAAGTCATCAGAATGAGTTCGTGAGAGAAATCAATGGTTCTGACTGATAATAAGATCATCGGAACAAGAAAAATCAAATTAGTGACCCATTTCACTGAATCAGAAGAATTTTTCCATAGTAATAATTTATTAAATAAAAGATGGAAAGGAATCATAAAAAAATAATACCACCAGCAATTTATCATCCATCCACAGATTTTTTATAAAAAACCGCATTAAATGCCCAGAATTTTCACCGGGAAGGAACAGTGAATGATGCTATTAATTCATAAAAAATATCGACGCATGGGTTGAATCTACGAAATTATTGAGCCCATCAGTGAAGACTAATTAATTGACTGACATCGAATTTCCCACGTCCAGACTTCGGGCCATAATCCAAAAAGGCACATTATATGAAAGACTTAGGGAAGGAGGGATGTATACCTCTTCATGAACAGGAGACATCTGAGGGTGCTTCATGAATTCCCCGGGAACTTTGTCATCAGCATCCGACGTTGTTTTCCCATGGAAAGAGTCACGGCACTTCGGCCAAAAATTAAAAGATGATTTAATAAGTTAACCCTCGGCATTAACCGACTTCAGAGCAAAAAAAAAAAAAAAAAAAAAAAAAAACCGAGAATGATTGAAAATATGAGAAGAATGACACCTGAGAGTACATTATTTCGTCTTCACAAATTGTCTTCTCATCCATGTCAGAAAAGGACATGACTTTCCTCCGACAACATTTTGCCTCACCATTCTGAACCATCTGGGCATTTTTGGAAGCAACGTGAACAAGCAGAAGAAGCTCGTGCTGCACATAGGAAAGGGAAGCTGGAAAATAAAAAAAAGAACCTTAAGTATCTCGGGATCCTTCCATGGGCCTTTGTCAGACCTAAGACATCCTCCTGCCTCTGCACATGTACAGGTCCCTCCAAGAAACTCCGGCAATTCACTTTTGAGAAAGGATGTGACGTCAGATACCCATTACAGAAAATAAAAGCATATCTAATCGTGATCTTATGCTAAATATATCGTCTTTCAGAGACCTAATCGCAGATCTTGACATAATTCATTGGACTCTTCATATAACCAGCAAATTTAAGATTAATCATTGAAATTTCTACTATTTTCTCGAAATAAATGCTTACCTGGCGTCAATCACTTCAAGCAATTTGCTCTGGAATTTATTCCCGAGGACCTGGTGGACGAAGTGTCAGCTTATTGAGTTGATTTCTGATCAAACTCTGTACTCAATAGACACACAAACACACACACAGAGGCAAAACTTACATGGATCTTCTCTGTGGTTTTTGGATCAAGGAAGGATTTTACGGTGCTCCATAACATTCTGAATCCGGGACCGGCGTTTATGATGAACATGCGATACAATGTCTGTCGTGCAAATAAAGCTTTTATGTAGCAGGATTGCCATACACTATAAGTTTTAAGCTTATAACTTCAACATAGATATACCTCTGGATAATTATTGCCATCAACGTTCTGGAGACGTGCAATCAAGTCTCTCGCAGCCTTGTTGAAATTTTTGAGTCCCTACGGAACGAAACAAATTGTTGAAAATTTATAAAATAAATAAAATCATATGGAAAGTAACGGACTGAGATCCCATTTTTAATTCCATGGAACCAATCCCTATGCACAACCGGGAGATATGGTGCAAGTGATGCAAAAAGTATTGCCCTTGTCCAAGATGTGAAGATAAGAGGTTTTGAACGGTTGATCTAGTGAAACAGGTTAAGATCACGTACCACCCCTTGGACATCAAGAATGGTTGTGCTCTGGTCAATATGCCTTTTTGCTGCAATTGAACAAGCTGGGAACTTGACCACAAAGTTCCTCTCAAACTCCTTCACATGATACTTAACATAACGATCCATGGTTGTTACTTGCATTAGCCTGGTAGGATCAACTTTTCCAAGCCTTTCAATATAAACAGGACGTCCTTCCTTGTCAACACCATGATGCCCATGTGGGTAGTATTCAAGAACTTCATTGATTTCTTCAAACTCGAAATCCTTTCAGAAGTACAGGCAAAAAAGTCAATTAGACACGATACGACATTAACAAATCTGAGGTTCCTACACATATTTGGCATTCATCTGGGTGGTTTTAATCTCCTCGTCCTGGTTGTTTGCTATTAATATGGCTGGAAATAAGAATTAATTTGAGGTAAAATATGGTGCCAAGGATAGGTCTTCACAGATACTGAAGTATAAAATTAAATGTTTTGTACAGAAAAAAAGGTGAAAAAGTGACTCAGATACTAAATTTACGAGAAACATGGACCAACTTTGTTCGGATTCAGGAGAGTTGGTATCTAAACCTTGCGACCTTTTGACATGTCTTATTCATTGCAAGAATCATAGTAAGTTGAAAACCACTTGGATGTACCAGTGTTGAAGAATTATATTCCGAATTTTTATATCCAGGATGAATTACCGTGATATGCTAAAAAACAAGAGGAAGCAAGTGACAAAAGATTAAAAAGAGAATTAATCCACCTGTTACATAAAAATGTAAGAGGATATTGATTTCATTGTAACATAATTTAAAAATTATAAAATTTCAGTCTAGGATATAACATAGATTCATATATGTAAGAGAGGAAACAAGGTGCCAATAAAAACAAAAAATTAGTAACCCTGAAAATACACATTCTGATTGCATCCAAAATGGATGGGAGGAGATGGAACACGTGAACGTGCTGATCAGAAATGATATCAAAAGGACAATGGAATCGTTAAAAATAGACAAAGGCCGTTCTTTAGTCCCTAGCATTCCACTATCAATTAAAATATTTAAATGAAATGCAATATATCGTCATTGGCTAGAAGAAAACTAAGGTGTATTTGAGGATTGTACCTCCAATATTGTGTCAGTACCAAACTCCTTCCTCCACTGAAGCATATCAGCCCACATCTGCTTGGTCTTCTCAATATCAAATTTCCTCGCTTTTAAAAATCTGCATCATAATAAAAAATGGAAGTGTAACCGTCGAATAGGAGTAAAAACTTGGGTGTAAAACTTGCCCATTTTTTATGCAACATTGATTGATAATTACTAGTTTTTAATATTCATTTATACATATTCATAAGGAACAAATAATTTAATTCATCTCATTGTATATATATAAGCAAATACACACACACACACACGAGATAACACAAGCTTCTCAAAGAAGATTAAGAAAATAAGTAACCTCAGCATCATGTGATAGTCATCGTGTTTTGATGGCAGTAACTCTTCCAAGATAAGTGTCTGGCGGAATGCATCTACAGCCTTGAGCTCATCAGCATTGCAAACATCCTCAATAGAGACAGAAATGACCTGACTGTGTCTCCTAGCCCTTCTTGTCAGAGAATGCCCGAATCTTGCAGAGGCATTGATGGCTTTCTTCTTCAGAGATGACATCCTTGTTTTCCTTTCATCCTCAGAGCTCTCAAAATCAGATCTTCTGTCTCGCCTTTCACCGTGGAAAGAAGATTTATCAAAACCTGGATAAAAGGATAATTCACATTTATTTTTATTAAAGTGGTGTTGGAACTCTAGAATAATAATGAAAGGAAATCATGATCGATATTTATTCGAAATAAATGGAAGACACTAAAAAAATCGGTCTCGTATTTATTAACGCCGTTGCTGTGATTCATTTTTCTGCTTACCAGATATCGGGTACCGATCAAGAGGTCCAGAGTAAATGTCCGCCATTATTTAAGCTCCAAGTAGGTCCTTTTAAAGACAACCAAAAAGGCCAGAGTTTTAAGAGCTTATATGAACATCAGCATGACAACCCCTCCAAACCCCTGCAGTTGGACACTTTCATGTCAAAGTGCGGCGAAATGGAAATCAAGAAAAAATAAGATTACGACATGAAAAAGTAAGAAACATTCCAGGATGAAATGAAATCTCGAAATTAGTAGAACCTAAAAACATCCAGTCTGGTGGAAACCCAACACTATTGCTAAAATAGTTTATAAATCAAAACTTTGTGTGTAGACACGAAAGAATCCTTTTGGATGATTTTAGACTTTTGAATTGTTTCAAAATCTGAATGTCCAAGTAACTCGCTCATAGGGCCTTCCAAGAACAGAAATAAAAGATGCTTTTGGAAACTAAGAAGAAGCAGAATTCCGTGCCTGAAAGCATGAACGTATCAAACGTGATCTTATCGCTGATTAGCCTCTGGTGCCATCAGAATCTCAACAGTTTTCACGATTACATCAGGTACATAATACAATTCGAGCGGAGATCCTTAAAAAATCTAAGGAAAACAGGACGACCACCAAGAAGAAGAAAAAAGAACATGAATCAAAATGTTTCGGCCAACAAAATCATCGCAACCGGAGGGTACTACATTAGATTTTTCTTCACGAAATTCCAGACGAGATGGAGGGAGAAGGAAGAACCAGCGAAGGACAAGGAAGATAAAACCAGAGTCTGTCGGTACCTCCGACACGAACGCAAGGTCTAGAGGGGGGGAGAGAGAGAAACAGGAGAAGGCGCCTTAAATGGCTCCCTAGGCTCCAGACATAGGCATCCGCGCGTAGAAATAACAGTCCGTTGACGAGGTTTCTTCCCCTTCCTCCATTCCAGGAAGACCTTCCGTTGACGAGCCTCTCCCCTCTTCCCTCTTCCTCGGAAGAAATTGCTGCGATTTTTTATATTTCCAGTAAATAAATTCCCGGTACACCCGGCACAAAAATATCAAGTTTTTATTTATGCTAGATACCAAAAAAGGGAAGAAAATAACCGTCCGCCCCGGAGTTCCCGCCAACTACCGGGAATTCAAAAATCTCCTCATACTGACCGTTGACTCGCAACGGCCCAAACGGTCTAGGCCGTCCCCAGTACATGGGCCGAACTCGAGAATTCCTTTTCCGTCTTTTTGGGCCCTCTAAAGTGGGCCGGATGATACTGGGCTGGAGCTGGGTTTCTCCAGTGCCAGAAAATATCGTCATAATCGACAGCTTTCCATCCGCGGTGATAGGAGAAAAAATGTCGACATCACGTTCCACACTAACGACATCGGATTCAGAAAATTACTTTATTATATATTTCAAAAATTAATATATATTTAATGAGATTTTTTTACGTCACATCATCTCATAGATCAACTCGTGCCTCGTCGCCAGTGACGTGTCACGATCTATTTGTAGGATCGGTCCTGCTGGCGGGACGATTAGTCGCGTCTCAGGGACGCAAGAGATGAGGTGGACGGTTCCCCCAATCATTTACCAACATCTGGTAAGGAAGCGGGGCCCTCCGGCCACGCTGCCCAAGAGGAAACTCGCTCTTGTCTTATCTAAATGACTCCACGTCAGCATGACCGGAAGACCGCCGCGTCTGGGGTAATCCACCGAGGGGTAGTTTAGTAAATATTTAAGATGATCCCTTATTTATTTTGCCCTCCCCCCACCTTCTCTTCTTCCTGGCCGGTGTTTGGCGGCACTCGCAGGAACATGCGTTTTGGGTTTCCGGTTCTGGTCTCGTTGCCTTCACCAGCACTCTGAGTACGCGCTTCCCGTTGTCTTGGGCTTCGTCTTTCGCGGGGAACTGGGAGAAAGAACGCGTTCGTGAGAAGTACAGCGTCAGTCGTCGCGTACTAGTGCGCATTTCTTGTTCTTTCATGAGACTCGGAGGTTTCAGTTTTAGGTTTCGTCGATATTGGTGTCCGGTGAGGAAACGCTGATCTCGTCTTATTCTTCGTGAGAGTTGGGTTTTGATAGATGCATCTAGGGGATTACTCGAGGAAGATTTTCTTTCAACTAGAGTAATTGTTGAATCACCATTTTTCCGCTGTCGCTCCCTTGGGTTTATTTTTGTCCATCTTTTTGCCTTGCTGAGGTGAAAAACTACAGTAAGTGTTGTTCGGAAAAGGTTTCATAATTTTTTACCTCCTGAAGATAGGTTGTGAGTTTCCGCTCCGCGTCGTGAAAATTTATCCCACGTCTTCTTCTTCTCCTCCCCTGCAAGGTTTCGGTGCAATGCTGAAAAGTTAGGTGAGAAATCGAGATGAAATTTTCTCCCTTTGCTGGACCTATGAGAAACTCTCGATTTTTATGGATCACTGTAATATGCTCTTAGAATTTGGATTTTTACTTTGTGGTACCACTTCGATCGGAACGGTAAAATGTCCAGGATGTGTGAGTCCTTAGTTTCTATCCCTAATCCCCCTCTCTTTTTATTTCGTCCAGAGTCCTCGGCTAGAAACATTTCTCTTTGAAGTCTGTCGAAGCTGGCGTTCTTGTGAAGTGACTATCTCTTTGGTATTTTCATCGATGGTTATTTTTTTAAAAAATTATTAAAAAAGACAAAAAATTTAAGCAGTTGATTTTCAAAATTTTCTGTGATGGCTTCAAGATGCTCAAGAGTTGTTTTCTTTTTTGAAGTCTCGGTATCGACTGCCTTAGTTCCTCACTGGTCACTGCATTGCTACCATGAACTATTTTTGCTGACATTTAGTGTGCTGGCTTGCCTTTGGAATTTATTATATACGATCCCAAACATTGGGACTCAATTCTAAGATCTGTACAGGTTTTATGACATTTTCAGGATACAGCATTCTTCATTGGCAGCGACTTTAATAGTATTGGAAGACCACCTCAAATATTTGATAAGCTCTGGAAGGTTCTACAGTGCCTACCTTCTCGTAGAGTTTCGATTATGGCTTGTGGCGCCACCATCAATAACTTATTAAATGGCAGTGCCCTCATTCAAGATGTCCCTCAAAGGCATTTTCAAGTGGTTGTTGCAGCAACTCGAAGCATGGGCATCGGAAAAGATGGGAATTTGCCATGGAAGTTGCCTTCTGACCTCAAGTTTTTTAAGGAGGTCACATTGACTACGTCTGATCCGGCCAAGAAAAATGCCTTGATAATGGGTAGAAAAACATGGGAAAGCATCCCTGTTCAGAACAGACCTCTGCCTGGGCGTCTGAATGTTGTGCTGACCCATTCTGGAAGTTTTGATATCGCAACAGCAGAGAATGTCATAATGTGCGGGAGCATGAATTCAGCATTGGAACTGTTAGCAGCATCACCATACTGCCTGTCAATTGAGAAGGTATTTGTGATAGGAGGAGGGCAGGTATTAAGGTGAGCGTTTTATTGCTCTTGATTGTACTATAAGATGTCCTCTTAAGATGATGCTAATGGTGACGAATTGCAGGGAAGCTCTCTCTGCACCCGGGTGTGAAGCCATTCATCTTACAGATATTGAAGAAAACATTGATTGTGACGTTTTTATCCCGCGTATTGATGACTCATTGTTTCAACCATGGCACTCATCTTTTCCGCGTGTGGAGAATAATATCAGATATTCCTTCGTGACTTATGTGCGTGTACGAAGTTCTGCGGCTGATCTGCATTCAGTTCAAAATGGAGAAGCTGCGGATGGTAGCCTGAAGAGGGATAAGTTTGATATAGAGAGATTCTCATTTTTGCCTAAAATGATTTTTGAAAAGCATGAGGAGTACGAGTATCTGAGGCTTGTGGGAAATATAATTTCGAATGGCATTCAGAAGGATGACCGGACTGGAACTGGAACTTTGTCACTTTTTGGGTGTCAGGTACTAAGCCATGGAGTTGACTAGGTTTAATGATCAGTAACATAAGTGATTTCTTTGTTCAAAAGAATATATATGCAGTGAAATTTTAAAGGTTCTTTATTTCGTCCACCCTCCACAGATGCGGTTCAATTTGCGTCGATCATTCCCACTTCTTACGACGAAGGTAAGGACACGTAGTTTCGGAATCAAGCTTGTGATTTCTTTTGAGCTGCAGCAGGCAGTTTCTTCATTTCTGGAATATAGTCACCTCACTCCATTATTTCACCTGCTATGTCCGTTTTGAGTGTCAACTTTTTGATCTAGTTACGAAGGAATTCTCTGATTCAACAGAAAGTATTTTGGCGAGGTGTTGTTGAAGAACTTCTATGGTTCATCAGTGGTTCAACAAATGCAAAGGTAATAAATATCTCTTCAACGGTTCCTAGGTTTGCATTTAATTGCCCTCTGATGTATTGTATTATATTGGATTATCAGATATTAGATGATATTTTTAGTGCTGAGATAATATTTGAACAGATTTCTGACCCAGTTGTATGTGGAGGTTTCTATTTGCCTAAGAATTATGTTCTCTAGCAGGTGCTACAAGAGAAAGGAATACATATTTGGGACGGCAATGCTTCCAGGGAATACCTTGACAGGTCTCCTCAAGGCCTCTTATTGTTAAATGAAAATGTGCTATATATCTTGAAATGTGATTAAAAATCGTTATTGACAGCTTCGCTTGTTGAATGTTTTCTCTTTTCAATCAGTATTGGTTTGCCAGAGAGGGAAGAAGGTGACCTCGGGCCAATATATGGATTTCAATGGCGACACTTTGGTGCAGAGTATGTGCATAACGTTTTATAAAGTTACTTTAACATAATATTTGACAATTTCTAAGTCATTTATCTCGCAGGTACGCTGGAATGCACGCTGATTACACTGCAAAAGGGTTTGACCAGTTGCTTGACGTCGTTGACAAGATTAAAAACAATCCAGATAATCGTAGAATAATACTTTCAGCTTGGAATCCTTCTGACCTCAAATTGATGGCTCTTCCACCATGTCACATGTTTGCACAGGTTTTCTACATTCTTGTCCTAGTAATTTAATCTGTGTGCCGTTCTGTGTAAGATGATGTATTTCAGACTATTGAAAATTCCGGCATGCACGCACATACACCCGAACTCACTCACACGACCCAGTAGCAACATCTCAAGCACACATTCGCAAAAAGTTTTGAATATCTCTTCACACACCATTGGTGGTGTATATTGGTCAAGGATATTAAATGATAATCAGTTGTTAATGTGTACTTACAGTGGTACAACAGCATGTGTAGTATATAATCAAACAACGAATCCCTCATCAGACCCCCATAGCGAATTCCCTAATCTGAAGTAGCTGTGATAAAATGACAGAAAGCAATGAAATGAGATGCTGGACTGCGAGGTTGAGGCCTCAGATCTATATGCTTCTACATTTTTCTACTTATGCTGGACTGGGAGGATGAATCTCTTTGTCGTAATTCTCATTCTTCCTTCACAGTTTTATGTTTCCAATGGAGAGCTTTCCTGTCAAATGTACCAACGATCTGCAGACATGGGTCTTGGAGTGCCATTCAACATCGCTTCATATTCTCTGCTGACTTGCTTGATTGCTCACGTTTGTGGTACGCCTTGATTTGTTTCATCAGATTATGTGGCTGAGTTATGATAAGTGACCCAATATGTTCCCACTATGCATGGTTTCTTATATATGTTTAAATACGTATTAGCACTGTCGATTTGTTAAATCAATCAGATCATTATTCTAGCCTCATAATCTGGGTTTCTTCCTGTTCCACTGAGAATACAAAGCTGGTGAAGTTTCAAGATGGACTGTTTGCTTGCCCATCTTATGATCACATATACTAAAAAGAGAATAGTTAGTCAGATTAATAAATTAGAGTTTCATGAGAAGCTCTTCGAGGTAGCTAATTCCTTGTAAATTTCTTAATTTCCAAATTTTTTTTCCGCCAATCTTCTGGGTGACATATATTGGGTCGTAGGACTCGTAAACCCATTAATCTCGTCACATTTTTGTCAATTATTTAGCATTGTTTCCTGCTGGACATGAAATTAACGTGAATGTTTGTGGGCCCGGCTCCAAAAATAGATCTTGTTCCTGGAGACTTTGTGCATGTTCTTGGAGATGCTCATATTTATAGTACCCATGTCAGACCCCTTCAGGAGCAACTTCAGAAGCAGCCAAAACCTTTCCCTGTGCGTACTTCCGACGAAATTGTTTCCCTTTTTGTTTGAATCATTTGCGACATATTTTCCTGATAACCCCTTTCTCTTCTCTGGGTTCGTCTCCCTGCAGGTTTTGAAGATCAATCCAGAGAAGAAGGAGATAGATTCCTTTGTGGCAGCAGACCTTCAGCTCATCGGTTATGATCCTCACGAGAAGATAGAGATGAAGATGGCGATTTAGAGCTCTGCACGCCAGGATCCCCTCCTCGACTGCCTTAGCTCGCTCCTCAACCATGGTCAGTTAGCTACCTGCTTTCTCCTTCGTTCATACCATTTATGTTCTGATCATTGCTCTAGATCTTCTTCTCTCTGTTCTTCCTGTGGGCAGGTGTTCTCCTTCCGAGGCAGCAACAGGCTCCGGGGGCAATAACGACTCTCACGGTTCTGCTTCCGAGTATGATTATTACTATATATAGAAATAGTAGGCCTTGCCCATGAGTAGAATCCGGCTCGATGCCTCCATGAACGGCTCCCTTTTTTTTCCCCTTGTGAGCCTTCCCAGGTTAGAAGAAGCCCATATATATGTATACGTAACCCTCATCATGTCAGCTCCCATGGGGTGGGCAATCTATCAGTCTTTTTGAATGGTCAACGCCAGTTTTTGGTCGCCTTCTTCCTCTAGTTTATACCGTCAGCGGGCCTGCGGGCTTCGTGTGGGCCGGCCCGAAATCATTGCTTCAAGTTAATTTCATCAGATTTGTAAAATAATATCACTGAATCGGATGAGATAATTCATAAAAAGTAGTATATTAGATTCGTGTGGTTGAGAAGATAATGTGGTTGGAGACTGCAGCAAGACCCCACTGTAGCTGTCCCCGGGCGCAGAGACTGCTCTCCTCATCCTTCCTTCAGACCCAGTTGCAGCTGCAGAAAATACTCAAATCTAGAGAGAGAGAGAGAGAGAGAGAGAGAGGGGGGTGGCAGACAGGCAGGCAGGCAGAGAGAGACAGACAGACTGACGGGTAATGGGCTGCCGAAAAAGTCCAAATTCTCCTAAATACGTAAAAGGAGAACGCATAGAGAGGGAGGGAAGAAGGGAAGAAAAGAGTATCTCTTCGGGCGAGAAAAAAGAGAGTTTTAATTTTCGTTACTCTTTCTTACTTCTGCTGACCTCTCTTCTTCCAAATATCGCCCAAGGCCCGAATGCCCCCGCTCTTCCTTTTGCTCCCTCCCAGCCAGTCCTCCGACTCTCCACCAATCAGCGGCGACCCAGGAAAGCCGCCGAAGTCAACGGCGACGCCGCCACCTCCTCCTCTTCCTGCAATGCCTCCGGTGTCGGAGAGCACAGTCACGGCCGCGTCGGCGGCCTTCCTCCACTGGTCGACCTGAACCTTCAACTTCCTCATCTCTGTCTCCAGCGAGGACCTGCTGCCGTCCGCCGCCTCCAGCTGCTCCTCCAGTTGCTCCGCCTTCGCCTTGCTCTCCGCCAGCTCCTCCACCACCCGAACCAGCTTCAGTGCCGTCTCTTCCTCCCTCGTCCACGCCGCCGCCGCCTTCGCCGCCGCTTCCTCCAATTGCTTCTTCAAGCTCGCGTTCTCCGCCAGGCACTGCTCCAGCTCCTTCACCTTCTCCTCCAGCTTCGCTTCCAGTCTACCGGCCGTCTCCTCCTCCTCCACCACCGTAGTAATTCCACTCTCTTCGATGAGAACGGGATCGTTCTGTCCGGAGGGCACTTGAAGGTTGTCTTCTTCCACCGTATTAAGCTGCTGCTCCCGGTCTTTGTCGGCGGTGCCATGGGGGTCATCGTCCTCAACTGGGTCTTCGTCTGCGGAGGAGGGTGGGATCATCTTCTTGGTATCCTCCAGCTCCAGCTGGGCGTCTCTCTTGGCTGTCTCGGCAGAGACCAGCTGCTCCTTGAGCTTCCTGAGCTCGTCCTGCACATGGCCCAGTTTGGTCTCTAGATCAGCCACCCTCGTCCCCTTCTTCCTCTGGGTGCCCGATGGCAACTACAAGGAGACGCATGGATTTCAGATCGGAGGACCAGAAGAAGACGCATGGATTTCAGAACTGGGTCGAGGTGCAGCACCGAGCCCACCTCATGGAGAGGGCTCCGGGTGGAACGCCGGGGGTTGACCTCCGGCTTCGGGCCACCGCGCTGATGGGCCTGTGACCCATTAGAGTCGGGGTTCGCCGTCTTAAGATGAAGAGGGACTCGAGGGGATTGCCGCTGCGGCGGCGGCTGTGCAGGCAGATCCGATCCCCTGCATGATGAACAAGGAGAAGGAACAGATGGTTCAGATCACAGCCAGAAACAGAGAAAAGCTTCATCGATTTTAATATCGTTGACCCGGTACTTACCTTGATATAGGCATCCGTCTTAGCTCCAAGCCACGGACTCTGAAGCTCGAATCTCTGGGCTCTGTCTCTTCCCCGCCAAGCCAGGAGGCGATTTAGAAAGAGGCACCAAGAGAGGAGTCACCTGTCCTTCAACAACCACCCTCCTGAAATAAATATTGCTTTCTTACGACTTGAAAGGGCAAGAACAGCCACGTACAAACAGGAAATTAAATGATGAACATCCACCAAACAGACGGTGATCACGGGACGAGAACAAAAACCTTGAAGGCCAGACAAAGCATACCCTCGATTCTCTGGGGTGGGCCTCGGTGATTCACATGGACAGCAGGGTAGAGCCCATGGAATGAACAGGAAACTACTGTAGAAACAAGAGGGAGCTGGGAAGAAAACACACAATAATATGCAAAAGATGGAACAGATCTAGAGCGGACGAACCCCAGGAAATGAGAGGCAAGGTGGAAGGCCAAGTGCTATGGAACACCAACCCCCTCCCCCCCTCCCCCCCCTACCGAAGAGATGACGAATCAGACAGGAAATCTGCAGCCTCCTCACCCTATGCGGATTCTTGCTGATTAATTAGTTCTCTGGAAGAAGGATGGAGTTTCACCTTTCGACAGTAGGACTGGAATTGTTTGCACGTTCGGAGCTTCACGGGTGTAGGACTGGATCTTCTGTGGTGAGCCGTCTCCTTGGCGCCGGAGGAGATGGGGGGGTTGCCTACTGCAGACACTGCGAGGGATTATTTTAATTCTCCTTTGCAATCATTGCTTAAGTGACATTATTTGAGGACGAGATATTATTGAGCGGCAAAATCACCGCAAGATCGCTACCGACGGCACAACAAGAGGATCACGGAATAAATGAGCTGGGGCAATCAAAAGCTCGATGGGCAAATGCATATTTTTTGTATGGTTGTGCATGTGCGACCGAAGAAATAATGAATACCGGCAATAAATTTTGCCACGTAAGAAGACCGACCAGCTACTCGCTGCAAAGAATACTCGTCATCTTTCACCTCTTTATTCTAAACGGTTAACATTCTCGCCTGACTCTTTCTCTTCGACAGTCCGGGAATGAGCCGCCATTGAATGATGCGTGCACCCAGAGAGTGGTTACCGCTCTTCAATCCGGGAAAAGAGGGAACATATTAGATCTAAATGTCAAGGACCTGGGAACGACCAGAGCTCGGAAAAGCGGATTTGATAATCCGAGCCGAAAGAACGCTTCATTCACAGGCACTACGTCTTCTTTTTGAAAAAAAGAAAGAAATAAGAGAAATAAACCATCCACCGATCAGCAATGCTCCAGGAAGTGCAGGCGAAGAAATGGAGAAAGAATCCGTCCCCCAGTGTTTAAAACGCCGGATGAAGAAATTTTCTACGGCTCGTGCAACAAAAGCTAGATAGCTCACTTGACCAGCAGAGATACGACCCCCGAGGTACTCTTGAGGTCAGATAAACATGAAACGACGGAGAAAACGAATAAACGAGGAATCTCACCTTCAGATGGAATCCCCGCACCGCACCATTTGTGGCACACTCAGAACGAGAGAGAGAGAGAGAGAGAGAGAGAGAGAGAGAGAGAGAAGGGATAGAAGACGGTTCTGGGGGACGGGTGAGCTCTCACATCATCTGAGCAGAGAAGAAGGAGAAGAGCGGGTAAAGGTCCCCTGAGCGCAGAAAATGCTTCCACCTTCAACTTCAAACGGGAAAACTGCTTTTAAAAAGCTTCTGGAGTCCGCGCACGGCCTACAACCTCTCTCTATCTCTCTCTATATCTCTCTCTCTGTATATCGCTGTGCTGTTCTCCCGCCGCCGACCGTCACCCACCAGCCACGCTACAAGGATTTCAACATTGGAGCACCTCCACCGCCGATCACGTGGACCCATTTCTATCGGACGGTTCAGATTTGGGCAGCGGGGACCACCGCCCACCCGCCATTCATGACGTGATTGAAAAGTCCCTCTCCTTTCCGACCATCCTCCGCCCTCTCCCCGAGGACAAGAAATCCCCAGACAAGCGACAACGGAACTAACGGACTGTTACCGGGTTCGATCCGTGACCCATTCACTTTTTTTCACTTTAACCCCTAGAATGTTTCCCTTTTTCCCTACGCCACGTGGGGGGGGGGGGGGGGAACAAATTTTCCTCTTCCCCTCCCACCGACGGCACGTCAACGTCCTACCCCGTCTTCCTGCATGAACTGGCCAACATCTTCTCCCTTGTTCTTTCTCTTATTATCTTTGTATACATCTGCGGGCGGGCGCGGAATCAACGGCTAAGAATTAAGAATCAATCGGTGGTAATGAAGATCGCTACTACTACGGACGTCTCTGATCCCTGCTATCGGCTGGTTTCTTCTTCTGGGTTTCTTCTTCTTCCCCGAGCCTCCGCTAGGGAGATCGCCATGGCCAGCATCACCTGCTCCTCGAAGCTGTCGGGGACGTGCTCGGCCGGCGAGGTGGCGGCGCCGCCCAGGTCCTCCTCCGGCGCTGCCGCCCTCCCGCCGCCGCCGGAGGTGACCTCCATCCAGCTATCGGGTGGATGAAGATGATGATGATGATTTTCCACCACCTGGCGTTCAGCCAGGGAGGCCACCGCGCAGGCGAGGCCACCGGAAGGGGAATCTTCACGGAAGGAGGGCCCCGAGCAGGACGGATCTGAGGAGGCGCCGCCGCCGCCATTCTCCTGATCGAAGCAGAGAGAATAAAGGAAGAGAATGGAGGAAGCTCAGAGAATCCTCAAAGTAGCGATTTTTTACTGGAACAGAGACGAAACATGGTCCAATGCTAAATAAATCATATGATAACCGGCTATGGAAGGCCATTATCATCTACATTCACTGAGCTTGGTATCAGAAATGCCACCTTCAATCCGGGTCCAATCGTTCAGTCATATTTTTGAAATGATGCATGTGAACTATATAGTTCATAGAATAGCCCAGGCAAATGTCTGTCTCTCTGTCTCTATGTCTCTACAACAATCATATGAAATATATATATATGAAATATATCCATCATATGAAATTTCAGATATATATATATATATATATTGGACTAATACATGATAAAAAAAAATCAAGAACAGAAGTTAGAACTGGGTGGTCAAGATCACCAAGTGCCAATGCGAGTATATATGGTGCGAGTTACCTGAATGGATAGCCAGATGGCCTCCATAACCATTATGTCTTCAAGATCGAGGTCAAAGTCATCGGTCCTGCATTTCGGTAAACAGTTTGACCATGATGTCTTACCGATAAACATTGGACTAATCAAGAAATTCATCCACAGAAGTTCATGATTTTGTGTGGCACAGTCTACCATTAAAAGCACACGCAAGCAACTGACCACAGATTAATCAAAACCAACAAACCTCCAGTTTGCCTCAAGAAACTATGTCCCCTGTATACAGAGAGCCCTCATCCGTCTGTAGAGAAAACAAGTACAGAGATGTGCAGTCTGCGTCCCATCCCTCCTTGTTCAGTTGAGTAAGATAGGGACAGAAGAATGTGTTTTACAGCTTTTTACTTTAAATAGGAATATAGAGAAGAATGCGTACTAGCATTGAATATTATTTACTATAATTTAAGATTGAACAGTTATCGTGCCAAGGCTGTTTCCTAAAAGCTTAACTCTTTGTGTAGAACTTTTCGTTACACTGTTTTCGAACAAATCAGCAGATGTCAGAGTAAGGCTACAGCTTCTGATTCAGATACTGCTTTAAATTTAGCCACTTCCAAGGAGTGTATTGCTGGCCTAGTCTGTATACAGATGTACGCATTGAAGAGGGGAAAGATCAGTTATAAAGAGTCATCACCACAGTTATTTGTCTGCCACTTAAAAACCACCATAGTTTGATCGGCAGTCAAAGGATGATATTGAATCAAGCGTGCTCAATTCGGACAGAAGGCCCTTTCACAAAGCGAGAGAAATAACTCGGCAAACAAGAGATATGTATGACAAAGTTTCCAACTATAATCCATATATAGACTTGCACTGAGTAAGAGTTTTGAAATAAAAAATAAAAAAAATCAAGGAATTTGCTAAAGAGACAATTTTCATCTGCCAAAGAGCATTTTAAAATTATGATGAACTTGTAGAGTGTCTTCGATCTTGAGAGGAGAAAAACAGCCTTTGAAATTGATACTGTTCACAGGACGGGTGGTCCGGGCAGAGTAAAACCAAAGAAAATGTACCCTCAGGTTGGACAACGAAAGAGCCAAACAAAGGCTTGCAACCGTTTTATTCTCCATTATGGTTCGACCCCGCTACCAACTATCCAAAAAGGTAAGTTAATAACTAGATCAAAGTTTTTACTTTCTCTATTAATTAAAAAGATCTGCAGTCCTTCCCTTGCAAGGAAGCAGTGATCTCTAGGCATGATTGAGCAGTTTATATCAAATAATCGCCCTGCATCATCTACACAAGACTAAAAATCACTTCTGAAAACGTATCATAACGAAATAAATGAAAATTCTAGTATTTTATGTTTATCTGTTTTCCAATTTCAAAAATAAGACAATTAACCATGGTACTGATGAAGACGTCTGCTGAAACTTTTTTTTGCACAAAACCCATCTTAATTTCAGTTATGACTCCTCAGCTTTTCTTTTTTTCTTTTTTTTTATTTTTTTTATTTTTTACAAAACCATTTCGATTTTATACCACGTCATTAATTCTGTTTACCATCAAAGTTTAACACCAGCAATTCAAATGTGGAGAGAATAATTGGTATGCTTTAATCTGATTTCAATATATACTATGATCCTAAAATACATAGTAAACACTATTTCATAAATAGCTGCAGTTTTTCTTCTCGTTATCACACAGCATTCTTTGTCTATCTAGATCATTTTCATAACAGCAACATAAAAATGCATGTGAAAACCAGTACTAATGACCAACATTGGAGAATCATCCTATGTCAGCGGTTGCGGTACATATCTCTATATGTGGATTCCTGATTTTCCATAAATCCATCCCCCTTCAGACTTGAACATAAGAATATGCAGCATCACTTTTCATTTTCCCTCTACTCCCTACATCTTTGGCAGTCAAAGGGTAAAATATGTCCCAGGAAACAACCAGGAGCTCAATTATGGAGTAACATTGACAGCCAGCCAATGCTTAATCTTTGTGATCAAAGGCATGATCACAAAGACAAACATGCACTTGCAATCACATAAACACCAAAAATTCTCAAGACAAAAAAGAATACATTATATAACATAAAGAATAAGACGAGCGATTTTTGATTTGCTAACGGGTACAGATGCATATCTAGATATTTGGGTCAATTCAATGAAAAACATTGATTTCATGGAAATCTAAGAGATAAAGAAATAAATGAATTTAGTAAATAAATGCATACCACCTCAACAAGTAAATGAATTTGCACATAGCAACTAAATAAAGGGTCACAGGAAAACTTGAGACACCTGTTTTGTCTGGTTTGTAAAAGCCTCCTGTTGACAGGCAAAGCAGGTGTGATCTGAGGTGAAACAAATCCATTGTTTTGGCCTGCATATGTAGAGCAGCATTGTTGCATTAAAAAACTTAATGAAAGAAGTAGAATCCCTATCTTTAACTGGCATTCGCAGGGAATATCAGCGAAACCTGAACTTGAGCTACTTGGCAACTCCCGACATTCTATGCCTCCAGGGTTCATTATTCCATTCGACAAATCCATAATTTTTCTTCTCTCTATCCTTTCTTCTTCGTCAAGTCGTTCCTGTTGTTGCATCCTTATTTTTGCTTCTATAACTTTCTGTTCCTCCTACACAACCAGAAGAAACGAGCATTTGAGGAAGTTCTACTCTGACAATGAGAACGGCAGTTCCATCCCCCAAGGAGACGAAAAAACGTGAGAGAAACATACAATCTTTTCCATTCGTCGTTCCTCTTTTGTCATCATGCCACGATAATCCACTTCATAATTAGAGCTTTTGCAAAAAGGGCACCTTTTAATTGTTAAAGTTTCCCATGTCAAAATGGTAAAGACGACATACAGTTGGAATTTTCTAAATTAAAATATCATCAACTGTTTCCCCGAAAAATCTGCCAATAAAACGGACAAAGGATACTGTGAGGAACGTGTAGAACGAAATGACTTCATCTGCAGATAACATTCTGTGAACGGGATCATCCAGTTGAGTCCATAGGAAATTAGAATGTAAAAAGATCTCGCATATGCTAAGTATTTCAATTTACAAGCCAAAATACCTGTACAGATGCCTTTCGTGCAACATTTTGAGCGGTTGAGACTGGGATAATACTAAAAAGAGAGAAACAGAAGAAGTAAAGAAATATTAGTCCGATCTTCTTGGATAGCCAAGATTATTGATCTTTTCCTGAAAAGATACAGGCCTATATAGGGCATCCTCAAATAGCTACCCACGAGAAACATTACTTCAACAGAGCAATAGAAAATACTGACCAGGAAGCAGATGGGGCACTCTTCACGATCAAAGATTCTCTCCTCCCCGCCAGGATAACAGGGCGCAAGTTTCGATCTGAGTATCTGCTTCCGAACCTTCTTGTGGTCGAAGTTCTGGTTCTGGTACAGGCCCTGCGGCCTCGTGTACTTCTCGTCCACCGCCTGTCTTCTCTTCCCAAGCTTATTCCCCATCCTTACCAACGACAACAGCAACGGAAGCAACCAAAAGAATCAGATATCCCGCAGCCTACCCACCTTTAATTCCTTCACATCTCCCGCCGACCAGAACACCAAAGACTAGAGAGGGAAACCACACAACAAACTCCAACGTCAATTAAACCACTATCCTCCCAAAACCGTTTCAAATCCCAAGCCGACCAATCGCCACGACCAGTCCAGCGGTGAGAACAACCCGCGGACGCCCCAAGAAAATTAACTACGATTCCCCCTCCAATGAAGACGACAAAAATGGCAAAAGAAAATGACCTTGTGTGTGTGTACGTATATGAGAGGGAGAGAGAGAGAGAGAGAGGGTCAGGAAGAACCTGAAAATTCCGTAAGCCGAGCAGATGATCCAGGAACCAGCGACCGAGGCGGCGGCCGGCCGTACTAATGGAGGGAGGGCTCATGAGCTGGACGAGATGAGATGGGAGGGATTACGAGGAGGAAAGCATCACGCGGAAGACAGGAGACTGATTGGGAGACAGCAAAGATTTCCCCAACTTCCTCCCAGCTCCCTCCCGTATACATACTCCCCAATATTATGCAATTTCCTCCACACAGACAATCGACAAACAGATCAGATCCTCCCAGTCCGCTGCTTCTTCCTCCTCGTCTCTTCCTTGATATCCTTTCCACTGTTATTAGATTTTTACCCAAATCGCCATCCCTGTCGCTTTCCCTCCAATCGAGAAAGGGGAGGCGTGGACGAAGGTGGCAGCAGCGCCGTCTTCAAACAAAGAAAATGGAGGGGAGACTCGGTCGCCGGCAAAGGCCAACTACTCTGGGCGACCAGGCCCGGCCTTTCTCATCGCAGGAGAGGTGGGGACCATTCTTCTCCGATCAGGCAATCTCCAACGTCCGCCAGGAGAAGGCTTCCGATCTTCCTTAGCGCTCGTTCCTTCGCTCCGCAGGACGGGGGAGATATGAAGAGGAGGCTTCCTGAAGAAAACAAATAAATACGTGGATTCTGTTTGGAAACTTCTCCAATTTAGCTCCACGAATAAATAATTTCCGGTAATATTGATAGCCGGTAAAAGAGGTCGAGATGAGGTTTTACACGCCACTGAATTCCCGGCTTTCTCGATGCGGGTATGCTTGCGGACATACTTGGGGCAGAAGAGGCGGTACCACGGGGCGGGCGGTGCACGCCGGCGGCACGGGCCAGTGGATGAACGGACAGCGGTGGATGAGCGGTGCCGGTAGGAGGCGAGAGAGTAAAAAGGGGAATGGGAGGTAGAACGTGTTGATGGGGAAATATTCCCGTGAAGAATGTTACCATATTTTGACACGAAAAGAGTTTCAGAAGGAACAGGATTGTTATTTATACCTGTCTGAGTATATAACTTCACGGCTTCAACTTTCAGTAGTCTGCCCACCATCCGCCCCCGAGGATAGTAATCTTTGAAGCTGTTTCTGTAAGGAGGACCTTAACTGGATATTTGAAGCCAGGGTTTTCTGTAAACTCTCTTCGACGGTTAAAAGCTCGGCTTTCCTTCTCTCTGCTGCTGCAAGCTCGGGATTATTCACGCATCCATCTCGTTCTTGGAGTTCCTTCAGGGTTGACCGCAGCTACAAGAATTTTGTTACATGCGTTGAGATATTGTTCATGACACCGCCGGATTCATGACATTTATTTAGCTAATCACTGATCAAAAAATAAAATAAAGGAAAAAAATTAGGTCAAACATGGTAACACTGTCGCGTTTTCTAATCAATTAGCTTCCTGTTGAGTTAAGGGTGATTCAGAGGGCGAGGGCCTTTTTCTGCTCATTCCGATTCCCGATAGTCATTAAGGAGAGAAGGTAGTCTCTCGTAAATCCTCCCTAACGGGAAATTTTGAATCCATCAAATGTTGACTGTCGTTGGATGGGATGGCCCACAATTTATGATTATGAGAACTTCAATGTTGGCATCCTTCGCAATTTCAAGCAGAATCACCAATGTTGGCAAAGAAGCAGGTATGCTATTCCAAAAAAAATTGCGGTAAAATATTCGAGTTCGTTGGAAGGAAATATAATTTGAAGCCGAGAAAACAAAGAGAAAATAAATCTTACTTCGGAGACTACAACTCTCAAGTTCTGCGCCTCCGAACGAAAATCCAAGATACGTCGCCTCACCAGCTCTTTAAAATCCCCCATCTCTGATGTCTTTGTCTCATAAAATTGGTCCATGGTTTTCTCTTTCTCCTCCAGCTCGATGGTCCTGCACTTCAGGACTCTGATCCAACCATCAACAACCCACAGTCAACTCGGAAGTTAGGCAGGAAGTTGGAAAAACATAGAAGCAACTGGGAAAGCGCAGACCACCTGAACAGATCGGTAGAGCTCTGGTACCTGGCTTCAATAGCCTCGATCTCGGCCTTCCTGGCAAGGATCTGGAACCTCACCTCGGCTCGTCTTCTCTCCAGCAGGAGGCACCTACGCTCTGCGCACCTCAACTTCGAGAGTTTTGCCGACAGAATCTGGGACTTGCTTCTCTGCAGCTCTTTCTCGGCCTGCCAGCCCAACAATCGGGGATATCCCTCCTTAGGCTCCCTGATCTCCTTCTCTGGAGAGATGACCAGAGTTTCCGCCTCAGAACGAAGGAAAATTTTGCTGCAAGAACCTGGAGGAGGGAGAGCCTCTCGTTCCTGGTAGCCTCCATCTGCTGGAGCCTCTCCTGGAAAGCCGAGGGAAGCGCCATCGCCGTCGCCGTCGTTTGTTGGATGAGCGAGCGCGGGAATGAGCCGCTTGCACGCTTTCAAAAAAAAGCAAACTCGTCCTTAAATATCTCCCTGTCTCGTAATTATCCTAATTTAAAATAATTCACGAACATCAGGGAAAGAAAAATAAATCAGCCAACTAATTATATTGGGCCACAGATGGGTCCAGCTGCTCCGCCGCACTCGTTCGTTGGAAATCTTTACGGTGGGCTACCAGCCCTCTCTATCTCACCTAAAAAAACAGACCGCACGGTTACGTGGCCATGTAATATTATATAAAAGCCCCCTCCTTTCCTGTATTTTTATATACAGTGCGTCATATTTGGAAGCATTGGGAAAAGCCCGGCCTGACAGTCGATGATGGAGTTGCACGGAATAAGAGAACAGTGAAGGGGCGAGAAGAAACCCACACCTAAACGGGTTACAAGAGTCAAATCGGAGGCCTCAGCTTGGACGGTTGTGATCGGTCCACGACAGCTTGGGTTAATCACCTAATGAGTGACGACAGTCAGTAGAGTCGAGAAAGGGAGGCGAAAACTGTTAATATTCCCTTCCACCAGAGAAACTGTGGGAGAATCCCAACAAACTCCTGCCAGAGGAAGTTGCATAAAATCGTGCGTAAGTAGCCACCCCCGCCGGCCTCTCTCTCTCTCTCTCTCTCTCTCTCTCTCTCTAGTTCTAGCTCTCTCTCTCTCTAACGCTCTCTCAGTGCAGATCACGCAGATCAGAGGAGAGGAGGGGAGGGAGGGAAAGAGAAGATAATCGGATTGCATGAGATAAAACGGAAGTGAATACGTTGATCGTCCGTGGTTTCCATTTTTCCGCGTACTGACGATGTACACTGAGCGGAATGGATTTCTGGCTGGAGTAATTGTTTGAATGTGAATGCGTACAGCGAGGCAGAAAACCATCACTTCCTCCCTTGCCTTTTCATTTCGTCGGAGTTGATTGTCCTGTTCTTGTTTCGTTTTACTCCAGCATCTCTCGGGGAACTTGGAGGACGTGATCCCTTAGTTTTTCTGGAGTTTTTGCTGTTTCTGGGATTCATACGGTGTTTTGATCGGTTCCTTTATCCGGCGTCCTGTGGCTTTCTTTGTTTCTCGGGTATCCCGTTGGATAAGGAATGGCTGCCGTCGCAGAGAACGCGATCGGGTCCAACGATCGCCAATTTCCACAGTCGCCGCCATCCTCCGATCGCAAGTCCGATTTCCAGAATGACGTGAGGAAGCTGGTCGATCTCCTGTCGAATTTAAACCCCTCGGCCAAGGAATATATCCCCTCTTCCAAGTCCGATTCCCCCCCTTTGTTGGTCATTCCCGGAGGTTCGAACTTGAATAGCGTACTGTCTGCCGATGCCCCGGTCTTTGATGCGGTCAGTGGCGGTGGGGTGGAATACGTGAATCACAAGGACCCAGGGAACGATGGATTCGGAGTTCACTACCGCAGAGTAAAATTCTGTTTTTCCTCTTGTTATTTCTTTCATTCTGCTGATAATTAGAGTCGGACGCTTTTCTGTTTCCGTTTATATCGCCTCATTTGGTTGATAAACCAGCTTGTTGTATCTACTGTGTTTGAAAAAGCTTTTCCATCATGATAATAGTCTTTTAGTGTTAACTATTTATTCTCATATGAAAGCATATGGAAGAGCTTTAGATAATTTAATAAATTATTGTACATTGAGAGACATTTTGTTATCTATCTTTTGCAGAAAAAGAATTATTATAACCAAGGAAAGAGGAGGACAGAGGGATTGTATAGAGCTCAGAGAGAGGACAGCATTAGGCGTACCGTCTACGTTTCTGACATCGACATACATGTATTCAGAGCTTAGCTAATATCATCAGTTCTTATTTCTGTCGACTACTACACTATCCGCAATCTTAACTTTCTTGTGTGTCTGTCAATGGTAGGTAACTGAGGAGCAGCTTGCTGCATTGTTTACCAATTGCGGCCAAGTAAGTTCCTTTATTTTTTTCCCTTGATTTAAATGAAAGAGGATATCTTTTTAGAATAAGCCCAGAGGAAGAAAAATTGTGCCTTCTGCCAGGCTTTTCTTTCATTCAAGCTAAACATTGCGAATTGACAAGATTCCTACAACCAGGAACTCCAACGCGTCTTGGGAAGGATATGAAGAGTAGGATAAATTTCGATCTTTAGATTTTGGTTGAAGATTAAAGTTTAAAATTTCACCAAAGTTCGGTTATTATCTCACTTTCTTACATTCTATAACTGTCGTAGTTCAGAGAACCTTCAACGAGAGCTTTTTACGTCCATCTCTTCCATTCAATTTTCCATCTTTGTTTACTCCTGGATTTTTTATGAGGATCATGATCCATACGCCATCTCGTGCATTTTAATTAAGCCTGACAATATGGTAGGCTTTAGCTTTTTGACCTGTTTTCAGTCAGATAATACCTTTTTTTGAAGCAAAATATTTGCCATAGTATTCTCTTTCAGTACATAAGGGAATTCAACTTCTAAACGTCTGGCCTACTTCATGAATTAGGAAAAGGAGGGGCTATGCTTGCTTGTGTAGTTGTATCTTCTCGCTCACATGATAAATTTGGAACAGGGTCACGGATATAAACCTCTTGTCTATGCCCTTAGAAGGATTAATGCATTCAGATTAGGGGTTTTTAATGCTTAGTATCATATATTTTTCTTGTTTTATGACATCAGTCTAATTGTCTCTTGAGATTAATAGTTCTCTCGACAAGGTACTGCATTCTCGTCCTATATTTTAAATCACCTGTATCCAGAAACGTTATTTTATTACTAGTTCCTCATCACATATAGAAAGATATATTTAAGTCATTGCATCAGCATGTGTACTATTTTTTATTGCGCTACGATTTTGTTGTCCTTTGAATGAGATTTGTGCCATCAGGTGCATCTGTTCCTCATATTTTTGTGGATCTAACTACTCTTTCATCATTTCACATCAAACCATATCTATGGTATAATTTTTTTTACTCGATCAATAGTTAATACCAACAATCATACCTGGCCTAAACTTAAAATTGCTATTTGAGCCTCTACTCGTGAGTCAAAATTTCCTCTTCACCATTGTCTCCCTTGGCACATTGAACGATTTCACCCGAAACGTACGGACTCATGTCAAACCACCAAATAATTTTAAATCAGTTGATACGTATCTTGTTGACCTTCTGGATAAAATGCTGCTTCCAATACCTTACCCCTATTACCTCAAAGTACGTAGTAGAAATCATATTATATGGGATGGGTTCATCCTGAAAGTTGTGGCCCTTGGAAATCTTGAATTTCTCCTCAGAAGTAGCCTCCAATAGTTCACTTTTATAGGCTTCTTTAGTAGAAGAATGGTAATTGGTAACTCAGGACTTGCAATAAATTTGGTAAATAAGTTGGCGACAGGAAATAGCTTTTCCTATGAATTTCTTGGCTTCAACAGACAGGGGATTTGTTTCGATATGACTGGTCACAATGCTTTTTTGTCTGTCGTGTATGAAACCCTTTTGGTTCTGATGCGCTTGAATGTCTCAATGAAGGTTGTTGATTGCCGTGTCTGTGGTGATCCTCACTCGGTTCTTCGATTCGCTTTTGTCGAGTTTGCTGATGAACGTGAGTCCACCTGTATCTTCTTTCCCTGTGTGCATTTTGATTTCTAGTTTGGTGACTTATCACGACTTCTAACTTTGAAAATGCTGATTTTTTCTTCTAACAGACGGTGCAAGAGCGGCACTGAGCCTTTCTGGCACTATGATTGGGTATTACCCCCTTCGTGTTTTACCTTCAAAAACTGCTATCTTGCCCGTGAACCCCACGTTTCTTCCTCGGGTACACATTAACCGCTTCTTTTCCCTCTTTTTTTTTTTTTAACTCGAAGTACAAGATTACTCCATATTGTGGTGGAATTTTGATGTTTTGGTGTAAAATGCAGTCCGAGGATGAAAGAGAAATGTGCGCGAGGACAATTTACTGTACAAATATCGATAAGAAGGTAAAACATCTCGTAAATATGGCACGTAGTTAATGATAAAAGCAGCTTTTTCTTGCCTTTCAGAATTTTCATTATACGCTCATTAAGATCCAATTTTCCGTTGGTGCAGGTGACCCAAGCAGACGTCAAAGCATTCTTCGAAGCATGTTGCGGTGAGGTCAGGACAGTTTGCTTTCCCAGAAGCTAGCTAAAATTTCAATTGGTGTTCCTTTATGAGCTCTAGCATCATGTCTTTTGATAGCAGGTGTCTCGTCTGAGGCTTCTAGGGGATCATGCTCATTTAACACGTATAGCATTCGTTGAGTTCGTTCTGGTAAGCATTTCTGAATTTTATTCTTTCCTTTGATTTTCATCTGATTATTAATGCACAAAAAACATGCCATTTCTTCTTGGATATCGGCGATCCTTTAACATGAGCCCTAGTTTTAAATAATAAAAATTTTTAAAAAAGCTATAATCTTATACTAGCTTTTTTTTAATTTTTTTAATTTGGTTTCCTAACCTTTCATTTGGCGTAGGCTAGTCACATCCAAGCATTTCGTTCTACGGTTAAAAAAAATATATTTGTAGCAAAAATAAGGTCAAATTGGTAATTCTTTAGTTTTGACTTACCCATTTTGGGAAAATCTCTCTTGATTTGGCAGGCAGAAAGCGCCATCGTTGCGCTGAATCGCAGCGGGATGCTTCTGGGGGGTCTTCCCATCAGGTATTCTCTAATCCGTGATCAGTCTTCATGTTGGCTTTACCACAGCCGTCGGATATGTGATGCCAGCTAGCCCTGTACCTTGCTCAGGGTGAGCCCTTCGAAGACCCCCGTGAGGCCTCGCCTCCCCCGCGCTGTCGTGCATTGACCTTCTCCGGCTGAGAGAGCTGAAAACGGTCAACCATTGCCTAAAGAGGCCATTTTCCGAGGTCAACTGTCCTGAACCTGCTCCTCCTCCCCTCAGTGAGTAACTTGGAACTTTTTTTCTGGGATAGCTCATTCCTCGCCCCCTTATTTTTCCTAGAGAGACGTTTACCCCTGTTTCGAGTACTGGTGGGCCCCGTCTTGATCCCATTGATGAACGCTCTACATATGGTCTGTTTCCTCCCAAAGTTCTTCTGTCAGTGTGTTGACCAGCACGAGCTGTTGAACTGCTCCAGGTTCATCCTAGCCAGCAATGAGAGATAGAGAGAGAGAGAGAGAGTTGGGCTGGGCGGGGCCCATAAATAGTCCAGACATTATTTCAAGAAGGAAAATTGGCCTCTCTAATAAATGATATAATTGTAGAAGTTAATATTCTCTTTCTTGTAAAGGTCCCCCTTTTTTTTTTTCTTCTCAAACAAGCCGGGAAAAGATTGATCGCCGCATTTTAAGCCCACGTTGAAAACGTAGCCAGCCGGCCCCGCCCGCCGACATTACTGTTGGTAATATTATGAAAATAAGTGATCTACAGAGCTTTCCGTCGCCGTCATCTCAACGCCAGCCGGCCAGATTCACGTGTTAAATCCACGCCTGCATATGGGAGGGGAACTGAATATCTACAATTTTTGGTGAATTTTCTCCTCAAGAAATCTACTAAAAATCCTGTAACGGATTCTTTATTCCTTATTTATTCGATTATTTTTTTTAAAAAAAGGGAGCACGGGTCACTTGACGCAACGATACATCGTTGACATGAAAAAAAACGCACGTGTAGGCGGCTTTAATACGACAGATACTGGCTGTCCTATAATTTCACCTCGGTCTTTACGTGGCGCCTCGAAAAACAAGTGGAAATCTGCGCAGTCACGTGGGATAGGCAGAAATGGGCCCGTCGGTTGAGCTGTTGCCCATCAGATGGACCCAAGACACACACGATAGACGGTCGTAGCTGGAAATACGTATTCTGTAGGTAGGAATAGCTCCAACCCGTAGAGAACCCTATCATTGGACAGAGAAAGAGGCACGTGTTTTAGGAGACTTCGATACTGAGGCTGGAGAGAGAAAGTTTTCCGGTGAAAGGCAAGCTCCCTCTCTCTCTCTATATATCGCTATCTCTCTCTCTCTCTCTCTCTTGCTGTGGCGGCACGTGTTTTGGATGGTGAAAACAGCGTGAACTGGTCAGGCGGCACCTCTCTCTAACGCGGGCGCTTCTTCTCCAGGTCAAAAGTCACCGCAAACCCGTATGTCCCTTGAGGATTTCTGAGATGAGAAGGTTCCCAGATCCACATAGCCACGGGGTGGACGAAGTTCGTGCATAAATAGACCCACCCCCTCTCCCCCCTCTCCATCCAACTTGTCTCCAATAACTCGGTGGCTGAGATCGAAATCCAACCCAGATCTCGCCACCATGGCCTCCTCTGCTTCTTCCACTGCTCTCCAGGGGATGAACCAACTCAGGCGGCGCCCGAGCCCGACGAGTGCCGCAGCGAAACACCCACTCACGAGCCTCGCCGTGCCCCCCGGCACCGGCAGGCTGGCGCTGCCCCGGCGGACGTGGGCGCCGGCGCTGCGTGCCAGCGCACGGAACTGCACCGCGCGCGTGCCGGCCCAGGCGCATGGAGATGGGGAGGAGACGCCGTTGAGGGTGGGGATTGTGGGCTTTGGAAACTTCGGGCAGTTCATCGCCCAGGGCATCCAGCGGCAGGGCCACGCCGTGATGGCCACGTCGAGAACAGACTACTCAGCCTACTGCCGGCGGCATGGGGTGCAGTTCTTCGCCACCGTGGAGGAGATGTGCGAGCAGCAGCCGGATGTGGTACTCCTCTGCAGCTCCATCCTCTCCACGGAGGCCATCCTCCGCAGCATCCCCATGCACAAGCTGAAGCCCGACACCATCTTTGCCGACGTCTTATCCGTGAAGCAGTACCCCCGCAATCTCTTCCTCGAGGTCAACCACCAAACCACCATCATCCTCCATTATCCTCCGAGCAAAGATGATCTTTTTCGTAACTGGGTACTTGAAGATTGTGAACATTTTTTAGAGTTGAGGATCGTACTGAGAGGAAGTTTCTGTCTGCAACAGGTGCTGCCGCCGGAGTTTGGAGTCATCTGCACGCACCCGATGTTCGGCCCGGAGAGCGGGAAGAACGGCTGGGGGGGGCTGCCGTTCGTCTTCGACAACGTCAGGATCTCAGAGAACGGCGGCCAGGCGCGCAAGTGCGCCCAGTTTCTCGGTATCTTCGAGCGCGAGGTTCAACCCGCCGCCGAACGAATAGATGGGAAGAACATCCAAATAACTCGATCTGAAACTGATTCATCCCACTGTTTTCAGGGCTGTCGGATGGTGGAGATGTCCTGCGAAGAGCACGATCGGCACGCCGCGGGTAGTCAATTCATCACCCACACCATCGGAAGGTACGACTGAGTCCTCTCCCCTCGTCGGCTTCTGATTTGGCTTGGGTTGGTGGAGTGGTGGGTTGGTCGGAAAACACAAGCGCAGAAGAATAGTCTCTCTCTCTCTCTCCCCCTCCAGTCAACTTTGGAGGGTGGGCATTCCCAGAGATAGAGATATAAGAAAGAAAATTGACTGACGAAGAGCGGGTCATCTTCTCTCCAGGATCCTGTCGCACCTCAGCTTGGAGTCAACGCCCATCAATACCAAGGGATATGAGACGCTATTGCAGTTGGTGAGCCGTCGAAAACTTCCTCCGTTGGAAATCTTTCTTCCCAGATTCTCTCACAAAGTCGACCGCCGCCTCACTTTTAACTCTTCACCCCCCTCCCGTTGACCACCTCAGAAGGAGAACACAGTCAGCGACAGCTTCGACCTCTACTACGGCCTCTTCATGTACAACGTGAACGCCACTGACCAGGCAAGTTGCAGCTGCAACCCACCCGACATCTTTTACGTCTTCCACGTTCCCTAGTCCCGGTTTCCCAGAAAACAATCTGTGCCACGTGGTGGGTCGGCCTGGTCAACTTCTTGACGGCGGGATCTCCATTTCGGGTTGCAGATTGAGAATCTTGACCGGGCATTCGAAACGGTCAAGCAGAAGCTCTTCGGCAAACTGCACGACATACTGAGGAAGCAGATCGTGGAGAGGGTGCCCATGCCGGGGACTCCCGCCGCCGCCGCTGCCGCCCCCTACTTCCTACCGGCCAGCGATAAGATGCAGGACCTCTCCTCCTTCGCCGCCCCGCCACCGCCGGCGGCGCCGCTTGGAGAGCCCCCCGGAGATCCCGCCGCCGCCGCCACGGCCGACTCTCCCGGCCTCCGCACCCTCTCGTAGGCCACCGCTGTATTTATCCCATTATTCTTTCTCTTCCTCTCTTTCCCCCGGTGGCGAGATTAAAAACGGCCAGAGGTCCCCCCCACCTCATCTGTTAACCTTCTTTATATTCCATGCAATGCATGTGAAAGCCCTTATCCAAAATAAGGTCTATACTTTCAGCCTTGAGGTCCAGCTGCTGCACAATGTGGGGACCCCTTCCAAGGAATCCCACACAGCTGGAGGGTTGTTGGCCAACCCTGGTAACGCGGTTCGGCGGCGCCGGTGATGAAACATTGACCTCTTTGGCAAGGGCTCGGCCGTCCCCCGGTCAAAGAGTAAAACACAAATTCGTATTTATATTTTATGTAAGAAAGTCAGAGATTAGAGCAGGTAGCAAGCAAATCACAGTAGATGCTCATCTTACAGGAGCATGCCCATCTCACCTACAGGAAGCAGGACAGACATTGATGGTAAAAATCTGCAGCATGTTCGCCGCCATGGCAGGAAGCTGGCGGGTCCGTCACGCTCCGCTGGCGTAGAGAAGAGTCCATTCCTTCGCTGGTGGAGAAGGGAGAGGAAAAGGCTAAGTCAGTAAAGAATTCAGTAGATCATGGCGTAGATTGAGCAGGAACCAGCGCAGTTTCTTCCAACATTCGGCAGGGATTTGGGCGGCAGCGGCGGCTACCTGTTTCGACGGCTTCCGCTTCGTTCGTCTTCCAATGCTTTGCTATGTTCTCCGAGAGAGGGTCATCTGGGTTTGGGGCGCTCAGAAGAGCTTGGATGCTGGTTCACATGGTGGAGGAAGCATCATCTTTATGTGCAGAGAATCTCGGAGATGGACGGGATTTCTGGGTACCAACGGCCCCCAAGAACACGGCTAACCTCAGCAGCACGGTCCGGATCTGTAAGGCGGGGCTCCACTTGTCTTTGAGAATATCAAGGCAGATCCTGCCAAGCTGCCGTGGACAGTAATGTCGCTGTCAGAGACTGTCCCCCCCCCCCCGCCCCCCAAAAACCCCCCCCTGTGGTAAAAGAAAGCAAGGGAATGGAGTAGAAGATTTACTTGCCTTGTCGATGTTGGGGTGGTATATTTTTGTAAGGAAGCGCACCTGTCCCATAAACAGAGAAAAACACAAGTGAAGTACAGAGAGACTACATTTTTTCTCATTTTTTTATGGCATAATATGAACATATGAGATCTAAGCCGGCTCATAAGTATGTGATCTTCTATAAATTTGATTTGGTGAGGAGGGATCCCCTCTTCCTGGTGGTGATGGATCGGTTCATATCGTTGACTTCCCAGATATCATCTCACGGAATCAAGTACGGAACTGATTGCCATTTAAGTAAGGTCCATCTCAGAGTAAAAAGCCTGTAACCCTGTCCTTCATGGGCCTGACCTCACCGAGCTGTCCTTAAATGGAACTAGGATCTGTATTTTCTCATCGATCTCAATTTTCGAACTGAACTCGGAACCCTCAACGGAACTAACTGGAGCTCATCAGATGCCAAAAATATCATAGAATTTCTTCAATAAAGAATAGAGAGCTTTTGTGAGGCGAAATATTAATTCTTACTTTCAGAAAACCACTTTACAGTCTGATCTACGTGCCAATGAAATAACGACTAATTACAGATGTAAATACTTTCTAAAAAAACTAGTTTTCTCAAGGTTATGCCTTGGATATTGCGTTAGTATTTGAGTTAAATCATCAAATGGATATTTCCAAAAAATAATGATATGCAAGTTTAACAAAGAAAAATCATGAAACATGTTCTAAAATCCATTTGATGTTTTCCAATTAATTTGATTATATTTGACCATAGTAAAACTGATATTTCTTAACATTTAGCCTTACTTATCATCTAAAGTTGGCGTATGAACAGTAGCCTTAGGTGGGCGATATCTGCATGCAAGCTTATCTTGGCTCGTGAAAAATAGAGAATAGAAACAATGTCAAGAGAAGAAGAAATTGAGCATATCACATGACATCATGTGCTACACAGACAGTGGAAAGAAAGCAAACATGAGAGGGAGACGAGATTAAGACATTGACAAGAAAAATTCAAGAGCTGAAGACCCTTTTGGAAAAAAGCTTAACAAGCATGGCCTGACAGAAGAAATCAAATTCTGAGGAGGAACTAGCGAATTGCAACTACGGAATAGCTGACCAAACACTGCTCTGTTAAGCGCACGGGGACAAACCCAGAAAGCTGCAAGTAAGGACAATATCATGGAAGAAATCTGTTTTCCTCTTCCAGGTAACCTAAATGGGCCAGTCATAGTTCAGATGCCCTGACGGCGGAGCATATTGCAACAACAAATGATCCAAGTGTACAGGGACGATGGTTAAACTTACCATGATCATTAGTATCAAAATGTCAATCAAATTGTCCCAAGAAAACAACAGCAATATCAATATCATAATGGTGAATCTATAATTTTAAATCAGCCAATTGGTCTGAAGAGTAGAGAAAGCATAAATAGTATGTGGTATACAAAGAAATATTATGCCAGCATGCACATCCATTTTTGAAAAGCAGAAGAAACATATGAAAAGCAACAATGAACAAACTTTCCCGTATCAGATTCTAAGTTGTTCATCAACAATGGCACGGTAAGAAAAGTAGCAGTGTATTGCTGCAAAAGAGCGGGAATTTTTCATTAAAGTGACGTAAAATTGGGGCAATATATTGGCTAAAAAGTTCCAGGAAAAGCATGCAACACCATAATGGGGACAATTTTGCCATTCAAGGGACTAAAAGTTGGGGCCATTTTTTTTTACTGAAATTTGTCAGACCTTAGGGGCAGCCATTGGGTACTCTTCTGGCAAGAACAACTCCAACTTGAAAACCCCTCCTAATCACATAAAATATAATGTTACAAACAGAAATATTGACGAAATGGGAAGGTATAAAGAAAAAGTTGTCTGTCACACACTATTTCGAAGGAAGTTATCGGATAAGGAACAATTTCTAGAACACAGCGAAATAAATTAATATTATTGAAAATATCGCACATAGAAATAAATTAAGAAAAGAAGGAATACCAAAGGAGTTCCTTTTTAAATATCATCTAGTCAGCATAGTTCTACAAAAGACAGTCTGCGATACAGTTAAAACTCACTATGAAATGCACAGACGCTTTTCTAGACGATTCGAATCTCTACAGACCACCAATGTCTTAGTCACTGTCAAAAACACTACTGCTTTGAATTCCCAAAAGTTTCTTCCAATCAAGCATTCTCAGAGGTTAATCTCACGAAGGAATGCTAGAAATTTTAGGAAGAAAATTGGCCAGTGTGCGTCCCAAGGTATTTGTTATGTTTCCATGTTCGCTCTGAATATCCTTGCTCCCACTCAAACTTGAAATAATTTCTTCGAAACCTGAGGACACTCCTAGAAGTAAAAGAACATTCCACATCATCTGAGCTCATGAACATCACTAGAAGAGAAGAAAAGCAAGTTACTCAGCTATTATGCTGCAGACTGGCTCCTTTAATCATATTTCCCTACGTATGATACATAACTACTTCGACATAGTGAACTGATTGAAGCTGTCGGTGAAAGAATAATCGAAACATATGAAAATCTGCATTCCTGTGTATGATTGTCACCCTTTTTTCTGTTCCTCAAGGTTTGTCTATCTCTTCTTCATCATCTCCAACAGATCATACGAGGGTGTCTCTCCTATCATTTTGGTTATCCTATTCCTTTTGGAATCATATCTTACCTGAAAGAAAATCAAGTTGGCTTTCTCATTTTCCTCCTGTCTATAAGAAGAGGCAAATTATAGGTCTTGGATCTATTGGGCAGGGCACATTAAAACCATCTAGACGTAGTAGTATGCCCTCGTGAGATTCATCATTGATTGGACATTCATCCAGTCCGATTACCATCTACCAACATCAAAGTACAAGAAAAAAGCTGCATATTATCTGAGGATTTCTCCCCTTCTTTCCTTCTTTCATAACCTTCCCTAACAGTCGGCTGCAACTTGGTTCACTAGCAGCTTTTTCAGTTGGATTGAACGGGACGTCGATTATGATCATGCTTTACAAAGGAGCCAATCATAAAATCACCGTATTCAGTGATGTTAGTTCATTCCTTCTGTTATACGCAAATCCCATCCAAATTCCTCGACCCAGCTTTTGATGAGATGGTCCGCCCTAATGACCAGAGACTACTTATACCCAGGTCCACTGACCATCCTAAGATCGTTACTTTCGAGGTAGTCAACTTCACTGTACTGGAATCTAATTATAGTACGAAAGGAAAGGCTAACGGGTCCCCCAGTAGCATAATAATAACAACAATACTTGGGTTAGCAATAAAAAAGCCATCCAACATACAAAAGGCCACAGTATGATATATATTTCATTTTACCTTCGTATGGAGACTGGGTAGGACCAAGAATCATGACATTGAAATAGCGCATATTATCTTCAGAAGGCGACGCACTGATGCCCGGTGCTGCAGCAACATAATTTTAGACTACAATGAACAATTCTTGGATCGCAATTCTTCGCGTGCGGTGTGGATGGAAATACCAAAAAAAGCGATTAAAAACACAAATCTACTCAGCAGCACACGTCTGGAACGTGGAAGGTGGAGACATGGGACGTACCTGGTTCACTGAGAAGCCGCTGTGTTTCCTGTAAGACAACGGGAAACAGGAACCTTGTGTAAGAAAACGAGACGCAAGACAGCAAATGGAGCAAGAAGATGGCAGTCGCCTCGGGAAGAAGGGAAACGAAGAAGGCATGAGAAATCAGCCTCCAGGCGGCGGAAATGGTGGAACCGCCGACAAGAGACTCCTTTGCGCCTGTTCCACGAGATAATCAACAGCTGAAAGAATAATCACCTTAATGATCCGTCGAGGTAGATTGCTGTTCGCCATCCCGCCGGTGGAGCTCCGAGGGCTTGGCGCAACCCGCTACCCTCCTGAAGACTCGCGAGAACCGGCAGAGGACTGGCGAGAGCGCGTCGACCAGAAAGGAAAGAGTACCGTAGCCCGTCCGCCGTTCTCTCCTCCTCTCATCAGCCACTCCTCGTGGGAGTGAACTTTAATTAATGACGCCCAATCGAGCCGAGGCGGTGACGTCACAGTATTTTATTTCTTAGGAAAAGATTAAAAAAACCATTCCTCGCCAGATGAAAATGATGAAAATGCAAGTAAAAAACATTTTAAGTTCTCCTCCATTTATTTCAGCTTTCTCTTAAAGAGAGCTACTGTTAAAAACAGGAAATGGCCGGTGCAGCCCGCGTGGGTCTCACGCGAGCAAGTCTAGCCTTCCTTTTCGGGAAAGGAGGGAACAAAGCAAGTCCTCCAACTTGGCACGCATTGACAGTTCTCTCGTCGAGGGATGAAGATGGAAGCTTGGAGAGAGACCAGAGGACCAATCTCTCTCTCTCTCTCTCTCTCTTTCTCGCTAACTGTAAGCTTTGAGAGGATTCGACGGGTCGGCTAGAAAAGGGTTACCCTTGTGGTCAGCGAAGGCGGGGAGATCTAAAGCTGCAGCGGCGACGCTCTTGTCCTCCTCTGATACGGCGGAAGTCGTCGAAGAGCCTTCCTGCGAGGGGGGTGATCGAAATTTCAGACGTTGACGTGGTGGGTGACGATGAGAACAAAGCAAGAATCTCTAAGGAAACCAGTGGCTCTGATGCGATTCTCATGTACCTTCGCCCGCCGCTCTCTATGGAGCTTCCTGATGAACCCGACGAACAACAGGCGCAGCTTCTCCCCTGCGGTGTCGCTGCTGATTTCAGCAAGAACGTGCGGCCTCTGGAAAGAGGAAGAACAAGAAGAAGAAGAGGGTCGCAGAGGGTTGATGATGACGACTAAAGGGAGAACGATAAGGAAAAATCGTCCAGTTCTCACAATTAACTTCCTAGCTCCGGCTGGAGAGATATCCCACTGGATGCTCGCCACCACTTTGAAAGCTCCTCGCGTTCCAAGCTTGGCCCAGCCGAAGAAAACCCCAGAAGTTTGAATAGGGAGGGGTGCAGTCTGGTTCTCTTCTGGTTATTCACAGAGCAAGCAAAAAAACAGGGTTTAGTGAACGGTTGAATGATTACGACTTGAAATTTCGTAAAGGGTCCATAAAAAGGATGGCAAACCTGGCAAATGTTCCATAAGAATTGGTGTGCCGTGAGGATCCCCATCACGTAAGACCCCACTGACGTAGAAGGGTTCAATTGGCAATGTGCTTTGGACCCCTACAGGCATCAGACAGTGGGTTCATTGCCCCTGCAGGGGAATCAATTTGGGAGTAAATGAAATCGAGGGAATGGGAAGAGTGAGTACAATCCTGAAATGCTGGAAGACCCCATTGGTCGGGTAGAAATTCTAAAAGCGAATAGAGCACACAGTTTGCTGCCCCAAAATCATCACCCCTAAAGGGGATAGACGGAATGGCAACCACCTTCATCCCAGCTGCCTTGGCAGCTTCGATGCCAACCCTGAATAAAAGAGAGTGGCGTTAATTCAATAGAAATAATAATTACCATTTCAGGTTCCAAACACCCAACTGAGATTCATGGAACTAGATTGGTCATTTGAAATTCTCGTCATTTTTCATGCACGGTAGAAAGCCAGCTGTCAAAATTAGTTGATCCAAACTGATGCTTAATGTTTCTCAATCACGCAGTCCAGGAGCTTTTTGATTTATGGACTTGACAAGAAGATTAGTAGTCGCAATTTTTTTATTAGAAGATCAACACTTTCTAGTGCCGACAAAATTTGCCAGCTCTCATAGCACAGTAAAACAGCCATTTGTTTTCCTTGGAATAGAGGGTAGGTCTCGGAAGATGCTTGCCAAACATGAGTAAAAGCAGTCTTTTGGTTTCTTCTGTGGTTGTATAGTGATAGTGGATGTGTGGCCCTCCTTCTGGGTATCGACAGAGAAAGCCATGGAACCTAAATTACGTGTGACACAGGTTTTCTTTTGGATAAGTGGTCCACTAAGCATTAATTTCAAATTTTTGGTGTTCCAGCAATATAAATTGTGCCGACCCTTCAACTTTGCTGGCGTGCATAGAGATGAGTTAAGATAAGCATTAGAAGGATGGGAAAGACGGAGCTGCGGACTAAAGAAGATGTAAAGATCGGAAGGAATCTACAATACGACATTTCATTGCTAACATACGATGAGTCTTCTATCACCAGACACCGCGATGGATCAACACCCATCATTTTTGCTGACTCTAGATATCTGCAAAAAAAAATAATTGGATTATAACTGAATACACTATTTAGTGTAAAAAAATGCCGCACTGTGAATTGGACCGACTTAAAGTGTGATGATAGATATGACATAACTCACATGTCAGGGGAAGGTTTGCCGTGATTCACTTCATCCCCACCGAGAATCACAGAAAATGACTCCTTCCAGCCTGATTATTGTGCAAAAGAAGAAAAGTTAAGCCAAGAACGAAAAGGATGTATAAATCTCGCCTCTGAGCTGCCACTGAAAGTCGAGAGAATGGGAATAAAGTTAGCTGTTCAAGAAAGTTTAAAATAGAAGTTAGCATGTGTAAACATTTTCATGATTCCAAAACTAAGTTTTTTTGGAGACATTTATTCCTAAATGAAAAAATATCAGAAATCTAGTGAAAGAACAATGATAGTCATCCATGATGATATCAGACCGCTAGGTGTTTTGAAACATACAATTCACTGTTTGTTTTAAAAAATGATCTAAAATCTAAGATACGAACCCAATGGCAGATGGTTGGCAGGCATGCCTACACTGTAGCAGACTCGGAAATACCCTTCACTTTTTCAAGAGCTAACTGAAAGTTAGAAAATCCTAAAAGATACCTATCAGGCACTCTCACTTTGTGATAGCAGTAGTGTGTCTATCTGGCCAGCTTTCTCATTTACCAAAATAACTCAATAGTTTAGGCAATATCACTGAGGTTTACGATCTTAGTGATATTTTTTAAAGTAGTTTAGTCTTTACTGAGAAGTGATGACTGGATTCAAAAACAGAGGAAACTGGATGTCCGCTACCTGAGTGGTTTTTAACAAACTTTCAAAACTCACGTGAGACCCTGATATTTTTATAGGGACCAATGCGTAGGATGTGAATCAGTCATGACATGTTTTATTGAGACGAAGGAAATACATACCTTTCTACTCTATTTTTGGGGGGACACTATTGACAAACAAAAATAGCTAAGAAGGTTTGAGACAGACTTGTAGGTTCATTCTTCCTTCACATTATCATCAAGCATAATACTTTTACTGGGAATCATTGATAGTTCATATGTAATTTTGGTTTTCCATCTCTTCCTTTTTTGTAACTAAACAGATGTCTACACGATTATTTTGACATAATGTTCGCAGATATTAACCGAACCCAAGTGCGAGAATGCTCAGTACATTTGAGAGTTAGAGAATTAGTTTCTGATTTCATTGTGCCTTGCATCACAGTTCATATGTTTCGAAGGTCCATGCTCGATAAAACTTACTGATTCAAAATAAATAAAAGCACTTCCAAAAGCAAGTATACTAAGCGGCAAGCATATGCTGTCTATCATCCAGACAACAATTAATGTATCATGAATATCCTGATCAAACCAGCTGTTCACAAGCTTTGATCGAAGCACAAACCTTGTTGGTATGAAATTTTCTTCTGTACATTCTTCCTCACAGAGTTTGAAGCAAGAGCAAGAGGAATCCCATGCTTGTGGAGATGTTTGATGAGTCGATTAGCACCTGGAAGTGGTTTTACTTGTGGCCACCTAAAATAATGGATGCGCATCAACATCTGTAAGCGGTATTCAATCTGTCTCACTTGGTATGTGTCTGTGTGGCGCAAATGTCGTGTGTTAGAGTACGTGCGCGCCTTAGCGTACAATATACGTCCACTAATCATACTTAATCGGTACGATTTGTCTATCATTAACTTTACTGACCAAAGATGCAATTCTTCTGTGGAATGAAAGGAAGCATTAACGACAATTGGAAGGTTTAATCGTTTAACTAGTATTAACGACACGGAAGAAAATAGAAGAGGTACATTTCTGGAGTTCTCCGTGCATACAGACGTGAAGGGAGCTCTGTGAAAAAATAAAGACGGTAATATTAGTGGAGATAAAAGGTTTGAATAAGGAATTGCCTCTCTTGATACATAGGAATTATCTTCTCAGAGAACTCCTCGGCCGTCAGAGGGAGGTTGTAGTCAATGACAATGGCAGCCGCTGACTCGCAGTGCATCTTTCCCAATCTCTTGACTTCTTTCTCGGGATCCAGTACCTTCCCGTATCTCGCCAAGAACTCCTTCAGGACGCCATCTGTACTTCTCTCTGCAGTACCACACAGAATCCCCCCCGCTTCACGAACTAATCTCGAGATTTAAATGAAACACTAGACGAGAGATGAACCGGAAACGCAGCACCAAGCGAGAGAAGAGAGAGAGAGAGAGAGAGAGAGAGAGAGAGAGAGAGAGAGAGAGATTGAGTACCGGTATCCAACAACGTCCCGTCCAGATCCAGAATTACTGCTTCAACATGAGCCTCATCCATCTCCGGCCGATGGCCAGAGCGCATTCGAGAGAGGACAAGGCCGATACACACAATTGCCAGGGGCAGCGAGAAGGAGGAGGCGATGCGGTTGGAGTAGGAGGCCACCATCAACCATCCACAGAGCCCCGTTTTGCCCTCTGAGGTCCGCCGGCGCAGGCAGTTTCTGGAACGAAGGGAAGGCCATCGTCTGGGTGGATACCACGCTGCCTCTCCACTCCCATCACCTCTCGAGTGGGTCTCTCCCGTTTGGCGCCAACTCTTAAAAATGCATGAATCTGGTGCTCTCCCTTAACATCACCGCCCCCCCGGCATCTTCCCAATTACAAAGGGTGCCTCTTTAATTTTTAAGATAAAAATCTAGAGAAGCCACTGACATCTCAAAAACTAAAGGACCAAATAACGGGCAAATATTACGTAATTTTATGATGTTCTCTTGGAACATACCGAGGTCAGCGATATATATATATATATATATATATAAAGGGTTAGCCAATTGGATGATGAACACATGAAACATAGCAGAACAGCGACAAATAACAGTATGCTTCTCCCCGAATTCATATCGACGACTAAAAATAGAAACCACAGAAATAAAAAACATCATGCAATTCCCATACGGTGGAGGAGAGGTAGACGGCGGCGAGCGGCGAGCGGCGGTGGCTGGGCGGCGGGGATGAGCCGAGGTCCACGGACGCTCCTACTGACTAAAACAGAACGCGCTGCTCTCTGCGGACACGAGGAAATCTGGAGCGAGAGGGGGGCCCTTACGAATCGGAAAGGAGACAGTTTTCGTTTCCAGTCTCTGCAAAGAGAGGTCGGGGTCCCAGTTCCAGCCGCACTGATCCTCACTGCAAGAGGAGGATAAAAATAATGAAATGGTCTGTGGTTCCAAAGACTACATGATATGACGGGCAGGGAGCTCACCTCCATGTCTTCGCCGGCGCCTGCCCTCGCGGTGCTTTCCCTCACTGAGTCCTCTGTCACAGGGCAAGTTTGATTAGAACGATGCCATTGTTGGTCGTGAGAAGACAAAGAGAGCGAATTTATAGCCTTTCTTTCTTATGGAATGGAAGAGGAGATCAACATAAACGATTCAATCATCATCTTGGATATGCCGGCTTTTGTCTGAACAAGAGAGAGAACATCAGGAAAGCAAGGACCAGGCCCGGTGGCTGTTAGATCTTCCCCTCGGTGAATGAGCTGAAGCAGGCGCAATTACCACATTGAGACCATGGAAATCGTTTAGACTTGGTCGGGTGTTGAGGGCGTTAGAGCCCAAAGAAAATGAAATCTTATTGGTGCCATCGGCAGGCATGAGAGACGGGAATGTGGAGACGGGAATCGGTTCAATCCATGAGAAAAATGTCGATTTCAATAAAGTATGAGAGCTACCAACTATCATCGCCGAAAATAAAAATGGTAGAGATAACATTATAAACAAGAATCATCCAGATTTAGAGTCGCATCAACGAACATTGTTAGCATTCCAAGCAAATCGGAGGGTTTTAGGTTCACCCACATTATAAAAATATAAAAATTCAAAGAATGTACAGTCATGAAACCAAAGGTTAATCTTTCAAACGAATTGAAAAGTTACCTGTCTCGTCCGTGATGTCAGACGTCCACAAGGTGAGGTTATCTCTTAGAAGTTGCATAATCAGAGTGCTATCCTTGTAAGACTCTTCACTTAGCGTATCAAGCTCAGCAATCGCTTCGTCAAATGCTTGTTTTGCAAGGTGGCAGGCCCTAATCGTACGAGCCACAAGACTCAGATAATAATATACAGAAGTAGAGAGAGACAATAACAAGTCACTAAGCACAATCTCCATACCTTTCAGGCGAATTCATAATCTCGTAATAAAACACGGAGAAATTCAACGCCAAGCCCAATCTAATTGGATGAGTGGGTGACAAATCAGCCTCAGCAGTAGCCGTAGCTGTCTGCAATGTTGACAAACACATTTCATATTTGTCGTTTTCTTCTTGGAGGGGAAACTAGATGTTGAACCCAATTCCAAGGAAAAGTAAGCATGTAAAGTTTTCTGAATGGGTAAATTTCCAAATCCTTGGATCAATAAAAGAATACAAAACGGTGAAATTTAAATCAACCCACACTTACGAGCGAAATATGCGATAAGCAATACATGATCTACTTAGACAAATTAATCACGTACTTGGAATTTAAGCTGATAATCTACAAAAAAAAAAATCTACAAAAAATTCACTTGAATTTATATCAAAAATCGCATAGAAATTTTTACACATTATCTTTTTTTAAGGCACATTCCAGATAAAGCAGCTCATTCAAGTCCAGACGCAATGAATGTATTTCTCACGCATGCGAGGGAAAATGCTTCACTATACACCCGGATATTGGCTTCTCTTTGTCAGTTCTACAGTGGACCACACACTTAAAGATAGAGAAAATAACAATGCAACCAATAACGGACAATCATATAACTCCAAATGCTTGTTATATATTTTGATCATCTAAAGACGAGATAAAAGAGAACAAAAAAAAACAAATTAAGAGTTAGTAAACCTATAAGAATGACATCGTTGATAAAAAAATCGAGATATCGAAATCAATAAGCCATAGAAACTACTGAATTAGAACTAACCACGTAATTTAAGAAAACATCACCAATCCTCTAAGTATATTTTTCAAGTTACTGAGTTATAAAATACAGATTCAAATAAAACCAAATGTATAACTCAGACCATCTAGCATATGAATGCTGATATAAGCAGCAAAAGGAACTCCTGTTTAAGTTGCAAAAAAAAATGGTAGTTGTACTTCTGCAAGAAAAAAGAACTTCCATTTGCTATGGGGATGCTGTGCTAAAAGTTCACCCCAAAATGGGAACGATCCCACGCTCGACATACACACTTCACGGGAATAAAGCCCTCGTCAAGACTCTCTACCAAAGAAAAACGATTGTTTCTAGAAGAAAGTATACTCTCAGAAGATACTAATCTACAACATGTAATAGAAAAAGAAATTTTACAATCCATTATTTATCATCAAAGTGAATCAAACTAGGAAAATTCAGTTAATTTTTATTCAGTAAAGTCACCAAACGCCATAATCACAAAAAACGCAAGAAATCCATGGTGAGAAAAACCTATGGGTTTTGCATGTGTAGAAAACAAAAACAATCGAGGACTGACATGGCAAGAACATATGGAGGATAATTTGAAGAGAAAAGTCATGACACGAAAAACAGATTCAGCCATGGAACTATATTCTAAAAGTCATACCTCATACGCTTTCAGGGACTGATCAGCAGCTTCCTTTTTCTCGCTTGCAGACTTAAACTCTGCTAAGTAACGATAGTAATCCCCCTTCCTGAAGTCACCCATAACAGGTCAGTAATCAATAAAGAGCGGACAGAAGGAAATTCCCAAACATCTATGTTAATCGCTCACATTTTGTAGTAGAAGACGGAGGACTCCCCGGCAGTGGCCGATGGGATAAGGTGCTCATCGATGACTGTCGTGATGTCCGTGCAAATGCCGCTGAGCTCAGTCTCCACCTGCTGACGGTACTCCTTAATCTTCCGCACATTCTGCTCGTTCCCTTTCGTTTCCTCCTTCTGTTCAATCGATGACAGGATCCTCCACGAGGCCCTCCTTGCCCCGATCACGTTCTTGTACCCTACGGAGAGCAGGTTCCTCTCCTCTACGCTCAGCTCCACCCCGAGGCTCGCTACCTTCTTCATCGACTCCACCATCTCTGGAAAAAAAACCCGCCGAAACCAGTGCCGCGTTCAAATCCTCTAAGGCCATTCCAACCCGACCGCCAGATCTCCAACAGAAACCCTAAATGAAGGGTGATCCAGATCTGGAGAGGAAAAGCTTACCATCGTATCGCTCGGCCTGCTCGGCCAGCTTGGCGATGTAGACGAAGTTCTCGCGCTCCCTTCCGGTAGCCATTGCAATCCCCTCTCCGATCTGATCTCTCCCCGCTCCTCCTACCCCCCTCCCCACCCTACCCTTTTCGCTCTCTCTCTCTCACTTCCGCCTTTCTTGCCACTTAAAACCGCCCTGTGGTGAGAAGAACGACCGCCAAAATTAGTAGCTGAAAAGATAGAAAAAATTATAGGCCGTTGGATCCCACGCCGTACGGCGGATTCGATGATTGGTGGCATCGGATTCCTCAACCCGCCCCGCCTGTAGACCCGATAAGAGCGAAATTCGGACCAACGAGCTCGTTGACAACGCTCTCCACTTGCCGAGAATCGTTTGGGCCGGGCTGACGCCAGAACCTCAAATAGCTGGCCCATCTTTGGGGCCATTAGTTTAAAGCCCGTTCTCTCTCTCTCTCGCTCACTTTTGGCTTTTCTCCAGGGCCAGTACTAGAAGGCCCGGTTAGAGGTACGGGCCCGGGCCGACCCTCCATGCGTCAAAATGTAAAAAAAAAGCTCACGTGAGACTGGTGCATACACGTGAACAGATCTCCCATCAACCTTGGGGCCCATTACTTTAGAGAGCCCCGTTCCTCTCTCTCTCTAGGGCTTCTCTCCAGGGCAAGTACTAGATCAAGCCCGGTAAGAGATGCGGGGCCCGGGCCCGTTGACTCTGCGGGGTGGGGGACACCCGAGGTTGAGGTTGACCTTGCAAGGGTCCAAATGTATAGAAAGCTCACGTGAGTCCGGTGGGTACACGTGAGCCGATCTCCCACCAAACTAAAGGTTGGCGGGGATGAGCCTGCGGGACTCCTGCCGCTTCAGGCTGTCCGCCACGTGGGCAATGACGCCAGCACCCTCGTTGTACAGCCACTCGCTCTTCACCTGCATGGGGAGGGAGTCACGGGCCTCAATGACGTGGACGGCTTTCGGAGTCGTTAGCATTCATCGCGGGGTAAGGTGTTCTCCCTACGTGGATGTTGTTGTGGGCGAAGAACGGCCAGGGCGCCGCGTGGAAGCTGACGTCGACCTTGGTCCATCCGAGCCCTTGCAGCCCATGAATCATCTCCTCTGATCACAATGAAGAGTCACGATTTTGCCAACAGAGCAATTAGACAAGCTCTAATGACGATTTACCTTCCATGAGATCATGATACTCATTGGTGTTCTTCAGGTTCGGTGAGACTCTGGCGGCCGCTTTGGCCTTGGCCGCTTCAGCGGTGAAGTGAGGGTTCTCGGAGGGGACGGGAGGGCAGTATTCAACGCCCACCACGTGCTTATAGCCCTCAAGGGACAGGAGGGGAGGCTGCAGGTTTTAGTGCAAAAGTCAAATGAGAGAGAGAGAGAGAGGGGAAGGAGAAAATCTGATGAACCAGAGACCTTGATGAGCTCCGTTTCTCTTCTGATGGAAGACGTCCTCCAGCCGACCATATCTGGATAACCCTAGTCAGGAAATCTGGTTTCTGAGATGCCCGAATAAGAAATTTAATTTCTCAAATAATGTAGATTTATGATCGCAAGTTGTGGATACGATCATATGCCACGTTGGCGTAGACCATCCGAGATCTGAACGCCCCGAGAGAAGATCTGCAAGAACAGTGATAATAATAATAATAATAATAATAATACTAATAATAATAATAATAATAATAATTGTGCATGATTTTGTGGAGCTTACAGGAATCTAAGCTCTTCTCTGTCGGATGCCATTCTTAGAAGAAGAGGGGGTTTGCTGGGTTTGCCGTCCGTGAGGAAGAGCTGGCGACCAGTTCGGCCGGCCAGACGAGATCCAACGGAGGGAGCGAGCTTTTCCAAGATAGGAACGCCCAATAGAAAAGGCAGCTGAAGAGATGGAAACGACGAAATAGTTAGCCACTGTCATCTAATGAGTAATGATGAGACATGCTCTATTTGGATCAGAAACCATATTAAATGATATAATACGCATGTCGGAATGGTAGGAGATGATCATTTATTTTTCCTAAATTAGGTGTTCTAAGAACCATATCTACAACGCATTCAGGAGGGTTCTCCACATATCTTGAGACTGATTGGCAGGGATAACCAAGAATTACAGGCAGTAGATCACGAACAAAGAGAAGGGTAGCTAAAAAAATAACATAAAGTTGAAAAAGTAGATTAAATTTTTTTTTTGATCATTTTAATCGCTCTATCTGTTTTTGAGACTGAAAATTTGCAGAGAAGAGATGAACCGATAAATAGCCATCAGAAAAAGACCTGTTTTTTTCCCCTGACTCCGAGATGTGGCGTTGCCAATGTAATAAAATTGATGGGCTCTAGTCCTGCGATCGTTCCTGATTCAGAAGAGTGAAGCACGGCAACCGCATATCTTGAGAACAGCCCGCCCAAAGAATGTGCCAAGAAGGAGATCTTCTTCAAGCTCTTGGTCTTCTGGACGACTTGGATGACCTGGCCGAAGCAAATTATGATCAAGGATTCATGGCATTTGCTTTTTATCAGGGAAAAAAATGAAGGGCCACCGATATGCCATACGTATGGTAGATGGCAACTGGCGCCTGATGGAAATGAAGAACACAGCTTACTTCTTCTGCTAGCCGTCTCCCAGCTCCATCAATCCCGGTGAATGTTCTGGTAAAAGTATTGGAGGAGCTTGCTAAGCAGAGACACGAAAGAGGAAACCCCTTGTTATTTTTCAGAATTTCTAGTGAATGCGATAGACAATATATACATGATTATGCAAGGCACATCAGGGCAAAGGAATGAACTCCAGAATCACTCTGTGAGGGCCTACCATAAATTAGAAAGTTACTTCCAAGTTGCCTCTTCAGTTCTGACTCAGCATACAACCAATCGCTAGGGCTGCAAAACATACAACAACCGATGAAATATTAGCCACTAAATAGAAATCACGGCTGAGAAAGCCAAAGGAGAAATTCGGCTATCCATTCCGAAAAGCAGTTTCCACAATTAGAATCAAAGAAATTTTCAAAAAGAATCGTGGGCCACTGCTACTGTGAAAGTTTGATCCGAACATTTCAACGATTTGCAACACGTTCATGAACTTAAAAGGATGTGGAAATAAGGCCATTGATGCCAAAAATGATACAAACAAGGAAACAAGGATGTGAGTCTGTACATATACAATTTTGGCACTAGGATGACGAGATTGTTGATCAAGACAGCTTAAAGCACATCACATAACAGGTAAGGTTATGGACTCTCAGATTTAAGGTAAAAGAAGGAAATATCAGAAGGGAAGAAGGGGAAATTCTTCAACAAATAGCGAGGTTTGATCTCAATTGTGCGACTGTTTGCTCGATTTGGAGGAGGAGGGCTTGTCATTTTTTAAAAGTTAGTGATCCTTAGCATGCCCGTGATTTCAATCTCACCATCACCAGATATAGGTATACACTCGACTATGAAAAATTACCTAGCCAAGATGCCGTGAACAAGGACAAGGAGATGATCAAGCTCCTTTTTGTCCCCCGCAATATCATTGGATCCTCTCACACTCCCCTCAGGCCAGTCCATTGCGTCGGCCTTAGGGTTCAAAGCATATCCGAGGTCGTTGAGCAGACCTGCATGTTACGAAGCCCTCATCATTTCCGTGACCATAAAAAGTGCACAATCCGCATAGAAGAATGACCACGGGCAATGGATGCATAATTGCACCCAGACAAAGAATCATATGCATAACGAATTAAATATCAGAGTTGGACTACATATCTGACAATCTGATTCCAACCACTAACATGATATTCTCTTTGTGAATGAAGCTGAATTATCTTGATGGAACCGAGAAACATTAGCGAAAGAGTTTCTCTCTGTGGATGAGCATCCAGGGTAACCGGCCTCATGTACGTTGATGACGCAAGAGGTAGACCTTCTCCAGCAATCAACAGAGATAAAATGAACTCCACCAAGTTCAATCATAATTAAAAACAGAATTATTCTGTTTTTTCCCTTTTCAGGAAATAATACGAGTAACCACCTGATGACCGCGCCACAACGTTACAACCCTCTCATAGATAGAACCAAGCAGACGATTAATCTCCAATATTTCCGGAGGGAGGGGACGGGACCTGAAAATTCGGCGAGATGGAGGAAAGCTCCGGGGAGAAGAGAGGCGGAAGAGGGGTACCGAGGCTCGAATACCAACGACGCGCGCCCCCAATTCCTCCTTCTCCTCGATGCAACTCCAGAATTTGATGCAAGAGCAGGATTACGGACACACTGGTTGTCGAACCAGCAACGGCAAGCGTGGCAAGCGATAGGACCGGGGTAGCAGTGGAGCAGGGATGGCGTCACAGAAGCAAGCGCCATCTGATCCCACCGAACAACAACTATTAATAGCACCGGCGAAAAAAACAAGGAAAACGGAGAAAGATGCAGTCAGCAACGGATCAGGTTGCAGTCAGCCGCTGCTCCTTTCCCGATGCTTCCGCCGCTCCCTCTCCTCTTCTCCCCATGACATCACCGCCCGCCTACTCGCCCGCTGCCGCCGCCCTATCCTCTCATGCTGTGAACGACGGCACCATGGCGGAAGCAGGGGTGGAGGAGTGAAGACAAGGGTGAAGACGAAAATTTCCAAATATATATATACCTTTTTCATACGCAAAAACGGCTATCTTGGAAATAGGCAGATGTTTCAAATAAATCTCTTTTAAATATTACCGTTTTTCGGAATCAAAGTACTGCCCAGCGCTTCGGGAGTGGAACCTCGTGGGGATGATCGGAATGGGTATGAAAAAAATTCCCGGAAAATAAGATCTCACTGTAGACATTTCAATAAACCCCCATAACTTATAAAATTAATATTCGACACCGAACACGAAGACACTTCTTCCTCTTCTTCTTCTTCTTCTTCTTCTTCTTCTTCTTCTTCTTCGGGGAGAGAGATTGATAGAGAGAGAGAGAGAGAGAGAGAGGAGGAAGGTTTAATCGGCGCTGGGAGTGGGGTTTCCCTCCGGGAGTCCGCCGCTGCTCCGGTCGTACTTCTTCCAGCACTGGTGCTTCCAGCACTGGCACTGCGACCTCCGGAAGCTCATAATCCCCACTCCCTCCTCCTTCCTCTCTCCCCATTCCTGCTTCGGCCCCGTCATGCTCGCCGAGAGAGAAAGAGAGCGCAGGTTGCCGCCACTCGCCGTTGACTGCTTCAGCTGCCGCTGCTGCTGCTGCTTCTCAGTCCTCTCTCTGCTCCGTAGCCACAGCTCCCTCATCCCTCGCCGCACCTCGCAGGAACCCTCCTCGTGCTGCCCGTCGCAGAACCCGCACTTCAGCTTCTCCGTCGCCGCCGCCCTCCGCCGCCGGGCTTCTCTCGTTCTCTGCGCCTGCTCCCAGGAGAGGGCCAACCTGAAGGCCTCCTCCAGAGACTGTGGCCGCTGCGGGATGATCCAGTCCTGGTAGTCCTCCTTCAACCCGTCGACAAACAGCCCTCTCAGCATGCCATCGGGTATCCCGTGCGCCGGCCACTTCCTCAGAATCCACTGCATCCGCAGGTAGTACGCGTTGACGGTCTCTCCGTCCTCCTGCTTCATGGCCATCAGATCGGAACGGGACTGCTCCGCCGTCTCCGGCCGGCAGAAGGCCGCCATGAAGGAGGCCTCGATCTCTTCCCAGGACATGCCGGAGAGGGGCTCCACTTCGAGCTCGTACCACAGCGCCGCCTCGCCGTCGAGGGTGACCGGGAAGACCCGGGCCATCATTCCCGGCGACGGCGCGTTGTTCGCCCGGCAGACCCTCGCGAAACGCCGCATGTGGGCGACCGGGCACTCGCCGGTGCCGCCGCGGAAGATGGGCAGCGGCGCGACGGCCACGTACGTGGCCGGAGTAGGGACACCGCCCCCGTCGCTCCGCGACGAGTCCGCCGCCGCCGTGGGGGTTCCTTCTCGGCCTCGATTCGAACCCGAGGAGAAGCAGTAGGAGTAGGAGGACGCGGCAGTCCCGGTGGTTTCCTTCAGGGATTTCTCGTCGTCGGCGGAGTGGAGTTGCCGGGGTCTGGTCACTGAGGTGTCCTCGTCTTTATCTTCTTCATCATCTTCGCCGTCTGTGGTGGCGTAGTGCGAGGTGGTGGGAGTCGGAGGGCTCCGACGGCGCCGCCGGAGGTGGCGGTGGCGGTATCCCATGGGCTCGGTGAGTTGCCGTCGGCGGTTCCGACACGCCGTGTAAAAGGGAATGGAGGAAAAGTACGAAAGGTCGTCTCCGGCAACTGCAAATTTTCAGTTATAAATGGAGGTTAACGGTCCCCCTAAACTCCATAGGCCAACGGATAACATGCATGTTATTTTTTATTGCATATTTAAAAATATGTGATAATTACATGCAATAAATAATCAAACAAAATATCATGATATTTTAGGATTTAAGGGAAAATATACATAAAAAATATGGAAACTAATGTTATACATACGCTCATTTTTTTTACAAAATCAACGTTTAGCTAAAAAAATATATTAAGTTGTTGATGAACAACGGGGGGTAATAAATCATTTTTAGAAAAAAAATTCGTCTTCGATTTATTTTCTCGATATATTTAATTCGTAATATATTTAATTTTACCATAATTGATGTAATTAAATGTAACTATAGTAGATTCTTTAACTATTGCACTAACTTTTCTGCATCTAATGAATATTTCAACGTTTCAAAACCTCATTGGTCAGAGAAAAATCCATCCTAGTCAGCAGGCCTCAAGAAAGCTGCTACTCTATCAGATAGACGTCTCCAGAGCCTCCAAAACTGGACGGCCCCCTTGGTCTCTCTGCGCCGCCTCACGAAGGTCCGCTTCTCGCTGGTACTCTCCTCAGGAGCCTGTACAGGCCGAAGGCGTTCTCCTTGTGCCAAAGATGCGGGATGAAGAACGACCGGTAGACGGCCGGCGAGAGCTCCCGGTCGAGGAAATGGATCGCCGCCAGCGTCTGAAATCACCATGGCGGCCTCAGATGGAGAGATCGATCCGGCCCAGACGATGGAACAGGAAGCTATTTTTACCTCCCACTGCGACAGATCGCTTCCTCGAGAAGGGTACGGGCGCCTCAGGTCCAGCTCTACGAGGAATGTGCAGACATCGAGATCCTTCAGCTGAAGAATTTCCAGAGCATTAGCGTGGCGTATTCTTATGAGAAATCATGGGAGTGGAGTTCTCAGAAATTACGTATTGCTGGTCGGACGCCGTGTTCTTGCTGTTGAAGTGGGGTGGCGATGAGGCAGTTCCTCCGAGCGTTGAGTTGAAAGGGAAGGGAAGGAGCCCGCGGAAGCCATCGTCGATCCACCGCACTTGGCTGATGTACGAGGGCACGAAGAAGGAGGAGGGGTACCGGTGCCATTCGCTTCCGACACAGAGCACAGAGCCTGAAATGGGGAAATCAGTACCAGTATACGAGCTCAGAGAGCAGTCATCTATGGCTACGGCTATGGCTATGGCTATGGCTATGGCTGTGCTGAACAAGCCCAGAGATCAGTCACCTCCCCATTTTGCCCTCTGGCAGCACCCGAAGGCCCGCCACTCCCTCTCTCATCTGCGTCCCTGATCAACAGGAGATTCACAGACCAGCATCTCCTGCGCATCTCCCTCCCATCAACCAGAGGTTCACCACAGCCTCCTTTCCTACAGCCCAGAGGCCTTCAACATCCTACATCAATGGCCATCTTTGCAGCCTCCTCTGTAACCAAACAAATGCCTAGGCCCAAGAAATTACTTGTCCAAAGCCTGTCAGTTCCTCTGCCCTAATCACAGGGAGCTCCAGCATCCTCCCTTAGAAGGGCAAAAGCCTGAGGACGACAGGACCTGAAGAATGCCAAGCTTGTACTGAGCAAGCTAAGGGCGTCCTAGGGCCACCTACTAGTAACAATGAGAAATTTCAGTAATCTATGAAATAAACAACAAATTGGAGAATTGTGACTGTGATTTACCATCAACCAGATAATCTGTGACACATTTAAACCTATCTTTGAGATTAAAGAAAACCCAAGTTAACAGCATAAAAGAATATTAGTCGTAAGAGCAAAGTCTGACATTCTCAAACATTTAAATAGGCGATGTGCTTCGCTTCATATGAAAATAGGGAAATTATTTTCTTCATTTCTAGTACCCGTATGTTGAGGAGTAGCCCTTACAAACATACATCATATATGCAACTACAAACTTTCTTCCTGCAATCATTTGGAGATAACTCACGGCAATTAATGTACACAATTAGCTAACTAATAAGCTGATCCGTCATTGTAGACTCATGCTGCCCAAAAACTTCCAGAAATTTCTGGAGAATCGGCATTTTTTGAGTCAAGGGAACTGAGACTGAGAATCGATTGATATAAATGCAAAGCATAAACATAATCACCCATGAAGTTTTAAGAATGATATAACATGGAATAGAATCCGGAGCATTTCTAAGTTGATTAGAAGAATTCATTTATAAATGGTAATTATTCTGAAAATACTTTTGACAAACCCCTTTGGAAGTTTTATTGAACGTATTACCTACTCCAGCATCATCGTGATGCTCTAAGTGCTTGTATATTGCCAGTGGTGCAGAGTATCCATGAAGCAAAGAGAAAGTCCGGCTGTGGGAGGTGCATAATATGACTGAAAGAACTATTGGTCTGATTGCTTTGGCAACCTGCTCAAGTCAACCAACAGAAGTAAATGACCCACTTTGGCCAGCAAGGTGTAAAGGGAAAATAAACAAGACAGCACTAAATTTCCCCATTACCTTAACAATAATTGAGTCTTCAATCGCATACTTGTCACGGAAAAGATCTGGAATGCTTTCGATAACAGCTGCTGCAGCAATGCAAATAAGTGGGTATATTGGATAGAGAAATCTGCAGATAGACAGCAAGTTAAGGTTCTTTGAACATACACCTTGCACACGAGAAGACCACTCAAAAGGGCAGGGTCAGGTGGCATGGATAGCTATTGAATTTTTTTAGGCAAGATAGCCAATCGAGAAAAAATACCGATCAATTTAAAAATTACAATGATTCAAGGTAGCACATACCCTACCCAAAAATATATACGGGTTGCTAACATAATCCCATTTCCAGTGGATTGAACTTGACAGGATCCAAAGGAACTGATTTCAGTATCACAAACTGAAACTTGATGCTAAGATGATTTCAGACTTTAGATAAATATTGTACAGAAGCAAATAGAAAACACATGCATATCACGTACACAAATTCAGAAATTTATCTCTTTCAAGATACTTTATGCGTTAGTATCTTGTAAAATCATTAATGGACTTTGTTGAATTAGTATCTTGTAAAATAAGTGTATTGAGGATTACAAATTAAACAACAAACTGATAATTAACAGTTCTATAAACCACTATTCTAAGGCAATCGAGGTGCTACTTTCTGATACTCTACTTCCATTAAGGGGAAAAGATCGCAGGAAGCCTGTGTCTTGGTCTCACTGGATGAACACAAACCCGATCCAATGAAAGTTCTATATATCTAACAACTAAAGACATCTGGTGTGCGCAGAGCAATTTGCCCAAGTTCAAGACCACATATCAAATGCATTTGATGAGCTAGCTTCTTATATGAGCGAATAAGGATGATGTATTAGTCTGCAACCAATTTGGACTGTAATAGTCAATAGAGAAATAAATTCCACTCCCATGGAAAACAAGTATAGCTATTGATGCTCTACAAATATGATGAAGCAAAGCAGCATTTTTCAAGCAAAATCTGATAATCTGTCGGGCCAGGAAATGCAAAAAACACAAACATCGCACGCATTTTTACCTTTCTTCTTTATGAGGCTGCAAAGACATAAAAATCAGCCAGATATAGACAGGGGCAACCACAACCAATAGGTCTGGTGCATACTTTTTTCTTGCAATTGGCAGAATAGCCAAGAAGAGCAGGGCAAGAATGAAACAAAAGTTGAAGTTGTTGAATCCATTTTTAAAATAAAAGAGTGGCCCTTCTGTTCCATACAAATGACTTTCACCACCCCCTAAAACGTTGTAAGCCAATAGATTGACAACAGATGATGTCCATCTTCCATAGAAGTAGCGGTCAACAAGTACTGAAATGGCCTGAAAAGAAATCCAAAGATGCTCGTTATTGTGGTGTATGAAGACCAAAATATGCATCAAGTTCACCTATTATTTTGTGTCAAGAAATTAATTATTGTGAAACTTACAAGAATGAGAATAGAAGTAATTGTGCCTGAAAGAAACACCAGTTTGAAGTTTCCTTTTGTTAAGGAATAGATTGTAAGAGGTAGAACAACTAAAACTGAAAATGGCCAGCCCACAATGACTCCTGCTGCTGCTACTGAAACCGCCATAGCATGTCTACCAAGAAGAAACAGAGCTGACGAAAGAGTGACAGAGTACATTGAAAAGCTGCTGGGCAAGAAACCTGAAAGCGCACCCATTGCTTAGTATATCAGAAAAGTCACAGCGAAGAAGAAAATAGTTGTAAACTATTAATGAGAAGAGGAATTATTACACAAAAAGGATGAGGTAAAAAATACTCACTTGTGCTAGCAAAAAAACAGCCACTTGTCAAGCATAGCATGGCAAGGGTATAACAAGCGAGCCTATTACCATACTTCTTCGAAAGTGCTACAACCAATGCCGTCTCTGTGACTATTGAGATTAGGCCAAGGAACAGTCTGACTGAATAAAAGACCCTAACCTGGTTTACTCAGCACAGAAGTCACAGGAGAAGGCAGAATGTCAAACTTAAGGCATTGGAAACCAATCGAAGGAAAAAAGATAAAATAAAAATGTGAATTGGACGCAGCACCTTTTCATCACTGAACAACCAGGAAACAGGTTCGGCAACTAATGCATGAAAGAAAATGTAGAGGTAAGATCGAAGGGCAAATGCAGAGCTGCAATAGAAAAGTACTAGTCATCAGTCTGAGGAAAAGAGGGATACGATATTTCCAAGAAATAGATGCTGAGCACTACTGACCGAATTGTTTCAGTTGCTCTATGAATTAACACCATAAGAGTAAACGAGTGTACTAGAAGACAAATGCATAAATATTTACTGTCATGCATGCTATGCTCTTAGTTATAGTGGCGAATAGTCTGAGGTAGCAAATAACCCAGGATTTGATGAATTGGCTTCATATATATTGAAGGCCGCTTTACACCACCACAGGGAGAGGCTGTCAAATATTCATTTTTATGTTGCTTATGTAAACGGGATCCTCATAGAAATAATGATAAAATGAAAAAAATGTTTCCTAACTTAAGAGGGTATCGGGGATAACACGAGATAAAAGAGAAATCAACACTGCGCTGAACTACAAACATGCAAGAACTGGCACATCATTATCGCGATGCATTCCCCAAGTCATGCGGTCTTCTGTCCGATGGCTGCCATAATATTACATGAGCAAACTCCCCGGTGCCGGGGCAACAGGCGAACAAAAATGATTAATAAACGTTGGAAGGGATCAACGAATGGCAGGATTGGAGACTCGCCTGTACTCCCAGGTCTGAAAACCAGACTTGTAAAGAAGATAGTGGAGAGGTTCCCAGTAATTGAAAACCTCATCGCAGTCGTGGATGATGTTCGAGGTGGCGCTCATGTACCTCAGGACCCCGAGCGCCATGAGCGGTAACACCCACCTCAGGCCCCTTCGCCCCTCATCCTCCTGTCCCTTCTTGTCCTCCTTCGAGTAGGAAGATTCCCCCCCCACCGCCGATCCCCCCCTCGGCGGGCGGCGCTGCCGAGCCATCGAGAGAGCCATTGAAGCAACCCCAAAAGCAGAATCGATCGCAGTAAGAACACCCCACCCCGTCTGTCAATAGCAGTGTACTTTCGACTCCTTTATTCGTTTCTTCTCGAGGAGATTTTCCTCCGCCTTTCGATCCCGTGGAACGTTACGTCTCCCGATCCGACGGTCTGCATCTAATCCTCCGCAGGTACGGTTGATTTGAAAATAATCATCACCCCTGTGGACACGTGGACGGTGATCAGCGGTGTCCCCAGGATCATCAAAATCAAACGGTTGACACGGGGCCACGAAAGGGAGGCGAGGACCAACGGTTGAAACGGAAGATATTTCTTATTTTTAGGAGATTTAGCTCTGGTTCGATCGTCTAGCCAGTTCTACGCACTGGCCATGGCCGTTCTCAACACCTCGGTGGCCTACTGCGTCGCCGTCCGGTCGTCGGCGGCGACTCCATCATCGTCTGAATCGAACAGCGTTCAACCACCTGGCCGTCAGCCGCCGCCGTCCTCGTCGTCGTCCTTCGATCCTAAGCAGACGAAGGTGATCCTGCCGAAGAAGAAGCCGCTCAAGTGGTCCACCGGTGTCGCCCCCGGAGAGTACGGAGGACCACCGACCACCACCAAGCTCCGGAAGTACTGGGGCGGCGGCGGCCAGGAGGATCCCGTCACCGCAACCGATGACTTCATCTGGAACAAGGACTTCGTCGATCGCATGAAGCGTCTCATCAGAGAAGGGGATGATAGTGGCGTTAAACCTAGCGTCGGCTTCCTCCCGCTTTCTCCTTCACAGGTGACACACATTATCCGCCCCATCCCCGTTTGACTGTTTTTCCTAATTTTTTATGTTGAATTAGCTTTGCATAACGACTTTCGTTTTGCTGTTAAGGCCAACTCGGGTTTCCTGAGCCTGAACCGAGCTATGAGCCTTGACAGGTCGAATTCTGACCCTCTTGATTTCCTCGAGTACTTTTTTGGCATCCCTGTTTCTATAAGTAAGTGTAACAATATTTCTTTGCTGTGCAGCGTCGATTTAGATCTTAGTAAGGAGCTGGCACCACCGCCAAAGTCCGTGCTGGAGGAGCAGGTTGAGGCGGCAAGGCGTGGTCGCGCTGTTGCAACGGAAGTAAGTCAGTCTCCGTCCATGTTACACTGTTCTCCCTTCATATCCGTTTTCTATGTTTTCCCCATTCTTAATCTATAGACTAAAGGAGGTCTTGTTATTTGATTTTAGAGGCTGAGCAATGCACCGTCACCAAGATGGAGGTTGGCCCCGACTAGGAAGGAACAGGCGAAGTGGGATCGTGCAAGCAAGGGTGCCACAGGGGGTAGTGTGAGTAACCCGAAACACCAGGGCACCAAACACACACATCCAAGAGAAAAAATAAAATGATTGGAAAAACATGAAGAAAAAAAATTGTATTCTTGTCGTACTGCTATCCAATCCTTTTCCTTTTGCGTCCTACTGACTATCTGTGATGTGGGGAGACCAAATGTTTCAAGAAGCTCATCAACGTTCATAGTAACATTTTGGTTGTAGAGGCATCTATTAATCATTTATTATTTTCGCTTATTTTTAAAATTTTCTTCTCTTGGTTACATCTCCTTTTGTTTTACCCCGCTTACACATTTTTAATGATAAAAAACTACATAAAAAATGTTGATAGCTCAGGATTGTGGAGGAACTAATTGAGGATTTGACATCCTCTTTTTTGTAATCAATATCGCGCTGTTATGTGATTTTGAGCGTATAATGGTGGAAATTACTTTATCATCTTAGGATGAAGTATTACGAGAATCAAGGAAGCCTCGTGGGGATCCTGAAGTGCTTGCAACGCGGTCAAGAGAGAAGTACTTTAAGGTAGCATTGAGAATATGCCATCTTTTTTATTCATCTATAGATTGTCCTGCAATTTATTTGTGCTATCACTAATCTGTTTCTTCTTCTTTTAACCTTTTTTCCTTCTGATTTTTTCACTATGCAGTTGAAGAAGAAATTGCAGCTTGTAACACTAGGGATAGGTGGTGTTGGTGTGGTTTCTGCATATGTTTCTTATTCTCCAGAAATTGCTGCTAGGTAGGGAAACCATACTAAGAGCATTTTGATTATTTTGACGTACTGGATTTGATAGACATGATTAATTATCATCAACCAGAAAAAAAACGTGCGGGATTCATTTGGATTAAAAGTGTTTTTTGTGTCCATATCTCTGTCTTCAGTGATCAAAATCCCTTACACTTCATATTTTCATCCATGAATGTCATATACAAGTAGGAGAGGAATTATTGCAGGCGACTAAAAGCTAAAATACAAGGGTAAATAGGTGAATTTTATTTTTTTGGGTCTCCTCTCCGAATGCAGAAGTTGAAGAAATGTGCTGTCTGATTCACTGATTGCCTCCGGTTACCTGAAACAGAAGCCTATACCAACTTCTAACGCAGGTAAGGAAACATAGAAACACAGGTCATTTCCAGGTTTCTCAACTTTAAATAGGCCAATAAGTAATAGGTTAAAAGCAAACCTGGAGTTTATTTGATAACATTGGGACACAAGAGTACTGTATCTGACCAGCTATGGACACACCACATGTCAGATTAATTGAAGTAGATTATGTTCGTGATATCTTGGTTGTCTCAACATGGTCATAATGAAGAAATAAATGTGAAAAATTGAGATGAGGGTGTAGCTGATGCTTAAACTTAATCCCTTCTACGCCGCTATGTGCATCAACACTCAACTCAAAAAGCCTGGCTGGACCTCTCTAAGGAACCAAGAATCCAGAAGCATCGGATAAGATAGGCATCATCATGAGGCATGATGATTTGTGAAAATCAAGGGAAATTGGAGAACAGAGCATGTACATAGGGAATGCTCGCTTGTGAGATCAATATTGTAATTCAAAGATTCATGAGAATAAAATGCGAAAAGAAATCTACTCTATCGTATTTGGAGATGATTTTTCTTTATTTCTGATACGGGCTGCATGTTTGTTTCTTGAATTTAGTTCCTTCATTTTGCCTATAGTTTTTGTGGTGTTTTTCAGCAACTCATCTTGAATATTTTTTCACAAAATTATCTAACTTATTTTCCATTATCCTTTGGCATCAGCTTCGGTGTAGGGTTGCTTGGCTCATTGGCATACATACGGATGCTTAGTAATACGGTGGATTCAATGGCAGATGGGGCAAAGGGCCTTGTGAAGTAAGTAATCGATTGCCTCACTGAACTCAGATGTTTCATGAATGGTTGTATCAGAATGTGAAATTTATATGGAGCTCAAAAACTAATTTCTCCATCAATTGTGGACATGGACATGGTTTGATTGATTTTCTTTCATGGCATATATGAGGATATGTATGTACCCAATGACCATAGAATGTGATGGTAACAAATTGAATTATAATTTAAGGGCTGATAGTAAATCATCAATGCAAATGGTTCTCTATTTCATAAATATCAATAAAAAATTGAATTTCAAGCCCAAAGGTCTACCATATTTCACACTTTGTTCGTTAACCAATCTTGCTTGCTCTTTATACAAGAATAAATCAGATCAAACAAAAACTGTCACTTGGTTAGGTTATCATCTGTAAATTACCAAACGTATTAATGTTCCTAATTTTTCTTTAAAATTAGAAAAGGAATCGTTTCATGTCACTGAGGTCGCAGAAGCTGTTTCATCTTTGGGCTTGGTCTGCATTCCGCCTCTCAAATACCTATCCATGAGCAGATGCGGCTGTGTTCATTAGAGTCGTTCCACAGTCCACGGGCATCACTGTGACAGTTCACTCTCCTTCAATCAATGCCTGACGTGTCTCAAGCCGTGTGCTGGTCCCTGTTACTGACCTGCATCGAACCTTGCCTGCACTCTCTCATGTCATCGCAGAGTTTAAGTTCTGAAGCTCGACGCCCCATTCTAACCTTCGGATTGGGCTCTGTAGGACTCTGTCATGTTTGTCATACCTGGTTTTCTCATGTAACCCTTGCTTTGGGTTCTTTAAATTTTTACTCACCACATACTGCACCACTGTTGATCCGATCATTTCGTGTTCTTTCGTGTATATATTCCAGTGGACATTATTTTCGTGATTTCTGTGATATTCCCTGTAATTTTAATTTTAAATCTTTGTTTAAAAAATATTTATCACTAATATTTGGAGATTAATTTGATAAATTTTAACTTGGTGATCTTCTTTCGTTCAGTACACTGAATCACTCTACTGTGATATATAAATTTGATGCTTATTTTACTAATCCTTTTATTCCCCTATATTTCAGCATTTGACTAACCTTTCACATGCACAATGTCAAGACTTGCTTCACCTAAAATGGAAAAAAGAAATCGTCAATAGATTGCAAGGGCATTGAAGAAGCACCAACTATTACTGGATAATTACTGATGCAGTTTTTTGGCAGGGGGGCAGCTGGTCAACCGAGGCTTCTGGTCCCTGTGGCGCTTGTGATGGTATACAATCGCTGGAACGAGTGAGTTTTATCTATAAAACTTTCACGTGTAGTCGGACCCATTTCGCCTCAGAATATATTGTCATCTATTTCCTGGTCTCGACCTCAAAAAGTTTTCAATTTTATTGGATGGTTTTGTTCCTCATTCAATCGTGAGAACATCGATATTTTTATTAGAATTTCTGTGATAATATTTATTTCCGGCTTTATTAATTTTATTTATCTCGGTACCAATATACATATTACTCCAGGCATCATTATCTTTATTTTATATACAATAAAACCAGACAAGTCTACAATCAAACTATTTCCTATCCAATAAAATTTCTTCAAATAGCTATTTTCTGCCCAATTATTTTTTCTCCATAGAGATCACCCAATCCGCACTCTCTTCGTCGATTTTCTCTTGAAAATGGGCAGCTTTGGATATAAATAGCATCCGTCTATCTACCAATCAGCATCCAGCATAGTTCCCTCTTCCCATCTAGAAATCCCTTCGGCTCTGTCCCTGACCATTCAAGGAACCAGTCGGTCATGCCCATTTAGGCTATCAACGCCCTCTCACTTGCGTATTTAGGGCATCCGTGAAGAAAGATTTTTTTTTCCAATAATGGAAATCTTCTCTAAATTAAAACCCCTCATTTATTTCTTCTTATCGCCTTTTTTCTCTGTGCTCTCTCTCTCTCTCTCTCTCTCTGCCCGCAGGATCCTCGTTCCAGACTACGGCGTCATGCATCTGGATCTGATACCGATGCTGGTGGGTTTCTTCACCTATAAGATTGCTACTTTTGTCCAAGCTATTGAGGACACGTTGACCCCGGTCGACACCGAGAGCGAGACATGAACATATCCAGAGCTCAGATCGGTTAGGGTTAGTCCTCCCCCCCTTTTTATCCATCCATCCATCTCTCGAAGGGAGCGTGAAATTCCAACGGTCTCCGGTCGATGGCTCCGGCGATTGTTCGTTCCCTGGAGGTGGGGAGAGAATCAGGAGGATGTGGGTATTTGATATTATGTATGATTTAATCCCCTGAAAGGTGCAATGTGCAGGCATTAATGCCCAGAGGTTGACGAGAAGAAAAAAAAATTACAATCACTCTTTGTGAATGGGATTTTTTCTATTTATTCCAGTCGGAATCGGAAAACTTTGGATAGGCTGATTTTTTCTCTCTCTCTAGGGTACTTTAAAAATACTAGGCACCCATTTGTCTGGGTTCCCCGTTTCCATGACACCCATTTTAGAGAGAGAGAGAGAAGATAAATTGTGAGGTAGTGGAGGTTATTATTTTCTTGGGGTTAATTTCGGGGGTTTATTTTCTAGAAAATGGAAGTCAGATGGGATAAGCTGATTTTAATATTTTTTTCTCTCTCTAGGGTACTTAAAAAATACTAGGGTCCTTATTTGTGTAGGTTCCCCGTTTCCTTGACACCCATTTTAGAGAGAGAGAGAGAGAGAGAGAGAGAGAGGAAGAGTTAAATTGTGAGGTAGTCGAGCTTATTATTTTCTTGGGGTTTATTTTTTGGAAAATGAAAGTCAGATGGGATTAGCTGATGTTTATATTTTTTCTCTCTCTAGAGTACTTAAAAAATACTACGCCCTTATTTGTGTAGGTTCCTCGCTTCCATGACACCCATTTTAGAGAGAGAGAGAGAGAGGACATAAATTGTGTGGTAGTCGAGGTTAGTATTTTACGTGGGGTTCGTTCTTCAGAAAATCGATTTCGTGTGGATAGAAGCGAAAAGATATGTTAGCTGACTCTGTCAAGGGGGGATTGACTAGTGGAGATCGGTACAACTCCGGGTATTGTATAGTGAGACTCTTCTTCAATACCGTGGCTCTCTCTCTATATCTCTATCATATCTTCCCGCTATTACGGAAAGTACAGTTGACTTGGCTTGAGGATGACATCTGTTGCTTTCAGCCATGGCACCTAACCCACTGTAGCTGGGCTTTCTGCCATTGGGCATTACTAATCAACTCTTCTCTCTCCCCCCCCCCCTCCCTCCTCTCTCTCTCCCTCTCCCTCTCCCTCTCCCTCTCCCTTCTCTCTCCCCCCCTCCCTCCTCTCTCTCCCCCCTCCCTCCTCTCTCTCTCCCTCTCCCTTCTCTCTCTCCCCTCCCATCTCCTCTCTCTCTCTCTCTCCTCTCCCTCTCCTCTCCTCTCTCTCTCTCTCCTTCTCCCTCTCCCTTCTCCCTCTCCTTCTCTCTCTCCCCCTCTCTCTCTCTCTCTCTCTCTCTCTCTCTCTCTCTCTCTCTCTCTCTCTCTCTCTCTCTCTCTCTCTCTCTCTCCCTCCCTCCCTCCCTCCCTCCCTCTCCCTCCCTCCCTCCCTCTCTCTCTCTCCCTCCTCTCCCTCCCTCTCTCTCTCTCTCTCTCTCTCCCTCCCTCTCTCTCTCTCTCTCTCTCTCTCTCTCTCTCTCTCTCTCTCTCTCTCTCTCTCTCTCTCTCTCTCTCTCTCTCTCTCTCTCCCTCTCTCTCTCCCTCTCTCTCTCTCTCTCTCTCGCTCCTCTCTCTCTCTCTCTCTCTCTCTCTCTCTCTCTCTCTCTTTCTCCCTCTCTCTCTCTCTCTGTCTCTCCTCTGAGAGGCGGAGTTCATCGAGGTACAGCCAAGGTGGAGCTTCTTCCGCAGAACGAACACGAGCATACAGGAGGGGAGAGAATCAGTGTGTACACGGTAAACCCATCGTCATTTCCGAAGGAGCAACCTTCTTCTCCGTCATCGTCGTCTTTGCCGTCGCCGTCATCCTCTTCTGGGATAGACATAGGAACTTTATATCTGCTCAGGAAGCACCGCTCCACCAGCCCACCGTCGTCCAATCGGAGCAGGTGAAGATGAAGGCCTCGCCGGCGGCGGGTCTGGCCTTCCGGCGACCGGCACCGACGGGCACGTTCCGGATGGTCCCTCCGGCTGTCCAGTACCTCTGGCACGCCCTGCAGAAGTGCCGGGGCTGGTTGACGTTGTAGTTGTTGAAGTAGCAGAACTTGGTGTCCGCGCTGTTGCACCTCGGGCACGGCAGAGCCGCCACCGCCGCCGCAACGGTCCTCTTCTCCAACGTGTCCTCCTCCGTCTTCTTCACCTCCTCCTTCCCCGCGCCAGCTTCCAACAGGATTCTCGTGCCGAAGAGCTTGAATCCTTGCGCGTCCCCGTTGATCCCCAGCTTCGCCATCTGTAGAGCTAACCAGAGAGAGAGAGAGAGGGAGAGGGAGGGAGAAGGGGAAAGCCTCGAAGCCTTAAGAAACCAGGTAATGGTTATGGTATTTAAGGAGCCAAAAGGGCTGCAACCCCAGCGACTCGGCGATTCTCCGATGTCATCAAAAGCGACAGAAGGTGATTAAAAGCGAAATGAGCACGAAGCTGAATGGAGGCGGGGGAGGCCCTCCCATTAGAATAGTCAAAGCCACTGGTTTATTCCCTGCGCTATGCCGCACTTCCAGATCATCTGGCGGGTAGGTCGTAAACGTCTGTGTATTTACGTCCTCTTCCTCAACTACTGCAGTCTACTTTAATCTCTCTTGTCTTTCTCTCTCTATCTCTCGACGTATTTTGTTGGGGAGTCCGGAAAGGGAGAGATCGAGGGTCAACGCCGGCACCGATGTCTTCAGGATCGAGGCATCTCCGGAGAATAGAAGGAATCTTCTTCTTCCCAGTTCTTCCTTCCCCGTCACCGACCTTTTCCCCCGAGAAAACCTAAAGAAGCTGGCCGATCATGAGAGGCCATGGAATTAATTAACGAGCGCGGCTTCAAGATTCGTTTCTGTGAACCGGGACGTCTTCTCGGGCTGGAAGACGACGACGGCGACTCGAGTTGACTTCCTCTGCTACAGTCGGTCGCATCAGAAGGTCAACCACCCTACATCGAACGTTTACAGGCGAGGAAGGAGGAACTTATTTATGATTAATACCAGCCGGCCGCAGGTCTCTTAACTGGGCACGCTCCCTCTGTACAGGACCTTGAAGAGAGAGAGAAAGGGAGAAGAAGAGCGAGAAGAAGTTGGTGGAGCGTTCTCAGCCGGTGTTCTGCATGCCGGCGGCGATGCCCTTCATGGTGAGGATGAGGGTGTCTTCCAGGCCGGGGGCGTACTCGCTGGTAGGGTTCAGCTTCACCAGCTCCGCCGCCGACTTGCCGGACTCGGTGATCTCCTTCGACAGATGAGGCCTCACCTTGACATGGAAATCGGGGTCTCTGATCCGCTTCAGCGTGCAGGCCTGGCAGACATTGAGCGTCGTGATGTAGGAATCCCTCAACCGCAGCCTCTGCTTCAGGTAGGGATCCCCCTCCAGCAAGTTCTTGTGCCCAGCCACCTGCAACATCCTCCCTCCATTGTAAGCTACAGTAGTGGAATCGCATGGAAGAGGAGGAAGAAGGGGGGGGAGGGAATTAGGGTTTCGTCCACCTGGAGAAGAAGATGCTTCGTCTCGTTGTAGTTGGCCCTCAGGCGCTCCCCGAAGGACCAGAGATCGTCGGAGACCAGGAGCCTGTCGTACAGGGCGGCGATACCCGGGTCGCCCTTGGCGAAGACCATCTCCACGAGATCGATGGTGACCCTGAAGAAGGGCCATTCGTTGTACATCTCTCGGAGGATATGGAGATTGTTGACGTCTTTCTCCAGGACATGCTTGAACGCCGCCCCGAAGCCGAGCCACACAGGAAGATGGAACCTCGTCTGCGTCCACGCGAAGATCCACGGGATTGCTCGCAGGGATTCGATCCCCCCGCTGGGCTTCCTCTTCGACGGCCGGCTCCCGATGTTCATCCTCCCGTACTCCAGCTCCGGCGTAGCCTTCAGTTTCAGAGCTCCATTCTTAGCAACGAAGAGGAAGAAGAAGAAGAAGAAGAAGAAGAGGCAGAAGAGCACAGTACAAACCAGGCGGAAGTATTCGACGAATCTGGGTTCCTGGAAGACGATGGAGCGGTACTCATCTGTGGCGACTACGGCCATCTCGTCCATGAGGGCGCGCCATTCGGGCTTGGGAGAGACGGGGGGGTGCATCCCGTGCTCGAGGGTGGCGGCGGTGAAACGTTGCAGGGTTCTGAAGCAGAGATGCTCCTCGCCGAAGGACTGCTCGATGACCTCCCCCTGGACAGTCACTCTGAGGGAGCCATGGACTGTGTCGGGTGGCTGGGAGAGGATGGCGAGATGAGTAGGGCCGCCGCCCCTGCCCACAGTTCCTCCTCGGCCATGGAACATGGTCAGCTTCACCCCAAATTCCTTGGCCACCTTCACGAGCTCCTCTTGCGCCTTGTAGAGCTGCCACGCCGCCGATAACCTGCCAGCGTCCTTGCCGGAGTCGGAGTAGCCGATCATCACCTCCTGCTTGCCGTCGATCCTGTTCTTGTACCAGTCGATGGAGAAGAGGCGGGCGACGGCGGCGGGGGCACCCTCGAGATCTGCGAGCTTTTCGAAAAGCGGGACCACTCGCAGGGGCTTCTTCACGCGGCACTCCCTCTGCAAGAGCTCCACAGCGAGCACGTCGGACGGGGCGGTCGCCATGGAGATGATATAAGCGCCGAAATTGTCGGGAGGGAGCTCAGCGATGACGTTTAGGGTTTCCAGCACGTCGGCGATCTCGTCGGTCTTTGGGAGGTCAGGGCCGAATAGCGGCCGCTTCCCGCGGAGCTCCGATAGCAGCCATTCCTGCCGCTTCTCCTCCGGCCAGTCGCGGTAAGATCCGATCCCCAGGTGGTTGGTGATGGCGTCCATCACGTCGGTGTGGCGATCGGATTCTTGCCGGATGTCCAGCCTGACCAGAGAAAGGCCGAAGGTTGATACCTGGCGGAGGAAGTCGAGGAGACTGCCGTCGGCGATCGGACGATCGCCGCAGGCGCAGAGCGATCTGTAGCAGAGCTCGAGCGGCTCCAGGAACTGCGGAAGATTCAGATGAGATTGCTCGTTAGGAACAGGGGATCGAAGCTCATCGGGTCGGATCGATCAGTCTGGCAATTCGTCTGCCCTAAATTCTCCGGTTAAGAGTCTTCTTTCTGCAATAACAGGACAGTGGAATCGGGAGCGAGTACCTGCTCGACATTGGTGAAGGTTGCCTCGTCAGGGACGTCGGAGATGCCGTTCGACAGAATCTGGCGTGCGTGCTCCCGCATGTTGTACAGTTTATCCCTCACATCACCGAGGATCACGCGATACGGCTCGTTTGGCGGGATTTTCTTCCAGAACTCTGCACGAACACGAAGATAGATCGTCGAAGAACGATGGGAAAGATCGGGCCTATGAATACGCGTCCAAGATTTGAATCGGAAAATACCTATGAAATGCTTCGCATCTTTCTTTGAGGAGCGATGGAGCTCCTCCGCGCGAACTCTGAGCTCATCACTGCAACGCCACATCGACAGCTGCGATGAAACAGCCATGAATCAATGGTCGGAATTGATTACAGAACGACTCAGAACCCAAAGCTCCCCCCCTCCCTGATCTCGATACCTCGAACATGAGATCCTCGATCTGCGAGTAGTACAGGTTCGCGGCCATCATCCTCGCCAGCAGGCAAACATCCCTCGTCACCTCCGGAGTTACTCTGGGATTTCCTGCATTCAGAACGGCAGAGATCATACGTTTCCTGAAGATCTCAATCCATCGCCAGCAGGTAGATATGAACATCGAGATCATGATCTGAAGGACGCAGAATCGCAATAACCGCGAAGGAAGTAGGAATATACCATCACGGTCCCCGCCCATCCAGGACGAGAACTGAATGAGAGGCGCGTTGTAGGGCACGCGCTCGTTGATTCCGATGTTCTTCAAGGCTGTGTCGACCCTGCGCAAGAATCTCGGGACGCCCTTCCAAATTGTTTCGTGGAAATAACTCATCCCCGCCCGCATTTCGTCCTGCGGAGTTGGCGGGCTTCTCCTGATCTCATCGGTCCGGAAAGCTGCTTGGATCTGCGGGGAAGACGACCAAACAAAGGAAAAAATCAGACATCGCGAGGCTCAGAAAATCAAGAACGAGGGATGATTACATACGAATATGCTCAACGAGAGATCATCGATGGATTACCTCCCTCTGAAGGGCTTCGTCAAGCTCGTGCTTGTCATCAGGAGTGATGTCTTTAGCATATAGCTGTGCCAGACAGTTCCGAATCCTGGAAAAAAGGCTGAATCGTTAGTTCACACGAACGAATTTCATCGATGACGATCTGATGATCTGATGAAAGGTGATTGCAGCAGCACCTCGCATGCTTCTGAAGCAGTGATCTCCGGACGGATTGGGTGGGATGAGCAGTCAGAACCAGATCCACGGTCTGGTTCTTGAGGGCGTCGAAGACCTCCTGGGGGGACTTCTTCAGCTGTCCCACGAGCCTCTTCAGCGTCTCCTCGATGTCTGATTCGGTGATGGCGGAGTTTTCATCAGCGAAGTCCCCCTTCTTCAGCTTGATGCGCCTCCGGTAAGCAATCTGGACCTCCTCGGCCAAGTTGGCCAGGTTGAGCATGTGAGAGAAGGAGCTCGCGACGACAATGGAATCCCCCGGGTCCAAGCTCGTGAGGACGCTTCCGAGCTCCTCGAGCTTCTGCGGGTCGGTCTTCGTCTCATACTCTGCAGAGAGCTCGTAGCATTCCTGAACCTGCAGATTCACAGATCCCAGTTCGAGATTTATTTATCACAAGGATGATACACCCGGAGACGGATAAACCCAGATCAATCACAGTGTTCTTCAGAGAGAGAGAAACGGGGGAGAGAGGATCGGGAGGACCGAGACGCACCGTTTCTCTGAGATCTTCGCCATGGAGGTCCTGGAGGATGTCGAGGAACCGATCCAGAAGGAGGGCATCATATTCGACGAGCTTGTCGTCCTCGGAGACCTTCCCCGGAACCAGGAGCCTCAGGTGAGCGTCAATGGAGGCCATCTTTTCCAGGTTGGTCGCACTGCGAGCCATCTTCTCTGTTTCCCCACAACCTGTGCTTCTCCGATCGGCGAGAGAGGAAAAGGAAAGGAAGAAGATGGCCGGAGAGACTTGGAGGAACAGTGATAACCCTAGAAACCACAGCCACAGGCTCCTTCCCCTTCCTTGCGCCCCTGCAACTCGGTGGAGCACGCAGAGAGAGGTCGCCCAAGAAGTAGCAGACAAAGGAGGAGAGAGAAATCACTCCACTCACGTGAAGGAGGGGAGACCACCGCGGCTCAGACGCGGAGAAAAGCAGGGGCGGAGGAGAGAAAGCAACAGGAGGAAGACGACGAAGGGGGAGGGAAGAAGCCGGCGACGCTCTGCGTCGTCCTCCCCTTCCTATTTATAGAGAGAGATTCAGCTCCCCCTTCTTCCTCCTCTTCTCTATGGAAAAACCATCTACTTCCTTCACGGGACTCAACAGATCCTCGAAAAAGCCGTGTTTTTGCTGCTAACTGTAACGCAATCAAAGTATCTAAGCTCTCTCTCTCCCGCCTCTCTCTCTCTCTCGCTGCCGACGGCGGCGGGGGAGCAGTGGGCAAGGGACACGTGGCCGAAACGGCGTGGAGGGGAATCACGCCGCATCAAGGGAATATCCGATGGCTCATATCCGGATTTGGCGGCGGAGGGGAAGACGGGTGGCTGCTGGAGAGCGTCCGTTCCCCACCCCCGCCCCCCGTGGCTCTGCAAATTCCTTCGGCGGGATACGAAGATAATTAAATTATTTAAAAGCCCTGATGAATTCTTTTTTACCTGACAAATATGCCCATAATCCATTAATCGCCCATTAATATTTTCTTGGCTAATTAGTTTATTTCGCAAAATAATCGTGAGAGCATTGTACGTAACGGCTATAATTATTTTCTAAGCATTTCTTCGTGATTATGGTCCGACTCCGTGTAACGGCCGGGAGCGGACGGTCCCTTGATATGTGGGGCCCACGAGACCCGATTGCAGGATATCTAGGGTCCGGGTGGGCCCCACGCCACAGTTTGACCGACGTGTTCTACGGCCTCCCCCTCTTCTTAAGCATTTGATCTCAGGGAAGGTGACTGAAAAATTCAGTAACTACGGCTACAGTCGGTTTAATATTACAGACTACGAGTCACTCGCCATAGAGAGAGAGAGAGAGAGAGAGAGAGAGAGAGAGGGAGAGGGGGGGGATAGAGAGAGAGAGAGGGGGAGGGGGTAGAGAGAGCGAGAGGGGGATAGAGAGAGCGAGAGAGAGAGAGAGGGGACCTTCGCGTAGTTTATTGGGAGAAAACCGTACGATAATAAACATAAAATCAAGGTACGAACTAGTTTTTTTAATGCACGGACGGCCGTATAATTGACAGTCCGAAACGCATTTATAATTGCTACAAGTGGAGAGACGCAGTAGATTTTCTTGTATTTCATGGCGTCGTAAGCAAATCAATGATGAGATCATTCCGAAAAGGGAAAAAGGCCAGCCGCCCGGTGATTATTTTACGCTAATGAGAGAGGCTGCTCCTAGTGATTTTATTACTCCATTAATCCTCCTCGCGTTTTGACGAAGAGTCCTCCTCCGGCGGATCAGACGGTGCACCGGAACGTGGGTACTCGCCGGAAGGAATATTCCGGCAACGAGCTGTCCCCGTCGAGCGCCGGCGAAAGAGGCAACAGGAAGGTGGGCCTCCGTCGCCGTCGGTGGAAGATGAGCTTCCCTGCTCGGGACGGCACGGCACGATGGGCTGTCGAGGGACGGACGCTGACTCTGATACTTCCAGAGCGATGATCGATGGAAGGAAGATGGATGGATGATAAGCGGGCTCGCTTCTCTGGTGGCGGATGCCTATTGGAGGTGGTGGGGTGATAAGGCGGAGGAGCGAGGTCAACGGAAGATTAAATGGCGTTTGGCCCGTACGGGAACAACGGTCCAACATCTCGATTTCCGACGCTGACCCTTTTGGTTCTATGCCGTTGAATTTTCGGTCATATTGCCCCTACCCCAAGCCCACCTGCAAACCAATATGGCCACTCCTTTCGCCACGTGGCGCTCTCTCTCTCTCCAAATAACCCCGCGTGGGTAATTCTTCTGATATCCATTGGAACGACTATATGGGTCAGAGGAAGTCAGCTGCTTGGTTAGCTACCGCCATCCATAAAAATAGTAGATTTGTGGACAGAAAGCTCTCGCAGAGGGCAATACAAACTGATATTATTTTATTACTACAGAAAGAGGATTTGCGAGTCCACAAGAATGGTTTTGTCTTGACGAGTGTGTACAAGCCATAGACACCATGCAGAGAAGCTATGAACACGATCAAGCAAGGCAATGCTGGTCAATCTTGAGCACATGCAAAAGTCAAAGGAAGGAATTTTTTGACCAGGATCAGCTGTCACTCCAGTTCTCGTCGTCGGCTCCCTCGTCGCTGCCCGCACACGCCTATGGGTGTTTTACGCAAATTCTTAGCCAGAAATAAAGAGACTCGTAATGTTGCATGCTGGGAAGATGGAAGGAGGAGAATATGGATAGAACCTGGCGGATGGCAATCGCCTTCTCCAAGATTGCGGCGACCTTGATGTTGGCGGCGGGCTTTGGCGGGAACTGAGGCTTCGATGTTGTTGTGGGCCGCAGCTGGAATGACTACCCATTATAGAGAAGTGTCAGAGAAGATCAGAATTGGAGCTCATCAATTCATCCAACAACGAGAAGGATTCAAGCATCAAAGATTAAAACCCCCCAAAAAAAAACCCTAATTTCGGAAAGTCAGCTCTGCTGTGTTCTAGGGCTTTGGGGATCCTGGTTCATTATCTGAGCCTCATTCTACAAGAGCCCAAAACGTTGGCAGGTTTCGAGGTTCATAGATCATGAAGATCATAATCGTTATCATCCTCACCCATAGCCTCGATCAAAACATAAAAAATTAAATGGCTGAGTATATCTTTTCCCATATGCAAGCAAGGGCAACGAGTGAGAATACTCAGAGACTCGATCCGACGTTCATAGTGTCAATGGTGGATCAAGGATAAGAGGGTCACCTTGGTTCGAATCTGATGCAGATAATCCTCCCTCTCATCGGGCTCCTTACCATTCGAAGCCTGGTTCAAATCCTTTTGCCTGCCAAGCTTCTGATGCTCACACGAGTGGAGGAATATTATATTCAGTTCTTGCAGACAAATCTATAAACGTAATTAGTGAATTTCTGCAAAAAAGGTCAATACTTACTATGCTTTTCTCGGGAAGTCCAGTTTGAACAATGGATGGAGGCCTCGGCAGGTCTCCTTCGAGCTGATGGCCGGAAATGGAATTTGTACATTGCCCATCAACAGAATGGTCATTTTCATGGCTACTGAGCAGGGTATCAGCTACGAACACCACGGGTTTCGTCGCTCTCCACTGTACTGGAGGAAGAGGAGGAGGTGGCGGTGGCTTGCCACTTGAAGTGGACGGTGCAAAATCTAGAGGTTTGCTTGAGACACAATCAGCTTTTGTTTCCTGTTCAGTGACTGAATCTAGGTTAGGTAAATCTAGAAACTCTGCGGGCTGAAAAGCAATGCTTCCATTGTCCCCGACCAATTTTTCGAGGTTGGGCACTTGGTCTGTGCTGAGATGCTTCCTTCTGTCAGGTTCCAACAAGCTGGAAATGCATGCAGCTGATGATGAAAGCCGTGAATCATCACGTATCTCATGGTATTCACTCGCACTCATCTCGTCCTGCGCCCACAACTCGGAGTTTGAATCTGAGGGTGGACTGCACGAATCCTCTGAAGAATACGGGCAAGATCTACAGAAAGTGTCATCATCAGATTCAGAACAGCTACCCTGGAATGGAATGGTGGGGCCTGGAAGCAACTGAAATGAAGGAAACATCAGCTCTTCAATACTTTCGTGGAGATGGCTGTCAGGAAACTCCAATCTCAGTTTAGACGTCTCCAGGCCATTCATTGGTTGGAAGGACATCTTCATATGCTCCAAAGGGGGAGATGACTCCTCAGGGCACTTCTGCCTAGGAGGAATGGAATACCCTGTAGGACTGTATCTAGTATTTTCCATAGTGTTTGGTTCAAGAGATGCCCCAACGAGACCCTTAGTTTCATCACCTGGGATGAAGCTATTCTGGGCATCGTTGCAATCCATATTCACTTCTCCGGCTGGAGCAGATGTATGAAAGTCAACGCGGTCTTCTTTCCTTTGAAACCCATTTGCCAGAAGTCTGCGAGTCAGGTTTGTGAGACTTGATGAAACGCCTATTTTTAGTGGGCCTTGGTGAACTGATCCAGCCTGAGTATTAGAATATGCCAGAGACTCATTTCCAGGAAATTGAACTGATCCAGTCTGTGTCTCCTGAACTTTGCTCGTTACAGGTTCTGAAAAGACAGGAACGAATTCCAGAGATTCCCTTCTGGGCCTAACGCCATATTGCTCAATTTTCTTGAGTGAACTAAAGGATCCCGCTTGGTCAGCAAACACCCCAGAAGGCACACTAAGAGAATGCCAACCAGTGGTGGAATCCAATGCACCATCTTCGAACGACATAGATTTGCGTCCCCTGGATGAAACAGTTAATTGGGACACTACTGAACATCCATCATCATGAAACCTAGGAGCAAGCTCGCTCTTCTGTGGATCACAGTTATTAGCATGAGTATCTGGAAGAGAATTCCCAGCCGTAACATTTGTGACATTGAAGTCTGGAGGTTTTGATGGTTCAAGACCCAAAAGACCACCGTTTGTCCAGAATGTAACAGGTTCATCGCAGGTTTGTGGTCCTTCCAATTTCTGATTCTCTGTTCTGACACCACTATCTAACAAACCCTGCAGAGTACAATCTGTAGAGTGATTAGAGAGATCAACATTAGCGGACTGAAAAACATTCGCCTCCGGTAAATTGATGCAAGAATTTTTATGATCATCACCAACGGAGCAATCAAAGGGACTGTTGTCGCGTAATGATTGGCCAGAGACTGGACTCTGGGAAGAAACCATGGTTATTGATTCTCTTGATGCATCTTCGTCCACGGAAATGTGACATGTGATAACATTTTCGACATCCAAGGGAGAAGATCTTGTATTGTGAACATCTTGCGTGCTGTTGGTTGTAGACTCCATTTCTTGATGGCATGAGTTGGGTGGTAGCATCAATTCCCTTTTGGTTTGAATCTCAGAATCTGTCTCAGTTTCAGAATCTAATGTATTCGATGCATCCACATAATTATCTGTCTCGCTGACAACTTCTTCAAAATGCTGTACTTCAATATGTGTAACTCCATTCCCCATTTCCTCATTATCTAATTCTTGGGGCATAGAGGATTCGGCAACCTTCTTACCTGACTCAGATATCAAGGAAGGTGAATCTGACCCTGGAATAATGGCACTATCAGAGAGAAGTGCGCTTGGAGGCCTTACTATTTCTGCTTTCTCATCCCATGTAATCGAAGGTGATGGAGGGATCTTTTGCTCTAAATCAAACTTAAGACCAGATTGGTCATCACCAACTTCATAAGAAACTTCAACATTTTTCTCTTCAGGTTTGCCAGGACTACCTGCACCAGTGTAACCATCACAAAACTGAGGATTAGATACCATACTACACACGGGCTCTTCAGATGCCAATGGATAATTTACGTTCAGCACAGGGATAACTAAGGTTCTGGACTTTGGTTTAGGCTTTACTGCTTCTGCATTCACATCCCATGCGCCATAAAGTGAACCTGAGGCACTCTGCGCTTGCAAATAATCATTGTAATATTCATCATCACCATCCGGATTTTCTGCGTTTTCAGCCACAGCGATCGTCGTAATGCACACATCAATGTGACTATCTTTTAATGCAGAACCATATGACAAAGTATAATCTTGTTCTTCATTTTCCGCCGAAAAATTTATGTCTAGAACAGGTTCCACAAAACTCAGCCTTGTTCTAGAGTCAAAAGATGTGGACCTGCTTCCAAGTTCAGACTTTATTCTGTAGTCAGATGTTGACAAAGTCTCTGCAGCAATGCTTTGGCCATCAGTCGCAGGGGAAGCACACTGTATACTGAAAACAAGAATGACAATCAGAAAGTGGTATAACCAGAAGGACATAGAGGCAGAGAGCCAGAAAAGCAAGCACGGAATAAATTGTGCATCACCAAAAGCTGAATTTACATACTATAAACTATTACAGGAATATACCTGTTAGCACGATTAGACGAGGGCATGACAAACTGAACACCGACATCTTTCGATCGTGACAGTTTTTTCTGCACATTAGAGGGCATTAATTAAAAAGGATTTTTCTTCAACCCCAGAAAGTTGCAGAAGAGCATCACTATTCACGAAATGATTGTAACATACAGCGATAAATTATTTAGTAATGACACGAAAAATGAAAAATATTTAGATTCTTCTAATTTTCATGACCACATCCAGTTATTGACCCCGTTGTGTCTCACATTCAGCACATCCGCATGTTCTACACTGTAGATAAGCATCCTGCACTAAAACGTCTATGGTGGTTGTCTGGTTCAGTTAAGGAGATAATATACCTTGCTTCTGTGTGTCTTTCTTTCTTTATGAACCTTTTCTACTTTCACTGGCTCCACATTGGAACAAACCCTCCTGAAATATGTAGGATCAGAGTACCTTCTCAAACAAGCACCAGAACCAGGGCCAGCATTGTCAAATCTGAAAGGCAAACATTAAATTTTGATATCACCAGAAAAGAGAATCAAACTTTCCACATACAACAAAAATATATACGTCATACTTGTCAAGCAAGAAAAAGCTAGGTGGATCACGACATCCTTCGTAAGAGTCCATGATAAAATAAGGCAAGTCAGTATGTCGAAGATGATCACGTTCAACTTGAAGACTTGAATGCCAAGCAGAACCTGAAAAACCAATGGAAACTGATGAATGGTCTGAATCGTTTATTTCACACAAAAAAATGTCGGGAGAATCAAATTCGTTGACGATGGCATGCTGTGACTCAGTTTCTTTCTCATAACAATTTTTAGAATATATTCACAGTCCCAAAATTCATGGTGCTGATAGGTGGTAGTATTCATGCATGCTCTTACATCAGGCTCATCATTTGATCTTTCAGAAGCTAGAGTAAGTTCCATGCAGCGCCAGTGCATTCATACAAAAGTTTTATACACAAAAAGGTGCCTTTTAGGACTCTAAAAAATGAATCTGAAACTCATAAGCGTCTTTCTATGTATTGTGTTGATCTCAGATCCTTCCACAATCTCGCTATGCTTCCCCTTAGATGGTAATGAGAAATATTTCCTCCCGCGGGTACAGTGCAGAGTTGGAGCTAAAACTAGGTTGGGGGGGTTAGATTGAAAAATCTTTTGTATAAAGTCACAGTAAAACTTCTCTTTGAATTTCTAGAAAGAAAATAGTACAACGAGAAGGTTAATTAAACTTTCCTTATATTCCAAAACGAGAAGACAAGGAATTCCTTTCAACATGTTAACCCCTATTCCACAATGTTTTTGGTCGATTACTACATAAATCAAATACCATAACTATAGTCTTCTTTATCAGGATTGGATCCTTAACCCAGATCATATACACCCTCTCACAGGCTAATAAGATATTTTTTATTTTCTATACGATGTTAACTTAAAAGTAGTCGTCAATAATTTTTCAAATGAAACTGAGAGGTTGCCAAAAAAAATATTCCTCAATTGTCAAAATAAGATTTCAGGTAACTTGAGAGAAAGAAACCACGTGATAAGAAAATAAGAAATAAAAACTAAATTTCACTATTTTTTCAAGAATATCTAGAAGATTGCTCCTGAACCATGTGACCAGAGGAATGATCTCGTACAAGGAACCCATACGTATTCACACTCTGACATAGATTTCAGCATATTCCCTTTTACGCTTTCAAATGGGGTGTACATTTTTTCCACAGATCACTTGTCTGAATGTCAACTTTCTTTCCTTTTTACAGCAGTCAGCAGAGGCTGTAATTACTAAAAGAACAGAAATGCGTGCTATGCATTTAAGTCACCATTAAGGGTCATCTAGAGTGTCAATAACGTGTCATTATTGATAAACAACAACTTCCAGGTACGATCGACATAAACAACGTCAAAATAAACTAGAATGACATACCAGCTGTATAAGCAAAATGAATGTGGCTCTTCTGGTCGTGAACAGACTTTTCTAAGGAAGGAAGCGCTTCTTCTATATGGCGCATCCGAGCCATCATTCTTTTCCCTCTAGAAGCCGTAGCAGTTACCTGTTCGTGTAAATCATGAAAAATTTCTGCTGCAAACCTGCATGATTACCCATAATATTTCGTTAAAGTAGAGTGCTTCAAAAGAAGTAGGGAAAAAAAGGAAGGAAAACGGTTCATAATAAATCGAGGACAGCCGCAGTACATTAATGGATGAACATGTGAAGTCACTAAATAGTTTGGCACTTTAGAAGTTTACAGGGGCCATTGCCATATTCCTGTAACATTTTGACAAAATGAGGATTAGGCGTCGAGTAAACCCTCACCCGAGCTTCGGACAGTCAATTACTGATTCTACACAACGCAAAACGTTATTTCAGAGACCTAAGCACATTTCGCGGGTGTCGAGAGTGTTGGCATTGTAGTTGAGTAGAATGTAGGACCAGGGGAAAGCAAGAAAAATAAAATTTCTCATGTTGAGCAATTGCGAATATCAAAAATTTGCCAAAAAGAAAAGTGACAAAGATTTTTTCTCGGTTGATTCCTTCGAATGCTAGACCCATCCTAAATGCCAACCCGAGAGAGATGATATTCGCAGGGGAAGAGAGACTCACTCCGCCAAATCGCCGAGCTGTCGCAGGATTCCCACAAGTCCGGCGACGGCAACCCCTTCCAGGAGAGCCTTCGGCTCTTCCCTCTTAGCCCCCCCTCTGAACAGCTCCGGATCCCCCAGCCCGTACTCATTCCGCAACTCGAAGCGCACCAGCGGCATTGCTTCACCTCCGACGCCCCTTCCCTGCCCTCTCCTCCTTCACCCGCTTCGAAATCCGCCTCACCGTGAAGATCTCCAACGCAGGAGCAGCAGTCGGGAGAAGAAGGCAGAGAGCTGACAGTGAGGGAGCCGAGAAGGGAGAGATCGGCCGAGGGAAGTCAGACCCCCACTGAACAGTAATTACAGTTTAAGGATTTGGTCTGCCCCCTGTATCAACTCCGCGACGGTGGACGGTCGGACGAGATCCGATGGAGGATCGGACGTTCACAATGCCACAACCTTCTCCCCCTCCCCTCCCACCCCGGAATCAATCTCCGGCGATCCATCTTTCCCCCACTAACACACCCCCCCCTTCCTCCCCAGGACAGACGTTGCCGTCTCCTCACGTCTCTCCCTCTTTCTCTCTCTCTCTCTCTCCTCACACTCTCACACAGTTAATGCTTTCAGTACTTTGAATACCTCGGGAAGACCGTAGTCGACGTGTCGTCACCGCTGCGGATTTTCCCAGGTTCCTCGAGCCACCCTGGTTAGCCTTTTGGTGAGGTTACACCCCATGTGACTATGCTAAGACGGTGGCTAGCCGCCCCCGCCTCGACCCGTGGTCAAGATGGTCAACGACCGGTCTACTGAGTTCAACCTGAGCCGGACTAAAATTATATAAAAACCTTTAAATCTATCGATATTGCCATAAATAAAGAAATAGTGTCAACTCAGCAAACCATCTACTAATTTTAGAAAAAGTAATATCATGTGGGCCATTTATTATTGTTTGGATAAATGCTTCGCGATCCCGCCGGATCACGTTAGGGCTCCACATCCGACTCGTCAACAGATCTTCACCCACGTTAGGCAATTTAATCTGCTGACCAGCTGTAAAACCTACCCCCGGTCATTTGCCCTTGTCCTCCTGGACGCTCTCCGTCTGACGTCAGCGCCCCACTCGCCCGTCTGCTTGCCGTGCCGACGTGGACGACCGAAGTGTAGAGATAGACAGATAGAAGAGCTGAAGGGCGCTCCATTAATGAAACCTGCCGGATCTCATTTGAAATCAGCTCAGCCTCAGCTGCAGGGCGTTGACTTTGTGGTCGGTCGTATCACGTGCGTTGCCGATCACGTGGGGAGGGTGCCCCTGGCCCGAGTTCGAAAAAATATGTCTAAGATAAAGTAAAATAGATCATATTATTAATTTCCTTTATTAGGATTAATGAAGTCCAGAGGATCCAAAAGTCGTCAGATGCTTGTAGGTGATTCGTGGAGGATTGACTAAACCTATTCCGATACTCTTTCTTCTTCCCGTCGCTTCATCAATCTTTCTTGAAGGGGCATTAAATGAGGGTGGTCAGGGAAGACTCGGGCGATAATGCCTCCTCTCTGGTCAGCGTCGGTCAAACCAGCTCGAAAGATTCTTGCCTCCTCACGTTCACATGGGGAACGGAGGCAACTCCAAGGTGCCATCTCTGATGCGGGCATGCAGTAAATGACGGCCCTTTTAATAAGATCACCAACTCCCTACGCTAAGTAGTCGTTGACCGGGGCCAACTTGCCACCGGCAATAACGTAACGATCACGATCTGGACTGATTTCAAGTAGATTTGCAGCCCCACACGGCCGACCTGGGTCAGAGATCATCTCTACGCGATTTGATTAATCAGCGAGGATTTTTTCTCTCGTAGATGTATTATAGCCAAAGTCAACGGGGTCGGGATTGGACGAACAGGTTACTAAGCTACCATGAGTTGGCACGTCTTCCTTAATACTAAGCCTCTAGTTAATCTTAACCCATTGCAAACGGGTTTGCCATTGTATTGAGTTGATTTTTAGACAAAGAGTGGATGTCTCCACCTTCTAATCTACTAATCTAAACCTATGTAGAAAGAAAGAGAACAATAAATAATGCCAATTGATTGGATAAGACATCAAGTTTCAACGTCATGATCTAACCATTTATGTAATTATTGTGGACATGAACTAAAATAGTTTCAGTTTTATTTCTTCAACTTTCATTTTATTGGTTACACAGAAAAAAAGAAGAAGAAAAGATTTAGTCATGGAATTACTTGGACCACCAGCTTTCATTTGTTCATGTACGTGTTTATTGTTGTTTGGATTGATGTTCATAATTTTTAGCATCATTACAAATATATTCATCGAGTACCACAACTTTTCCGTTATTGTTATCATTCATACAAATTTAAAATTATTAATTTTATTAAATATAAGCGATTAGGTTTGGCATTGCCATGAATGAAATGAATTACATAAAAGCCCAATGTTCTTCTTTTCAGCCTTTATGCCACCATAAGCTATGCATCTCATAGCAGTCAGTCACTTGGTTATCTTGTCAATAATTATAAAAAAAAATATAATAATATTCTAGAGTCACTCCTAATTATTTATTTTCTATTTCTTTTAACACAATAATACTCATCGGTTAAAGGAATGGCGTTCGACATGGAGCACTTGAAGCTGCCTCCTCCAAGCTAAATTCAACGCCATGGCTTCCTCCAATCAATACTTGATAATCAGGAGTGGTAAGAATATTTTGTTATAATCTAGTTAAGTATTTGGTAATCTTGGTAATATTTAACTTGATAATCTAATGTGTAGGATAACTTGAGTTAAATATTATTATCCATTTGGTTTTGAATTCTCGATGTGAATGAGGAAGATATTAAATTCACTTATTAATTGTAAATTAAATTTTCACTTTTGAAATTGTTCGTTAGCTCCAACGGTTGGAATCCTTGTTGATACGGTCTCAGGTTTTTGAACCTGAGACCATGTTCAAGAGGATGGTAGGCTGTCAGAAGCTGCCAACTGTTTGGACAGCATAAATAAAACCCTGGACATGGTATCCAAAGTGGGCGCCGACGGCTCTCTGTAATCAGTATACGGATAAGGAACGATGAAATCCAAGTCGACGGCGCTGGATCGATAGAGATGGATGATCGCCAGGGAGCCGTCCGATGTGCTCGCGAGGGAGGGTTTCTCTATAAGAACCGGGGTCCGGCGGGCAGACTTTGGAGCTATCAAGACCGGTAGCAATGACGGCCTCCTCGTCTTCCCCGTCCGCGACGGCGATCCTCTTCCTCTTCTCCATCTTCGCCGGCGTCGCTCTTGCGCAGGTGCCCGCCAAGGATAGGTTCAAGTATGTGAACCAGGGAGAGTTCGGTCCCTTCATCACCGAGTACGACGCCAGCTACCGCGCCACCCCGCTGTTTGGCTCCCCCTACCAGCTCATGTGGTACAATACCACCCCCGGAGAGTTCTACCTCGGTCTCCGCATGGGACTGCGCCGCTCGGAGTCGCTGTTCCGGTGGGTGTGGGATGTTAACAGAGGGAAACCCGTTGGAGAGAACGCCACGCTGACCTTCGGCACCGACGGGAACTTGGTGCTCGCCGAGGCAAATGGCCGCACCGTCTGGTCCACCGGAACGGCCAACAAGGGCGTCGTGGGAATCAAGATCGTCCCCGGTGCCGGAAATCTCGTGCTTTTCGACAAGAACGGGCGTTTTGTATGGCAGAGCTTCGATCATCCCACAGATACCCTTCTCCCAGGCCAGTCGCTCCGCCTCACCGGCCCATCGAAGCTCGTTAGCCGCAAGTCCGAGAAGGAGAACTCCGACGGGAAGTACAGCTTCGTGGTGGAGCCCAAGGGGCTGGCTCTGTACATGGCGGCCTCCCCGAAACCTCTTCCTTACTTCAACTATCTGGGAGCCCCCTTCGGCCGGCTCGCCTTCACGACACCGAGCAACATAACCTTTTTGCCGGAGCCGGAGTCAGACGATAACTTCGCGTGGGAGTTGAAGTTGGTCCAGAACAACGGCGCCGACATCCTGGCCCGCCCAAAGTACAACGCCAGCCTCTCAATCTTGCGGCTGCAGCTGGACGGAAACCTCGTGGCATTCACCTACTACGAGCCCGTTGATTCCCAGGCATGGGAGAGGACCTTCAGCTTCTTCTCGGACAACGGCATCCTCGAAGGGTGCGAGCTCCCCAGCAAGTGCGGGTCTCTGGGGGTGTGCAAGGACGACATGTGTGTGGCGTGCCCAACTCCTAATGGGCTGTTGGGTTGGAGCGATTCTTGCAGCTCGCCCAAAGATGGTGCCTGCAAGGCCGCCGCTGGCGCGGCGTACTACAAGGTGGTCGGGGTGGAGAACTTCCTCACCAAGTTCGTCAAAGGACAGACCGTCAAGCTGGACGACTGTAAGAAGAAGTGCAGCGCAGACTGCAAGTGCCTGGGCTTCTTCTTCTGGGAGAAGGAGTCGAAGTGCTGGCTTGCTCCTACCCTGGGCACCCTCAACCAGGTCTCAAACTCCTCTCACGTCGCGTATATCAAGTCCTCTTGAACTCGTAGTGGGAAGCGTGGCTTGTTTCCATGCCCACCTTCTATGTAATCCGATCGAATAAACGCGGAGTGGCCTTGGAGGATGAAATCCGGAAGAAGACGAGTCCGTTTTGTCATGAATTTGAAAATAATTTGTCAACAATGAGGGAACGTGTTTTCGCCTGGGGATGCGTTCAAGTGGTTCTCATTTTCGAGCAGATCTATTCGTGAAATTGGGAATCAGAATATCCGAATTCCGCCACTCCGGCCCCTGCCGACATTGACTCGTTAGGCTGTACCATATGAGCGACAGACAGATAAAGATATAATAATTCAACAAAGTAGGGGACCAAAGTAACCAAGATTTCGTTCTTTTGGCGGAATCTGATGGTAGCGTTTCCGTTTTCGTCAGCTGGCAGGTTTTTTAAGAACAACTCGGAGACATTGCATTATATCCCTTTAGATTTCGCAGGCTGAACTGATCGACATACGATTTTCTCGTGATGACGTGCTATGTAAATCTCGTGGCTTCGTCCCGGGCTCACGGACAGAATTTCCAAATCTCTCTCTTTCTCTCTCTCTCTCTCTCTCTATCTCTCAGTGGATTTCGGTCGGCGCGAAGGCCGGCGAGCATAGAAGACGTCGAAAGCGGCGCCACGGTTTCCTCTTCCGCGTCTGCCGGAGAAAAAATTCGTTGACTGCCACCACGCGTCTTTGGGGAACTCCTCCTGTCTGCCGTGTCCCCGAGATCTAGCCACTCTCATCAATTTTCCTTGACAAGGACACAACTCTCCTGTCTGCCATATAAGTTTTTATGCGAACAAATATATTGCCCGGCGATAAGACTTTTCGCCAATTCAGCTAGAAAGTGATGGCCTTTTTCTCACTTACTGCAGGAAGATGGGACTAGTTTTCTGGGTCGAAGCTTCAATTCGTCAAACAGCACGCGGTAACTTCTCTCTTCTTCGCCGCCACAGAAGTGGTCTCCACGTGGGCCTGCTTCATCAAGAATAATAATAGGTTGGCGCTGTGGAATTCGCCACGAAAAGCCGAGCCGCCGCGGCCTTTATTGGCGGCTCTGCGTTCTCCGGATGCGTCGGCCAGATTCGGATGAGTCATCGGTAGAAAACATTAAAGAATTGCCACGGATAAGATTGTGGATTACTTCTAAGGTACCAGTGACGAGAGAGATAAAGATAAAGAGATAGATTGATAGATAGATAGATAGAGAGAGAAAGAGAGAGAGAGAGAGAGAGAGGAACGGTTAGGGAAGAACTCACCCCGATCGTCCTTTGAGTGCTCTTGATTGGTGTTTATTGGACAATGTGCTGTAACCACAATGATGTGAGATCGCGCGTATTCTTAAGGTTGGGGCACGGATAATATCGTATACATTAAATATCATAAATGAAATAATTTATGCTGTTTAAATCAAGATAGTTTCCTCTGTAATAAATCCTCATATTTTCCTCTAGTTACGATTGACTTACCTGAGATTGAGAGCCCTTATTCGATTTCAAAACGTAGCACTGATAAAGAAATACCCGAGACTGAAACTGCTTTGACAATGCCCATATCGACCTGGTTAGTTGACTCTAAGAAAGTGCATTTGGTAAGAGAGGCTTCTTATGGTGGCATATGGAGGGATTAACAGTAAAATTTGTTTGGAATTCTCCAAACCCACGTTAATAGGTAAAAGAACAAATTCAATTCTAACAATATATCGGACAATCGATATGAAGACTTGTTCCTCGTAACTGAAGCGTATTAATCCATTATAATTTTCTTACAGTCGAAGGGAGATTATTCTAATAACTTTCCTATGCCTTCTTCCACTTCCAACTATCCACTCATGGAGCGCGAGAGCTCTTTGGCGGTCAAAGCTCTTTTCAAAGCTGGGATCGTCCTCACAGATGGATCAATGAATGAACGGCGATGGTTTCGAGTTGTCGTCATGTAATCTAAAACTCTGTTCGGAGTCGTCCCCACGGATAGCTACCGTCCCTACTCCGACGGCATTACCATCCACGAGAGCGACGACCTTATCCATGGAAACAGCGGAATCTTGGTGCGGCTGCTGTACCGCAGTTTGATGACCAAGGGTCAGATAACAGAGGCAGAGGCGGAAGGTAGTCAAGCTCGCCCCTTGTATTCTCACATCTCCACCGACAGCTGTTTCCCTAATTAATTGAGGAAGCGGCATCCGGGGTCACGTCGATCTTCACTCTATAAATACCCATCCATCTTATCTGCTCTTCCCACGAACACCTCCATTAGCAGGCGACTCCTCGAGTTACTCCCAGCCATGGCAGCTGCTCCTTCTCTCTTCAAGTTCCTCCTCGTCCTCCTCGCCAGCGCGGTGAAGGCCCTCGACAAGGTGCCCGCCAATGAGACCTTCAGGTACGTCAACCAGGGGGAGTACGGCGAATTCATCAATGAGTACGACGCCACCTACCGCACCACGCTCATCGGCACCTCCCCATTCCAGCTCATGTGGTACAACACAACCCCGGGGGCCTACTTCGTCGCCCTTCGCATGGGTACCTCTCGATCTGAATCGGTGCGGCGGTGGGTTTGGGAGGCCAACAGGGGGCGCCCCGTTGGTGAGAATGCCACCCTAACTTTCGGCACCGACGGCAACCTCGTCATCGCCGAAGCCGACGGAACAGTTGCCTGGTCCACCGGCACGGCAAACAAGGGCGTGGTCGGTCTCCGGGTTCTCCCCAACGGCAACATCGTCCTCTACGACAAGAAGGACCGGTTCCTCTGGCAGAGCTTCGACCATCCCACAGATACCCTAATGATCGGACAGTCCCTCCCCGTCGGCGGCGCCAAGAAGCTGATCAGCCGCAAATCCATCTCCGACGGCTCACCGGGGCCTTACACCCTCGTCATGGGCACCGATAGCCCAATCTTGTACGTCGATGCATCACCGAAACCTCTCCCCTACTTCCGGTATGATCCAGACATGGGTTACAGCAAGACCAATGGCCGGGTCACCTTCCAATACAACGCCCCCGACAATGTCTCCTACGAGCTGACCTTGAACGGGCGGATCCTCACGGTGACCAAGTACGACAGCGTACTGTCGTTCCTCCGCTTGGAGCCCGACGGCGACCTCGTCATCTACACCTACGACGATCGGGTGGACTACCAGGCGTGGGAGAAGACGTTCACCCTCTTCACACCGGTGAACTTCCTCAGCGCGTGCTACAAGCCAGCCAGGTGCGGATCTCTCGGCGTTTGCGACAACGAGATGTGCGTGGGGTGCCCCACGGAGAAGGGGCTGCTGGGATGGTCGGCAAGCTGTGCGCCTCCGCAGAGGGGCTCCTGCAAGGTGGGAGCGAACCATAAGTACTTCAAGGTGGACGGCGTGGAGAACTTCCTCGCTCGGTACACGACGGCGTTGAACGCCACCGGCGTCGACGATTGCCGCAGGCGTTGCAGTGCCGACTGCAAGTGCCTGGGTTTCCTCTTCTGGGAGGAGGCCTCCAAGTGCTGGCTGGCTCCGGTTCTGGGCACCCTCGACAAGGTCTCCAACCCCAAGCATGTTCTCTACATTAAGTCGAAGTAGTCGGGTTCCATCTGACTGACACTGTGGCTATCCCAAACGGGGAGCTTCTCAGATACAGTGGAGCTTGTCATCTGGACGATCGACGATCTTGTCTCACTCTGAGACAAAAATAAATAGGTTCCTGTTTGGGAATCTTTTCATGTATGTATGTTCAAAACAAAGTAAAATCCCTGGGATAATCTCGTGAATATAACTATAAAGGAAATGAACAAAGAAAAAAAGAGACAGATGTCCAATGGAGAAGAGGGTGAGACATGGACGAGAGATTAGCCGCTTATCCAGATGGTCGCACCTTTGACCCTGGAACCAACTATCAGTCATGGAAGCGGAAAAGTAGGATGGCCTGGCAACATGGAGGTGAGTTGACTTTAGAACTCCAATAAGAACATTATTTTGGGCTTCATTTATCTAGTCTCATCTGAACGCCACGTTGCTGCGGTTGGCCTTCCTCCTCTGAACCAAAAGATAATGCCCACGTCATACCGTGGCCTGTTCTCTTCCGTTCTGGCGCCGGAGGAGAGTAGGGAAAAGTTCTGGACTCAAAATTATTCCACATCTACCGGTGCTGGCGAGAGAGAGAGAGAGAGTGAAAGAGAGAGAGACGGAGAGAGGGTTGATTAAGCTGTATTTAATGAGTTGCCGCAGGAAAACGACAGTCAATTAAATGTGTAGAATCAATGGTTCGGATCTAGAGGTGTCGCACGTTTGTTGTCAAGGCGAGTCATACAAGGCCTCACCTAATTTTTTAACGTTTGTGGTAAAAAATATCAAGAGATTGACTGCGCACCTAATTAAGAATGACTTTTCTGTATAATACAAGTTTTTAAGAAAAAGATCCCCCACCCACACCATTCAAGCAACTAATTAATTAGATCGTTTGAAAATTAAGACTTTTCTGTTTATTCAAAAGGGCAGCACATGATTAGTCTTCATTATTTCTATGAGGATATAACCAAATAGTTTTCTCTACTATCATCTCTATAGAAACTTTGTCGAACATTCCCTCATAAACCTTCTAATTCTAGAAATATACAATTTATTACATCTGAAGTTTCTTTGAGAACCATGTGACCTTATAAACCATTTGCCAGAGCTTTACAGACCTAACATTCAAGCTCAAGCAGATAAGTAAAATTACGCCATTTATATCCACCTTAATGTCTAGCCTAGCTTATAATACTCTTACAGAATCTTCTCTCTCCCTCTATCTCTCTATCTCTCTCTCCCTCTCTCTCCCTCCCGCAAGCAGTATCAGATGTGAAGCGAATCTTCTCGCCATTAGATGAAGAAGAAAATTTGCATGGCCATGCGGGAAATAAAAGCGTTGGGAAAATTATACACATTGCAAGGCCAGTGGGCATGGGAAGGAAGATCATGACGTCCCATCTCCACTTGGCACTCGCGCTCGAACTTGTTCATGGCCGGTTGGGTGATGACACCATTGGAAGGAAGCCCCCGTGGAATCCCCTCTCAGGAGAAGCTATCTGGAAAATGAGCGAGAAAGAACAGCGTTGAAGATCCCATATCGGAGTATTCTCAGGAACTGTAAATACCCGCAGGGTAACCGTCAACACAAGGTCCGATCCACCATGTTTCAGAAAGTACAAAGTTTTGATATATAGATCAATGCATCAAGGCCTGATTTAATGGGAATCCATTAGTAAACGAAGTAAATGACCAGAAGAAGAAGAAGAAGAAGAAGAAGAAGAAGAAGAAGAAGAAGAAAGCTCCTAGAATTTTCTCTCTGATAAACGTGGGGATCTTCTGTTATACGAAAAAATCCAGGTTTCAACCTCAGATGCAGATCTTGACTGTGGGTTTTAATCTTAAAAAATAACTTGTGTTGAGAACAATCGATGAACCATTACATCTCTCCCCGCATGCTTCTCCACGTGCCCTATGTCCTCCTTTTTGTGATTCTAAGCTCTGACGAGAAAACTATACATTGAACCAACCATTTCATAGAAATCCCTTTGAACTGGGTTTTCAACCAAATGTGTATATTTTCGTCCAAACTTTGCTCTGTCCTCACAACATTCCGCATAAAAAGATTGATTCTTTGATGGTATACTTCCTAGACAAGCAACAAATGGTGCTTTCATTCTCCAAAAAGGATTTTGGTGAATGATGAACAGTAGAGATCCAAAGGAGATAAATCGCTAGAAGTAGAGAGAAGATAATCGGGGATAGAAAGAGAGGGATTGAGAGAGGAGAGAGTGATTTACAAAGGACAACAAGATTAACGTCTCAAATAACCAAGGAATGCTATAAGTAGGCAGTCCTTAAGTGTATGCATCAGTACAGAACAAAGGAAGGATTCTTTCTTGGAACAACTCAAAAGAAGACGACGATGCCTCAAACTCACCAAAAGCGGCCCTTTTATGTCGCTTGAGCTTCTCGAATTGGATCTGGTAGTCGACAAATATCTGCATCATTTTGGTCTCCAGGCTCCTGGTGGACTCCATCCTCTGCTTCTCCAGCTCTAACATCTGCTGTTGCTTCGCCGCCTCAACCCTCTCGTAGATCTCCCCAAAATGCAGGACCGCTCGCGCCAGTTCGCGTACCCCCCCCACATCGCCAATGATATCGTCGGCGGCGCCGTTGTTGTCACTTGCCTGGAAGCCTCTCTCAGAGGATCTTTCCGGGCTCGATTTCAATTTGTTGGAATTCATCTCCTCAGCCTTGTGCGCTGCGGCGGCGGCGGCGGCCGCCGCAGCCACGGCCGAGTACTTCCGCTTTAAGAACGACGAGTCCTCTGGAGGAACCGCCAGGTTGTGTCGCTTTTCCTTTATCGTTGAAGATGGCCAGGCTTTGGCTGCGGCCGTTCGGGCAGAGGGTTTCTTCCGGTGAGGCAGTGGGGGCGAGATGGGGGAACCCTTCTGAGAGAGGGGGGAGGAAGCTCCTATCAGGAAATCAAGGCGGTCGTAAAAGGGCCACAGGCTTGCAGCCTTCCCGTCGCCGCTTCTGATCCGGATCCTCTCCATCTTGTACTTCTTCTTGAGGGTGTCGATCCTGTTCTTGCACTGGATGTCGCTGCGGGCGGGCCTCGGGACGTCGGTGCGGCGAGAGTTGATGACGTCGGCCACCTCCTGCCAGTGCTTCCGGCGGAGATTTCCCCGGTTGACCTCGACGAACCGCTCCCCCCATGCGTCGATCAGCATCGAGGTCGCCCCTTCGCTCCAGCAATCCTCCCGGTACGGCAACGCAGGGTTCGGCGCTAGACCCTTCTCCTTCTTCCCCTCCATCTGAGCCCTCCTCCGCTCCCCCTCCGGTTTACCCCCTTCCTTCGCCGCCCCTCTCTCGTTTCCTCGTTGGTCCTGTCAGGGGACGGCGAGGCGTTGGCTGGATAGGGAAAGCCGGAAAGCACGTGGACCGCATGTGCGGTGGTACGGGCGGCCGCCGGGAGCGCGCGTGCGCCGACGTTCTCGCCGGGACGGCTCGGCTCAGGGAACGGTGATCCATGGGAGTTAACCATCGCCGCCATTGGTTTTGGGGGACGGCGAATATGACTGGACGGCGGACCGGGGAGTCGGGGGAAAAATTACTCTTTTTTTATCTTCGGCAGACGGCGGAGGGCGGCGAGGGCCGTCACGAGCTGCCCGGTGACTGTCCCTGAGAGGTGGGGAATGGTCTGCAGAAGTTGGGTGAGGGGGGGACGATGATGGGCGAATCAGGAAGCGTACCTTGCTTGGTTGTCTCCTTCTTCAACCCCCCGCCTACTCCTCGCTGCCTTGTCGCCGCCCAAAGGAGTCGCCTCATTGACCTGGCACGACAATGAAGGCGTGGGGTTGAGGGGCACTGTCGTCTGACTGGCGTCGCTGGTGGCGGCGGCGGGGTTTCCATTCGATTTGGCTTCAGCCCAAAGCGATAGATGCAGGGTCGCCGTGTTCCGACGGAGGAGGCCGCTCTTTCACCCGCTCTTCCGCCTCAGGCGGCCGCCGCCGCGCCGGACTATCCCGGCGGCTACGCCAGACGCCGTAATGACGTGGGGGCGACCTTCGGGTGGGGAGAGGGTACAGATGGGAGGTGGTCTCCTAGTGAGATAAGGGAAGTGGGGGAGTTGGGGCGACCTGCACGAAGAATAAAAGGATGGGCTGTAGCAATACATGTACAGAAAAGAAGATCTCGGTATGAAACTGATGCAGCAGGAAGGAGCTGAACACCGGTGGACAACGAAGACGACGACTGGTATCCGATTCAGTATTTCCCCGACATAATCGAGGGATCTCCATTTTAATTCGATTATAATTATTTCATAAGTTTATTAATCCAATCAAGTAAATACATCCTAATAAATAGAAGATTAGTACACAAAATCAAGTCATGTGCCAAAATTAAATGATATTTGACTAGATATTTATACATAAATCATGTGAGAAATTCTTGGATATGAAAACATGTCTCAAGAACATTATTTCGATGTGGATAACATGAGGTCGGTAATTATTAATTAGATGTCTATGGCAAATGTGATGCGAACCGCAGACTAATTAGAGAAAAATAAGAGTCCTGAATTTAAGAATGAGAGTTTAGAGATACAAACCAAGAGTTAGGGTTTTGCCGTAACCCTGATCTCTCCTGATAGATAGAAGGCTGCAGCCGCTCCTGCTCATTAGACAATCCTTTCCCCAAAAGTGCCCCCTCATTTTACCCTCTCGATACTTAACTTAAAACCTTTCAAGTGTCTCTCTCATTCCAAGGTTTGTCCTCCCCACCTACTGAGTTTACTGTGCTTAATGGGATATTGGATTGGGTCTAGTTCTTTGACGAGTCAATCTCCTCCTTTAGGGGAAAGTGTTGATGAAGGAGATTGGTTACCAAGAGGCCTTGTGATTATACTAGCTAGCTTTTTCCGTCGAGGCCTTCAAGTAGATGATGATTTTGAGGAGAGATTTCAACTATGTTGTGTAGAAGAGAAACGTGAAATACAAGGTGAAGTAACAAAGAGGAAGGGAGGGCTAATTTGTAGGCTACTGGCCCTATCCTCTATAGAATTTTAAATAGAGCATGGGGATAACTTCTCACTAGCCTTCATGACTAGAGATTTCATTTCATAGGGTCTTAATCTAAGAAAAAATAAATTTTTAATTGAAAATTATAAATCTAAAAAATGCTTATTTACCTTGGCCTTCATTTAAGATTGAGCTCAGTTCAAGTGGTACTTGAGTTGATATAAAGCTTAGTCTTGAGACCTCAATTGTTGATCGCTAGTCACTATTAATGTTACATGTAATCAATAATGCAATAGAGGGATTGATAGTTTTTTGTAAAGTGCGTTGTACTAATCGAGCTATGGAATGAGGTGTTAGAACTAAACTATACCTGGTGAAAGTCATGAACTCTATGTCTTGGGGTTATATGAGGTATAACACTGAAGGTGATTATCCACACATCTATTTGTTAGCTTTATTTAGCTGTTGGTATGAGGATAGTGGGTTGTACTTTATTTTAAGACACTTTCCCATGACCTAAAGAGTTCAGACCAAAAATGACTCTTAAATATAACATCTCAGACAAAAATAATAGATTTAAACATGCCATGGAGGCAGATGATCTCCGTAGCAAATTTATTAGTAATAAAGCTTACTGAAAATAGATGCTTCAATGAAATAAAATGAATATATTTGAATATTCTATCCACTACAATTGAATTGAAACCTAAAGATGTTAGTAACTCTTTGATTAAGTTTATAGTGAGGTAATTTCTTACCTAGTCTAAGACGAGGAGAGGTTGCACAAGTCATGTAAGGGCTAATGAGGATGATTTATTATGCAAGTAAATTTCACAAGCATCCAAATGTTCTTTAATCTTAGACTTCATTCCAACCTAATAAAATTATTGAGAAATCTTCTTGTAAGTCTTGAGGAATTCAAAATGACTCATTGCTAGACCGTCATGATATTCTTCAAGAATATCCCAAACTATTTGAGAGTTGAAATGAAGAGTTAATTGTCTTTTGTAATAGAGAAGTTATTAGTTGAAGGTAAAACATTGCCTGAGAACTTCTCCATTGAGAAGGGCCCAGTAGATGAGACCAAAATAATAATATGTTTGTATTTCAGTCTTTAATGAGGACATGACAAAACCTATTGACCACATAAGACTTGTCCCTTGTAGTTGTATTGACGAAGGGTAGCAAGAGAGCATTAGCCACTTTGTTGTGTACTCTTTATTTGTACTAGATCACAAAATCAAAACCCATAAATTTATAGAGTTCCTTTTGAAATTGAGGAGGTACATGTCGTTGATTAGTAAGAAAATTTAATCTATGTTGATATGTGTGGATAACAAATCTCCTCCCTATGAAATACACTTTATAGTTTGTGGGATATATGTTGATATGTGTGGATAGTAAGTCTGCCCCCCATGAAATACACTTTATAATTTGTGTGGATATATGTTGATATGTGTGGATATGTGTTAATACTCTTTATAGTGACAGCATTTAAACATTTCGTTTACTATGGCCATAAGTTTGTACTCATATGCTGACTTGGCCTGGTTTCTCATATCCAATAGGCCTCCCATGTTATATTATCATAGATCCAAGCTTATATATAACTTAAAGTGTTGGTTTCTAAGAAAAATTTAAAGAAAAAATTTAGGAGGGTTTCTTGAAGTATATCATCTTCTCCTTAAGTTAATAGAATAATTTTTATGTTACTTCTTGTCAGTCAAAAGAGTCATCCTTAAATTTTTGAATCAAAATATAAACATATCACAAAATTACGATAATAGTTAGTTATGTCTAAAAATTTATTTAATTTGATTAAGTTGGTAGGGTTGGATACTTAAACATACTTTCAAATTTTCTTTAATCTACTATCATTCTTACTGTCAAGATTATATGATCAAGGTACTTTAATTATAGGTGAGCAATAATATAATTCTTCTTGTTTTCATATAGTTGGTGTTATTATAAAACTTTGAAAATATAATTATGTGTTGGAGATATAATATTTCATCTTTATTGTAAATTAAAATATTATAAAAAAATCAATATAAATTTATTGAGGAATGACTTGAAAATATTATTCATCAATAATTAAAATGTGTGAAAGCATTTACAAGTTCGAGTGACTTCACTATAAATTCATAGTGGCCTTCATGGATCTTAAAATCTATTTTGTGAATGCATGTCACTTTCATCTTTATTAGATAGAAACCTAATTTTAGATCTAATTTTTTAAAAATTGTAACACTAAATAACTCATTTAGTACCTCTTCCACCAATTGTATAGGAAATTGGTTAGGGATAATAAACTTATTTACAATTTTATATTTAACACAAAAATTTATCAACAATCTTTCTTCTTTACTACTTGTCTCTTATTATCTTTGTGTCAACTTCATTCCTTATTCCAACGCTTTGTTGTGCAAAATCAAGATTTGTAATTATTTTTTGCAGTAGTGGTTAGGACCAAACTTTTTTTGTCACAATGATAGCATAGACCATTTTCTCTTTGTTCTTGCAACTTTAGTACGATGATATTTAATCTTTTTTCAACTCCAAACCCTTATTTCGTTGAAAAGACTCAGAGCTTTTAACTATAGATCGATGGCTTGAACTAACTAAATTACTTGTCTCTCTCCTTGTTGGTGTACGGACTTTGTGAGATGTACTTCGGTTAACATCCTTATTTCATGCTCTCAATTATGATGAAGAGTAGAATTTTTGAGATCAATGTAGTTTGAGACTTCAGACTTTGACTTTAGAGTTTGGCTTTGTCACCAATGAAAGATTCATAATCTCTCACAAACCTTATAATTTGTTCATACTCAACTTTTATTGTATCTCTTTTTTTAACCTTTTAATATAACTATTTTACATAACTTTTTTTAAAAATTTATGTCAGAAATACTAATAATAATTTTAAAATCCCTCATATATTATGATCTGAACCTTTCTTACTTGAGTGTTAGAAGTTGCTTGACAATGAACCATTTGGGGAGTTATAGTCAGAGATCATGTCATCCTTTAAAAGTGTATCTTTTGTTATTTTAGTGATACCAGAATATTACATCCACTTCTAGATTCATGATAACATTGCTCAACTTATCTTCGTATGAGATGTTGTTTACTTTGAAGTAGAATTATGTGCAAGATAACCATAAGTTAAGATTTTCTTTGTCAAAATTGGAGATAAATTACTTCATTTGACCTCTATAGCCCTTATTTGGGAGGGGTGCAAGTTGACTTCTAATAGTCATGTGAAAGGGGGAGATAAGATGTGTGTGATTTTA